CTTGACTTCAGTGTGCTTGATGTTGTCAGATGATGATGATGATTATTATTATTATTATTATTATTATTATATGATCTGACTGACTGCTTTTTTTCCCCAAGTATTGCTAAAGTGATACATCTCATCTTGCAGTCTTCAGTGCAGTCATATAAGACCCATAACCCAAGTCCTGAGTTGGAAATTTCTCAATCATCTCTCCTGTGTAACGTGTGTTAATTCTCTAGTCCTCAAATCCTCTTCTCAACCAGAGGAGGAGACTGTGTAATTGCTCTTTGTACAAGTGGCCAAAGAGTTGTTTCCAGCTGACCTAGTACTAATATTTGCCAACCTCTGGTAGAGATAACAGATATTAACCCATTTGTGAAAGGGACAGATAGAAAGTGGCAAGTTTCTGGGGTTGGTAATTCATCTCCAACATTTACTTTTTGTCTCAGATAAGAATCAGAAAAATTTAAATTATATTTTGTATCACTTTGGAATAATTCAAAGTCTGAATTTTCAAATAAAGTTAGGGCCTTCCAAATGTTTTAAGCTTCAGGTCCCATCAGTCCAGCCAACTCAGAGAACATCAAGGAGTTGTGGAAGTTGTAGTTCAAAAGAACTAAAAGACCCCAGGTTTTATTTCTTTATTCAAAATGTTTCATGTTATTTTTTTTTCCTTATCCAAAATAATGTAAAGGTTACTCTTTAATTTTAATAGGTAGGCTGGATCTGTTGAGATAATGGCAGTGCCGGCACTATTTCCTAGTAAAGCTATCAAGTCTAGTCTATTAGAAGCAGCAGAGAGGGAGATAAAAATAACGTCATCATCTGTAGTGAAGATTAAAAACTCACCCAAGTGAAGCTCAATTCCTGGTGACTACATATTCAAACTGATAAGATCTTATCATATAAAAAAGAGTTTTAAATAATCAAACAACCAGTGGGGTCACTTTGCTGAGTAGCTTTATTCAATTATTCATATTCATTATTATTCAAAATTAGAAATAAAGTTGAAACAACTTTACCAGTCCTCTTTGGGATTGTTTTTAATAATGAAAAGTGTATACATACATGGGTATGTAAAATAACAAGTCTGGTGGGAATGTTGTATGGATCATCAAGTCAGAGTGGGTTGGAATAATTTTCAGTACATGGTTGATGTGGGCAAGACCCATGAAGGCAGTTACCTAAATCTCAAACCTTAGTCAAGCCAAAATCTCCTTCATACATACGCTTTACCTTAATTTAACACAGTGATTCTCAACCTTTATAATGCCGCGACCCCCAACCAATCGTAAGTCGAGGACTACTCAACCAGTCGTAAGTCAAGGACTACTCAACTGGTGCAGCACCGTTTGCAGAATGGGACTTTTGGCGGGCTCAGCAGGGCAGAGACAGCCCGGACAATTCCTATTGGCTTTTGAAAGCCAATAGATTAGACTCTATTCAAGAGAGTCTATTCTATTGGCTTTCAAAAGCCAATAGAATAAAAGGGAGTAGCACAGCTAAGGAAAAGGGGAAAAAATGGCGGACTGCGTTGTTTGGCGACCCCCGTGAAATGGTCGTTCGACCCCACTGATTTAACAGAACAGTTTTCCTAGGTTGCAAGGGAAGAGAAATCTACAATTCCTCCCTGTTACCCTTTGAGATAATCAGGAAACAAATACCACAAGAAATACTAGGATTACTTTATTGCTATAAGCTGTAATAGTAAAATCTTGAAAAAGCTGAGGGTGTTTCCCCTTCCCTCTCTCTGAAACCAAAGAGATATATGGCAGGGCAATCCTAAGCTTTTTCATACCTTCCTGTTTTCCCAGATTAAATTCATGTTTTCTCAGTGGTGGCCATTTATTTTTTTATGGCCATCTCTGTTCTCCTCTACACTCTTTGATAATATGCTAATTGACAGACAAGGAAATGCTTTCATGGAGAGTAGGCATCCTAGCATAATAGCAAATGGTTTTACAACAGCTTGTTCATTTGACTGATTACAAAACCAATGAAGTGCCTATCACTGGCTACCGGTACTACTGTAGTGTGCAAATGGCAGTAGGAATCATATAATCTGAAAACATGGTGTGTTTTCTATCTGCTGTCTAATCTCACCCAATGATTTTGCCTTGGCCACAAGAATTTAGAATTCATTGTGCCTGGTAGTTCCTGGCTGAATTTCTCTAAGCTTTGAAAGCTAAGCAGGGTCTGAATCAGAGATCACTGGGAAATATGAGGCACTGTAGGCTACACTGGAAAGTTGCAAACATCAAAGAAACAAACCCTTAAGTCAAATTTGTAACAGAGTAAAATGTTTATCTCAGCTGGCAAGCAAGAAGACAACCTTTGTCTTTCTAGATATGCCTTCTAATCCTTGAAGTTGATAAACAAGATCCCAAATTCTTGAAAGCTAGATTATTCAATAGATACAACACTTCATAAAGAGGCTATTTGTGGGACAGTCTGGTTTAATTTTAATGCAAAAAATGTCTATGCTCTGGTTTATTCATGAATAAATTCTACAGTCTTCCCAAAACTATATTCAATTCATATTCAGTAAACAGAGATCATTGCTATTACATATGCACATCCATATAAAATATATATTCTACAGTCAAAGGCAAAAATCTTATACCTAAAAAACTCAAACTTTCTTATCCAATTACTATGGAAATCCATCCTTTACCTTCTACCAAATCTATGAAGTTTTGGAGTTGTTTGCCACATCCTCAGGTAACTGACTAGCTGTTCCTTTATAGCAACAGCTTCTCTGCAAAACGGGAAATAATATGGCAATTGTTGAGTTTGACAATTGTTCTCCTAAAATGGTATGGCAACACAGTGCAGTGTTTCAGTGCTATAACAAATGGTAGATAATCAGGCATCTATGTAACATTATCCAGACCAACAGGCACATAGAAATAAACATCTACATACCATTCAAAAGAGACAATCAAAAAGCCCAAAAGGAAACAAAAAGACTAAAACACCTCCCCACCAGCAATCACCAGCCTGTGAGCAGAGATTAACACCAAGGTTAACATGAGACCATCAAGGAGCAAACAATACCCCAATCAAGGAACTACCAACTCAAACAAGCTAACAATAAAAAACAATCCAATCAAGGAACTACCAAGACCGTTCCCACCAACACTGACAGGGCAAGCCACTAGTATATAAAATGAGAGAAAATCCAACTCCATACTGGCACTGACGATGTTATCTAGTTTGATAATGAAAACAACAAAGCTCATAGAGCACCAAGGATTCTGCAGTGGTATTGTAGTTATTGCAAACATGACAGCTGAAATGTTCTAGCAAGGTAGGCATGGAAATTTAGCAAGAGTTGGAACTCTATTTTGGGAAATGGAATAAAGATTAGTATATTGAGCGAGAACTCAGTCCAGGTGGCAAAGCTAACTTTGCAGGTAAGCAACTGTGTGTCTTCCCAAGTTAGCATTACAGATTCTTCACATGCTGAGGCAAATTCTCTTTGGCAAAGGAGAATTTAGTATACATCATGTTGCCCCTCCCCCTTTTTTCCACCCATGTGCTAATTATATATACCAGATCTGTCAAAGAAAAAATACTACTGGAAAGGTTCCTGACAAGTGTTCTGTGAACATATGTACATATTTCTGAGATTTACACTGGAAGTGACTTTAGAATTCCAGTCTTCTTGGTGGACTTTGCAGAGATGCTTTTCAAGCAGCTCAGTTGTTATTGGGGTTGGCATCTATCCATGATGAGGCTTTTCAAGCAGCTGAGTTGTTATCGGGTTGGGCATCTATCAATGGAGATGAAACTAGTTTATTATACAATGCATGAATCCATGCTGGTAGAGCTTGACGCTAAATAGTGGTGGTAGTGGTCAGGATCTGAAATGGATTTTCCCATCTGGATTCAAGTACAACTTTTTGCTGAAAGCTCTTAAAGTAGTCCCAATCTCCAAAGTGCAAGAAATAGCAAAGCTGAGCCTGAGTTTTCCGTGCTAATAAAAAAAAATTGTCATTAGAATAGAATAGAGCTGGAAGGGACCTTGGAGGTCTTCTAGTCCAGCTCCCTGCTCGAGCAAGAGTACCTATACCATTTCAGACAAGTGACTCTCTAGTCTCTTTTTAAAAACCTCCAGGGACGGAACACCCTCGATTTCTAAAGGCAAGTTGTTCCACTGGTTAATTGTCCTCGCTGTTAGGAAGTTTCTCCTTAATTCCGGGTTGCTTCTCTCTTAGATTAGTTTCCATCCACTGTTTCTTATCCTACCCTCTGATGCTGTGGAGAATAGTTTGACCCCTTCTTCTTTGTGGCAGCCCCTCAAATACTGGAATGCTGCTATCATGTCACCCTGTTTCTTCTGTTCTTTAAACTAGCCAAAGCAAAATCCTGCAGCTGTTCTTCATAGTTTCTGACAATATCGTAACAACATCATCCATCAGATGAATCTCCATTTGTGCCATATTTGGTGGTGGTGGTGAGGTTGAACTCTCATTAGCTAATCAATCAAAATTTCACATGGCTTTGACTTTTATGTTCATAGAGTAGGTACTAAAGCAGGGGTTCTCAACCTTGGCAACTTTAAGACTTGTGGACTTCAACTCCCAGAATTCCTCAGCCAGCTTTGCTGGCTGAGGAATTCTGGGAATTGAAGTCCACAAGTCTTAAAGTTGCCAAGGTTGAGAACCCCTGTACTAAAGGTATGGTACAGAGACTTCTTTCATTGCCTTTTCATACTCCCTTATTTTAAGCCAGGAGAGTCAGATGTTAATTTCATGAAGTATAAGATTAGCCCACCCCTTGTTTGGTGTCCTGGGTCCCCTTAATGTGTTCCCGGGTCCTTCTGTTTTATTGATTGTGTGTGTCAATAAGTTTAGAGAAAGCAAAAGTGCATTGAAGACGAGAGAAGCCAGGAGGGGGTTCCTTGGCATTATCGTCCCTGACACATTATGACCTAGCTTCCTGTTTCTTCATACTGGTTCAACATTAACCCAGGCTAGGCTGCAACATTTCTTCATCCACTTTATTTGCAGTTCTTCTGCGTTTAGCAGCATCCAAGATGGGGCAGAACAAAACCAGAATGCTGAGGACTCTCCTCTTTGCCGCCTTCTTTCACCTCACCCTGGGCAACAGCGGTAAGGGATTAAAAGCAGGGAGGAAGAGGGAGAAGTTGAAAAAGATTTGCCAGGTTAACCAGCCTTTTTAGAAGAGAGCAGTCTGTGCTTAGAGAGGGAGCAGTTTAGGCATCAATGGGATTTCACAGAGGAACTCTATAACAATGTTGCCTGGGTAGAACAACAAAGCTCAGGGTTGGTTTTGTGATTGTCCTGTATGTGGTAGAAAAGCTAGGAGATCAAGCACCCAGGAGGCCTTTGTCATACAAGAAGAAGCAGCACCTTTGCCAGGCACAGTGACTATGGCAGGGAATGGAGACAGCACTTGTGGAAATAAATCCATAGTGCTGCATATGACTCTCAAGAGAAGAGCAGAAAAATATTGGGGGAATTTATGAAGGAAAGAGAGGAAAGCAACTATTTTTGAGATTTTTTTAGCCAAGCTGTTCTTTTTTTTAACTTTTTAAGTTGGGTATGTGTATTTTAAGAATACTCACATCAGATGAAGCTGTTTGCAGTTTTCTGTGTGTGTTTTGTGATATTGATGGGAAAGGAGCCCCCTTAATCAGTTCTTTCTGGTTGCAGTTCTTTCTTATCTTAATAGAAAAGCTCTTCTTTATACTTTACCAAAGATTCAAACGGTCTCTGACCTTTGAAGAGTTTGTGTATTGGTGTTTCTAGGCAGATATTCCATCTTTCTTTTCTTAATGTTTTTTTGTTGTTGTTGTTTCCTAAAAAGTTAGGAGAGGTAGTGGGAAAACACGAAAGAAGAAGAAATCCTGGATCAGTGGTATAAATCTTTGTAGTAAGGTGGCTCTTTGCATAATAAAAGCTAACCTGGAAAAGGGCCATGGATATAAGGGAGGATAATCATGTCCAAGTCTTTTCTGACTCCTCTTAGGTGACAAGAGCACAGACATTAGCCTGCCAAGCTTCAGCTGTAATACATTTGTTAATTCTTAAATTCCTCCTCATTGTATCTCTGGTATTTCTATCTACACTGTCCCATTTCCTCCTTTTTTATTACTAGATGGCCATTTTTGTCTTAACATTCTCCAGAGCTTGATTTGAAGGTTCTGATATCTGAATGTAGAAAAGAGAAAAAAAAAATGTCCCAGCATGTTGCATTAGGAGAAAACTACAAAGGTTAGATAAATAGACATCCAACTTTGCCATCACAGTGGCAGTCATGATTTGAGGGCGAGTAAACAAGTTTTTTTCCCTACAGATAGGAAGAAAGAAAATGAGAAAAAGAAAAGGAAACACATATATAACCCTTAACTTTATATTATGAGGAAATTGTGTTTCTGCTATCATAAGTTCACTAAGATTTAATTTACACAATCATATCTTATTGTGGTTATTAAAAATAATAATGCAACCATGAGATTTCTTTTAGAAAGCAATCTTGAATACTTCCAGACTGAGCAAAATCTTCCTCTTTGCAAAATGTTCACTAAATCTTTTGTTACTAGTCAATGACAAAGAAAACTGATAGAAAAAAACAACTAACAAAGTTCAAAAAAAAGAAAGGGAATAGAAAAGCATAGCAAAAGAAAAAAAAGCTAGATGCAAAATCAGTGTTTGCTATTGAATAATTAAAAGGCATTTATGTTTTTCAATTTTGGGGAGATGACCCATGATCCTCTTTTAGGACACACCTTTGTGAGACTTTCTAGTGTAAATTTTTAACAAGGGGGCCCGCCAAGCTTTATCTGGTCGGCAACAACTAGCGGAGTAAAATCCATAAGGATTCCTTTATCTTTACCTTTACTTTCAAGCTTTATATAGCTTAGGGCCTCATCAAGTCTAAATCCGGCACTATTTCCAAGGCATTATATTTTTTTAGACTGCTCTCTTCCAGTAGGTGTGATCTAGCTCACCTGACTGAAACATTTGGAATTTTACCTGAATTAGCATTCTGGACGGTGCACTGTGCTTCTTGCTGTTCAGATCATAGACTGTAGTTCAACCACTGGCCTCCAGATATTTTACTGCTACACTTCCTACAATTCCCAAAAGTATGCCCTACCGAAATTCTGGAAATTATAGTTCCAGTACATTTGGAAAGCATCAGAATGAGAAGGCTGATGATATACATTAACTAATGAGAGTCCTACTTCCAGAAGAAAACTGCTTTTCAGACATTTCCATTTTTATAGTTTGAAAAATCGGAGCTGATGAACCAGTGGCCCTTTAGATGTTGCTCAACTTTAACTTCTGGAAATTCTAGCAAGTGTGCAAGAGACAGATATAAAAAGAATCAATCTTTGTCTTTTTGGTCCACTGACTGGATGTTTTGTTTTTACTAGTTTTTCTTGAGCAAAAGGAAGCTGTTTCATTGCTGAGGCGCACAAAGCGAGCTAACAGGGGGTTCATGGAAGAGTTACGTAAAGGTAATCTAGAACGGGAGTGTCTAGAGGAAGTCTGTGTCTATGAGGAGGCCTATGAAGCCCTTGAGTCCAGCATCCAAACAGTATGTATTATTTGATATACTAGTTCCTACAACTAGTTAGCCACGTATTTAGAGTCTATGTGCAGTTCAAAGTGTTTTCTCTACTACATACAGTAGAGCAAGAGTTTTTTAAAAATTACTAGAGTTATCTCTGAAATATTTGCTATTCATTATGTAAGGGTTGGAAGGGATCTCAGAGATCCTCTGGTGAGTGATAGTCTCTCATTATTTGAGCCAGTCTGTTTCATTGTGGAATAGCTCTTACCATTAGGAATGATTTCCTGATATTCAGTCAAAATCTACTTTCTTGCAATTCCTTTTAATTTAAACCTAGTGCTCCCAGTGGTTCCTCACAAGTTTTTGCTTCTAGATCCTTAACATCTTGGTTGCCCTTTCCTCTGCTCACCATATTCTAGTTTGTCTAAAATGCAGTGGCCAGAAGTCGATGCAAAGTTCTAGGCGTGATTGGCCCAATGTACTACAGAGAGGAGCAATGGCTTTTCTTGATCATGATGTTATATTACAGCAATAGACTGCATTATTGACAGCAAGATGTTTTGCTCAGTTTCCTTCCTTTTTTGGCTGAATCATGTCTCCTTCTTGCTTCAAAATTTCAGTAAGCATCTCAGTTTACAATACTAAATCAGTTTAGCACTGGTCAGTCTTCTAAGTCAAAACTTTTGTTTTGCAGGATATATTCTGGGCAAAGTATTCAGGTATGTTTTGTGTGAGTCATTTCAGATAACCAGAATTTTGCACATAATATATTGTTGAATGTCCAGTCCAAGTTCTTGATTATTCTTAAGTCAATGGTCTGTATCAAATATATGTATACTACATACATTCTAGTATGTATTAAAACTGACAGCTTCCGTGACTATGCTAGACGGGAATTAAAGTCATAAATACCAGGAGAATGAGAGATTGAGGGAAGTAATTCTATGGCTTGATTATGGGGGAGCAATTTGTGGAGAAGCTGAAGAAAAGGCATTTATACTTTTAGGCATGATAATAAATTCCAATTATAATTAGATTTGATTATTTTCCACCTTTTACAAATGAGCTGCTGGTCTCTTTGGACTAAATATTTTTCTTCTTTTGCTAGCTTGTAAACCCCTACTGAAAAAGAGAGCAACTCTGGATGAGTGTTTGAAAGGTAAAAACATTGTGGAGGATCCATGATAGTGAGCACAGGGAGGTTCCTTTCTTTGAAGAGAGTGGAGGCAAATTCTGAACTGATGACAAAGTAACTTTTTGAGCAGTAGGAGAAAGGAGAAATATATATACATGGCTGTGTACACATGAGAAGGAATTTAGTTGCACATATTCATGCTTAAAGATATTGATAATTTCAAATATGTTATATGATAATTTACAACAAATATTTTATATATTTATGGAATATTTAAGCTACTAGTTCTAGCATGGCTTTAAGCCTTCATGTTGTCCCAAGGCATTGAAACAAGAGGAAAAAATAATCCAGTACTGTCTCTTGTTTCTTTACATTATGAAGCAGATATGGGATTGGAATACTGTATGTATTTTGTGATGAGTTTAAAAAAATAGATTTGGGTATAAAATCTCTTAATATTGTGAATATGTCTTTGATTTCACTGTACTTTTAATTCTTAAGTCTCTTTAAATTATTTTAAATATTAATTGTACCTATCTTTTTATAAAGATCTGTGATTCAATCAATGACAACATCACTAGATAGTTATTTATATTAGTGGTCTATTAGAAATACTATACTGAATTTTCATATAGCTTCTGACGTTTAAAAATTAATTTGGTGGACCCATTTACAACATTCATTGGCCTCTTCTCAAAAGCCATCACAAATATAGACAAATGCAATCAATCCTGTATGTTCTGTCACCCCAAATCCAAGCCTATACCATGAAATCTTCAACTTGTTTCTCCACACTGCGATTTCTGTTTCATTCATTCTATGCTTTGAATTCTTGATAGGTTCCTGTGCCGTAGGAACAGGACAGAATTACAAGGGAAAGATTTCTGTCACCAAATCAGGAACTGAATGTCAGTTCTGGTCCAGCAAATTTCCTCACAAACCTCAGTAAGCTTATTTATCTTTAGAAAGTGTTCTGTATTGTCTTTTAATTCCTAAAGGCAGATCCTAAGTCAGCTTACAATGACAAAACCTCAGGTGAATAACAGTTTTCAGAGCCATTCAAAAATTAATAAAACAAGACTATAGTTACCCAGTTTAAATATACTGAAAGCCAACTGGAAGAAAAATATATTTGTTGTTTGACTAAAACAGAACAAGCAGCCTTCCTTCCCTGAAAAATCATTCTAAATGCAAAAAATTAGTGGACTGTGAAGTTATATCTTCCACATTGACAGTGGAACACCTTTCAGCAAAGATAGAGATGCAAGCTGACATGTGTGGTCTACAGCTCTCTTCAGCACATACAGCAGCTGAGAAAGTTTACCTCTGTTGTCTAACTCTAAGGGGCTGTTTGCTGGCAAAAGCTGATAATTGTGCTCAACTCCTTCTCAGCCCCTGCTAATTGTGGGGTGTTGGAGGTAGATGTCAGGGTCCCTTACAAGACTAGTTGCTCATTTATCTGTCTGAGGCAGAAACTGGTTTTAAATCACCAACTGGATCACAATTAAGAGAAGGTCTGTTAGGTCAGTGATGGAGAATCTATGGCACGTGTGTCACAAATGACGTACAAGTGACAAGCCAGGATTCACTAACACCCAATAATATCTATTCTCAAAAACACACTTGATTCTTGCATGATTTTTGGAGGCTACGCAAGAATGATTTGGAAGCTGTGCTGGAGGGTTGTGTTCTTGTGTGGTCTCTGGAGCCTTCAAAAAATGCGCAAAACCAGGGCGTACTTTTGCATGGCTTTCAGAGGCCACAGAAGAGCATTCTCTGAAGCCACTTCAAGAAAGAAGGCTGTGTGACCTGGAGCAGTCTTCGCTAGGCCATAGGAGCCTGTCAACAGAAAGAGAACATCACCTGCATGTAAGTGACATGTGGCAGATCCTGGGGAGTGCCGGGCTCTGGTGGAGCAATTTTGCCTTGGTGAACAGCATGAGATGGCTTTTTTGAGTGGCAACAATGGCACTAGGGCTGAAGTCAAGGCCTGGTCCTCTACTTGAGGCCCAGCCTCAGTGCTGCTACTGAGTGCCACTGTTTGGGATAGCCTAGATGGGGGGGGGGGCAGGAAAATAAGAGAATTGTTTCTCTTTTGCTCAAAGTGGGTGGGTTGACACACCAGCAGAGTCTGGTTAGGCATTTATTGACATGCTGAGACCAAATGTTTTGCCATGACTGAAGTAGAGCATAGGAAAAGATATATGCAGTAATCTTGCTCTGATATGTGTTTGTGATTTGCAAACACTGGCTGGTTTATACCTCCCTTCCTGTACATTTCAATGTTGGGGAAGGTCCTTTTTACTGTATAATGTGGGTGTTTTCAGGTTCAATGATACAACTCATCCAGAAGCCATCCTCACTGAAAACTACTGTAGGAACCCCAACAACCACTCTCAAGGACCCTGGTGCTACACCCGTAATCCAGCAGTACGAGTAGAAGAGTGTGCTATTCCTGTGTGTGGTGAGTCTCAGTGCTGGTACAAAAGGTAAAGTTTGATTAGGTCTCTGCCTTAATTTATATGAGTTTGTGCACAATATATCCTCTAAATTCAGTTTCCATATGGTGAGGGAAGGACAGCCTACATGAGATCAGAGGTACATTCTGCTCAGGTATTAATTTATGTAATATGGGGATTAAACAAGTGTGACTTTTTTTGTTGGGGTATATGTTGCCTTAGGAGTCAATTGTAGGGGGCACAAATGTCAACAGTGTCTGAAACTAAGCAAAAAGTGGATGTGGCTGGAATCAAAGGTGGATGAGCTTCTGGCCTTTGCTTCCCCCCCCCCTTTTTTTAAAAAATAATTTTATTCAAGTTTACAGATGCAAAGATAAAAAACTAATACAACTAAGAAAAATAGAAAAGTAAAGAAAGAGAAGTGCAAAGAGACAGAAAACAGAAAATAAAAAATAAGAAAAAAAGATAGGTAAAAGATGACGCCCTCCTACCTCCAGATAAACATAAAACAATTTCAGTAACTTAACACCTTCTCTACTATCTCAATTAAAAAATCTCTTTTTTCCACGTATCATACTTTTATCAATAATCAATTATAAAAGATCATTGTTCAGTCCTAATCAGCAAAAGTCCATTAAGAACTACAGAAATGGTAACATAAATATTTAGTCAAATAAATCCATTTTCTATTTCAACTTACCACTTTCTTTAAGAAATAAGGCAAAAGAAATCTCTCCCTATTTATAAACAGATCTTGAAAGCCCCATCATTTAATTTTAGTTTTTCCTTGACACTTTCAATTTTCTCTTTCTGATTTTTTTTTTCAACCTACTCCACCCTTTCCTTTCTTGCATAGCAGTTAGGATAAATTACTCTTACTAGAAGTCTGCATTAATTGCTTGCACACGTCTTTTGGAAATAGGCAAAAATCTTCATGAAATTAGACACACAATCATACAATCACAGGTTGGCCATTTTTAAATTTATAATTGAGATTCAAAACCAACTTTTGACCGGCATCCTGGGCAATCCTAGAATCTAGAGTTGAAAATGACCAAAGGATCATCTAATCTAGTCCTGTATAACATGCAGAAAAACGACCATGAGATGTGGTCAGCCTTTTAAAAACTTCAAGAGATGGAGAATCGACAGTGCACAATCTTCACTGTTGTATAGATTTTTTCCCTTATATTCCAATGACATCTGTTTAATGAATATAATGAAAATGGATAGTAAATCATGGCCTCCTTCCCTTTAAGTTCTCTCCGTGGACCTGAACACAGCTATCATGTCTCTCCAAAGTTCATCAAACCGAACACCCCAAGTTCTTTCAGACTGTCCTCAGAATTCAGGCTAAGATAAATACTTAATGTAAAGTAACAATTGAATGACACGTGTAGTATGAAGCCAAACCACCCACTTTCAGATTTGGCATGTCTATGTCAGGGAAAACAGATGCTCTGACTGCTTTTTTTATCAGCTCTGAATTGCTATTTCATCAATGCTCATGGTAATCTTGCTCTTCCTTTTAGGTGAGAACCGGACAACAGTTCCCATCTCTCCAGCACTTCCTCCTTTGCCAGATCAAACACGACAGCGGGAGGAATGTGTATCTGAGGAAGGATTGCTTTATACAGGGACTCTTTCTGTCACAGTGTCTGGAGACCAGTGCTTACCATGGGCTTCAGAAAAAGTAAGACAGTTGAGCTCTAGAAAAAACTTCCTGGAAGGAGTGCCCCTGGTGGAGAACTATTGCCGCAACCCTGATCATGATGAGGAAGGGGTCTGGTGCTACGTAGACCACCCAAACATGACCTACAATTATTGCAACTTGAACTACTGTGGTGAGGAGCAGACTTTTATTTCTGTGGTCACTGAAGGAATGGAATATTTGGGAAGGCGTGCTAATATTTAATAGAGATCACTTCTTAAGGTTCTACAGTGGAATTATTGTTTTCCAATTGTAATTCTTTGAGTATAACATGCATTGCTGATGACAAAAAGTCTTCAGATGAGTCCCCACCAAATCCAGGAACCTATTGGACCCCAGCAACTACCATAGCAACAGACTACTTTTTTTTCCTTCTAAGACTCCATGGGCTTCCTGATATATCCTCAGTAATGCTCTAGTGCAGTGGTGGCAAACCTAAGGCACGGGTGCCAGAGACGGCACTCAAAGCCCTCTCTCTGGGCACGTGCGGCATTGCCTCAGTCCTAGGCCTTCAGCTGGGTTTTATAAAACCTTTTCGCTTTAGGCCTCCGCCTCCATGTACAAAAAAAAAAGGTTTAATCAATCAGTCAATTTCAACTTCTCGCAGGAAAAAAAAAGATCTTGAAAAGTTGGGATTGATCAAACTTTTTAGTCCCACCCAGTCTGCTGTTACCACTGCAGCCACGCCCACCCAATGGGCCACACCCAGCCAATGGGCCACACCCACCCGGCACCCGACAATGCATAAGTGGGTTTTGGGTTGCAGTTTGGGCACTCGGTCTCTAAAAGGTCGCCATCACTGCTCTAGTGTCTAGTCCACTGATAGAGAACTCACAATGTTGTTAAATAAATTACTTTTTTGTATTTTCCGGTCCCTCTTCCATTTCAGAAAACAATCTAAGTTATGCCGATGATGTTGCTGAGGAAGAAATAGGAGGACGAACTACTATCCAGCAACATGAAACTTTCTTTGATCCTAAGACATTTGGTGCAGGCGAAGCAGGTGAGGAAAGGAATCAATTAAAGAAAGAACATTTGTGAAATTAGAGAAAAAAGATAATATAGCTCCTCATTTAATATGGGGTCAGCACAGAGGTACGTAATATTTTTCAGTCTAGAGGCTACACATTTGAATGGCATACCAAGGTCTAAATTCATTTAGAGATAATTATAAATAATTATTCAGCTAGACTGGGTTACAATATTTGCAATTCTGCCCCAATCCCAAATGACTATGGGCAACTAAAAATGTTAAAATATTTGATACAAAAGAAAACATATATAAAACAAAAAGCTAGCCTGTAGTTGTAACCAGATGACTTCTTTATGTGCATTTTCTTTTTTCCTCAAACGTTTTATCATTGGTACCTGCCCATTGTCCAATAGGAGGTGGGCAGGTAGAAATAAGGGAAATAAGTTTATTTGCTGTGAAAAGTAAGAATGATAGGAAGTCAGTACTGAAGTCTCTCTCCATATCTCCGCCTCCACCTTTTGGGTATATCCAAACAGGCCATTTTGCATGCTTCGTTCAGGCTGCACCAGCACATTTCTTTTTTCAACATAACTGTGTGGACTCTGAGTTATTAAGGAGGCTAATGAATGGTGCTGTCATAATAGCTAATTGTGGGATCAATTAAGCGCAGCAGATAGAAAGTAGCCCACATTGGAGGAGGAGAATCCTGCCTTGGCAAGTGCTGTCATCTAAAATGATCCACTGACACACTACACAAGACACCGCAGGTTACTCAAACACTTTGTTGTCACTCCTGATAGTGGCTAAGGTTGGTAGAAGAGAGAACCAATGTGCACTAAGGCGGGAATTTTGCACCTTTTTGGGTATAATAAAGGCAACATCCATGTTGGTAAGTTGCACAGAGAGAACTTGTTGAACTGGCAGGAATCCCACCCCCCTTGTGTGTAAGTATGCACCTATGCTGGGAGGGTGACTTGCCAAGAATTGATTTAATTTGGCACTGTCTGACTCTAGAGAGACTCTGAATGACTCTCAGTACAATAAACAGAATAAAAATAATATGATAAAAAGAAAAGCATACAACAAAAGAACTAGAAAGAGGGTGTGTGTGGGGGGGAGGAAGAGAACTAGATGGCAAATTCAGCAGACAACACAGAACAATATCCAGAGGTGAGTCTCCAGCCACCTTAGCCAAAGGCTTGGGAGGACAGCAACGTCTTATGCCTCGTTCCCCAAGAACACCATCGCTTCATGTCACATGGCTCTCACAAGGAATTTCGTTCTTAAGTGCAGGCTTCATGATAGGGAAGATAGAGAGTAGAGAGGTAATAGCTAATTTAACTAATAGTAAGACTTCTGCTGGAAGAAAGTGGAGAGGCTTAATTCAGCTTTGGCTCCAAAAACTGAAACTTCACAGGCCATGGCTATGAAATGCAAATAAAAAGAAAGCTGAGTCTTGCAGAGATCTCTTTCAAGAACAGTTAGCCAAATACTCTTAAGCCAAATTTAGAAGGATGTATAGATTGCCCTTGTGGGCGATGCAGTGGCCTAGAGATGGAGCTCTCGCCTCACAATCTGGAGGCTATGAGTTTGATCCTAACGTAGTGGCAGATATTTTTCTCTTTGGGTGCAATGAGTAATTGTCTGCTGTGAACTCTGTGTAGGCGTCAGGAAGGGCATCCGGCCATTAAAAACTCAGCTCCATTCAGTCGTCTGGATTCCACCCGGATGCAAAGGGCCCTTGGGGAAAAGAAATTGACCTTGGAGAAATTCAGAGGGGCAAATTTAGAAGGGGCAATTTAGAAGCTTTTAACCAAGATCAAGAGGATAGAAAACACCGTCCTATTTCCAAAGAATATTACATTTAAATATACAATATAGACATTTTGACAGAACCTTAACAACATTTTGTGGATTTTTTCCAAAGACTCTATTTTACTGATCAGACCTTTTGTTCACAAAATGAGGAAAAAGGAGGTAATGGCAATGTTAGACAGGTGCCTTAAATTAATATCAGTCATACAGGGAATAGCTAGGAACCAACTCAATTCCCAATTCATCTTCCGGTAGTTATTCCAATGAAGAGAGGCTAAAAAATTTTGCCCACACACTTCCCGTCAGGAACAGTTCTGATGCCAGAAGCTAGCTACTCACTGTCATCTCTTCCTAGTAGAAATTTGGCTTATGAAAGACAGGATCACTTGTGAACTAGTCAATCATGTGTGGATGGGGCTATATTTCCAGATTGTGGCATCCGTCCCCTGTTTGAGAAAAAGAAAATCTCTGACCCCACTGAGAATGAGCTACTGGAGTCCTATTTGCAAGGCCGAATTGTGAAGGGGGTAGATGCTGAAGTGGGCAGCGCTCCTTGGTAAGTCTGGTTGTGGGAATGAGATGGAATGGGGAGAGTTTGCTTATTTTCCTTCCTGTGTGCGTGCCTGATTACTGACACTGACTGTATCAGTTGATGTATGAGTTGCTGCTGCACTTTCTAAAAGAAGTATGACCTTGGTAGTTTCTGCCTCTTTCCGCTTTGTGAACCAGTAAGAGGAACTACCTATCAATACAAAGAAGATAACCTGCAAGTCACATCTGACAATTGCAGTCTACCCATTCTCTATCTGTAGAGTGTTTCAATCCTGAAAAAGTTGCCTCCCCATACTCTGCATTTCAAATTTTATTGTACTTAGGCAAGTCATGCTATTCAAGAAGAAACCACAGGAGCTGGTATGTGGTGCTAGTCTCATCAGCAATCGCTGGGTCCTCACTGCTGCGCATTGCATTTTCTATCCACCCTGGGATAAAAATTACACAACTGATGACCTCCTTGTACGGCTTGGCAAACATAACAGGATACGGTAAGAGCTTAAAAGGTTATGAGCCAGTCAAATTGTATACTGAGTGTAGGTCATAACTGTCAGGCTCCAAAAATCAAGAAAGTCACACTGAGATTCTTCTAAACCATTTCCTCTATTGTTTTTACCCGTAGGCAGAAATCTTGCCAAACTAAAGCAAACTACTTGCACCATTGAACTATATTGTATATTGTGAGAATTACTGGGGAGGCCCTACCTTAACTCTCTCTCTCTCTCTCTCTCCCACACAACTATCCAAATTTCACTGTATTTTGCTCCTCCTCCCTCTCTCCTGGGAATGCAGACTACATTCTACCACATAACAGCCTTCTATCATCCCCCTCTTCTGCTGGGAGGTGCTGATCTATTGAAAGGGGGGGGGGGCAGAAATGGAAATCACAAGGACAGAGCAGCAGGCTTGTTAGCAAGGATGAAATGCCTCAATCCACCCACCTTAATAATATCATCACAAAATACAAAGACCTGCAAAAAGGAGTAAAAATTGTGATAGTTGTAATAGGTATTTTTGGGTGCAGTCCCAGAATACCTGGAACACCATTTGAACAACATCAGCATTGATAAAATCACCATCAGTCAATTTCAAAAAGCTTTATTTGAAACAGCTTACATCCTGCAACAATACTAACACAGTCAAACAACAACATCTGTCTATGGCTACCCAGGTCCTTGGGAAGGACTCAACTGGTAGATAAAAATGCCAAATCCACTCTAAACATCTAGTTGACCAGGTGACCAACTATAATAATAGATTAAATTTATATGCCACCCAACTCCCAGCGATTCTGGGACTCTTAAACCCTGCTCCTCTTATTTATAGTTCCATTTAGTTCACATCTGCAGGCAATTAGAAGTTGCAGGATGCAGGGTTTATTTCAGTTTAGTTTTCTCTAGATAGACGTGACCCAGGTCTTGTGGACTTAAAATATTTAAGCTTAAAATATATGAGCTGAGAGTAGGTAAAGACAAACATTAATGCTTTAAAGAGGAGACGAATCCCTTCAGCCACCTCATAAACCAGCTTGCACAGATATCTGTTTCTGTGATATTGCAGAGCCCCATCTTGCTCAAAACTGCAATCTCCTTTGATGGCAACCCCTACAGTTGTAGACTACATAACCTTGTGCTGCCAGGATGAAAGAAATGAGCCTTTCTTACAATCATTCTTCTTACAATATGTTATTGAGAATGACTGAGAATGGTCCTATATTAAGAAACTACCAGTTAATAATTAACTGTGATGGACACATACAATATCCCTTGACTGTCTTCAGTTTCCAACCCACGTGTTGGTGAATTAAAAAATTGCTTGACAATTTTGTTAAGCTGTTGAGACCAGTTGAATCTCTGGTTCCATCGTTTAATGTTTAATGATAATAAACTATAACTTTATCCTACTTGTTAAGCTCACAGTGCTCTGTCTGGATAAACATTCAGTAATGTTAATAGTAATCATAATAAAGAACTAACACAAGGGGAAGACGAAGGGAAGTCAGTTAAAGGCGCTTTGATGTTCATACTATAAAGAGTATAGAAAGGTTAAAAATGTCCTGACATTAGCATTTCAAAATTCCATTTTTTTCCCCATCTCTGGATATTCAGATATGAGCAGGGCAAGGAGAAAATTCTCTTCCTGGATAAAATCATCATCCACCCCAAATATAACTGGATGGAAAATCTGGATCGGGACATTGCGCTATTACGTCTGGCTAAGCCTGTACCTTTCAGTGATTATGTACACCCAATATGTCTGCCTACCAAGCAGGTTATTCAGAGGTAAGGAGACAAAACTTTGTAGTTTCTTTAAAAACTGGAAAAGGTGTTAAAGTAAATCAAGATCAATTCAATATTAGGAAAAGAAACCTGGTGCCAGCATAATTCAACTATTTTTTTTTTTTGCCAAATATGAATGACATAATCCCACAATGCAAAAGGGGGAGGGCGAGAATGGATACATAGCCAATAATTAAACAAATGATGGATTTTATACTAATAAGGTATAGTTGTACGATTTAATATTAGATACAAGTAAATATGTTGGACCAGAAGACCTCCAAAGTCCCTTCTAGCCCTGTGATTCTATGATTCACATGCATTATTTAAAAAAAGTCAGCGTGTTTTTCTATGTATTTACACAATAGGATAGAAATATAAGAAATCAAGTCTTAACTTATTTAATTTTCTCAAGTCACTTTCGCTCACTTTCCTTTTGTAATGTATATGCCTTCTTACTCCTTATCTCAATGATCGATACTGGAACGTCTGCACGTTTTTCACCTGGTGTCTTGCTACCAAACAAAGCCACTGTCCAGCACTTGAGACTTTGTACAGAGTCTCTCCTCCTAGGCTTTTCACAGTCTCACAAGCAGGAAGGATTGCAGTGTTCTTCAGTCTCTGGGAAGGAACATTTAATCTTTGGAGAAACTGACAGTGGTGCTCATAAACGGCAAGACCCTGAATGACCAAATTGTGATTCTGGCATGATAATGCAAAGGCTGGAAACATGCAACAAAAGCTGAACTAAATATGGATACACCATAAAGAGCCACTGTGTGGAGGTGTTTAAAAGTGAGAGGATATACAATTGTCAAGACTTCATTATCATATGCATTAAAGGAAGCACTAACGATGGGGCTGAATAGCTATGCAAGAATCGGTTAAATTCAGGGAAAGCTTAGCCCATTTACAGTTTGAAGCAGGAATTCAGCAGGGGTCAAAGTGACCCTCTGGTGCATTCAGTAAATTCAAACCTCACAGTCCACAAGATGAATGCTCCCATCCCACTTTGGGATGGTACAAAGGTAAAAGTAAATATCTTTGATGGTGAGATTTGAGAAACCTAGTTCAATTATCTCTTTGTCTTCGAAGAGTGGCAACAATGGGGGAGGGGTTAGCACTATGTGATATTGAAGTAAATGATAAGAAATTCAGCTCCATAACTACTACTACTAATTTCTAGCCTCTAATTGTCTCACTAGAAGAGAGTATTTATAGATGAACTGTGGAGTTCTTGGTATTCTGAGCTTGATTATTTTCTTGAAGATGTTTATTACTCAGCTAGGTTACGTCTTCAGTGCTATCTGCAAGAAAACAACCAAGCTTAGAGAATACCAAGGATACTCTTAGCCGTCTGTTGAGTTGCTTCTTTTGAGTAACAAAAAATGAGAAAATCAGTATTCACATCCACTAGTTTGGAAAAAATAAAGCCAAAGGTGATGCAAGAGGCATCCGTAGATTAGCTGTGTTAAAATTGTTGGGACCAAGTTCTAAGAAAACATCCAGGAACCTTCAGTCCTCTGTGGGGCAGAAGGATAGAATTTGGTAGGAAGTTTTAGCCCTTTGGCACCAAGATCACGTTCAAGGAAAAAGGAATGGCAATAAGCGGTAGCATTCATAAGAAGCAATGTAGAGCTTTTGTATCTGTTTGAGCTCCTCACTGGCCTTTGTATGCAAAAGATCATCACTGTCAAATGCAAAATCTTCAGCATGATTTCTGTCCTCCTTGGAATACAGCTAGGCATGATGACAAAAGATGATTGGTCCTGCCTGCATTGTTAGACGTGTTAGGCTACTGGCAAACAAAGTGACAAGGCTTCTAATTATCTGATTTGTGTTTTCATTTTATCTGACTTCTGATTTGTGTTAGCTCATTATGTTGAATGGAGGAAATCCAAGAGACATTTTCTACAGGATGTTTACAGCATGTCATACATATTGGGAAATTAACTCTGCACAACTTTGTGGATTGAAGCATTCTCTCGATATCTAGATTCCATCTTCTCTATCCATTGGCACAGTATGAATTTGAATTCTGCCATGGGCATCTGCAGGTCAAGATAAAAAAGCATGATGGCAGACCAAATGGTACAATTGCCATGGACACCATTTTGATTTTTTTGACTTGATAACTGAGCTCTGTTAGGGTTCCCACCATCCAGCTCTCTTGTAGCTGAAGATCCAAGCATCACAATGAAGGAGTTCAAATATCTTAACTGAAAGTCTTCAGTTGCAGAAACCTTGCAAGAGAAAAACTCCCTGGGACTGCCAAAGAAACTGGAGAGTTCTCACTTCTTCTGTAGAAAAGAACCAAGAAATATAGAGAGGAAGGAATTCATAGTGTCACAAATATTGATGAAGGAGTTAGGCTGTAGGACAGCAGATGGAAGTGTAATGTAAGAATTTTTAAAAAAACTCTCCATTTTCACATTTTAAGAAAAGCCATTTTTTTTTCTATTTTCAAAGCAATAGAAAGAGAGTTTGCCTGGGAGCGTTCAAGCTTTGAGCAGTGTTTGCAATGAGCAAAATACTTAAGTGTGCTCTAAAATTTGTTTATTTTTACTGAATCCTCCCTTTTCTTCTTGTGATTTCTACAGGCAATCTCTTCACCCAGTTCTTAATGAGATGGTTGACTTGTTGTGTCATCCTTCTTGTCATAATTTGATCTCTGCCAAACAATTCAGATGGTGTGGGGGGGGGAGCAAGAGGAAGGTCATCTTATACTGCCCAGATTGGGCAAATATAAATGAGCTGTTTTAATGATACACCATATCTCTATGACTTATATTAATCTATCTCATTCTAAGTTCTCCAGAATCTTTTAATCCACTTCACTTTTGTTCCGTAGCCTATTGCTAACAGGATATAAAGGCCGTGTTACTGGTTGGGGTAATCTGTTTGACACCTGGGGTGCAGGATCACGACAATTGCCTAGCGTGCTGCAAGAGGTGAACCTCCCTATTGTGAGACGGGAAGTCTGTAAGGCATCCACTAATATTAAAGTCACAGACAACATGTTCTGTGCAGGTGAGTTTTCCTAGGTACTTGATGCTGAGGCAGAAGTAGGCATGATTCTTTGTGTTTGCTGTTGGGTACTGATCAATTCAAAGAACAGCTTTCATGGCCCACCATGCAAGGAACATCAGCCGGCCAATAGGATGAAGGAAAGTTATTTTCATCGTACAAGTGTGAAGACTATCAAGTCTCAACCTGTTACTACTCCTGCCTCCATTTTTTTGCTCTCTAGTGAGCAAAAGGAGTAACTGAGTGTCTTTCTCCAAATATAAATACATGAATAATGGACACCAGTGTGGCTAGGCAAAAGAACCCTTCTAATTCACTTACCACAGTGTTTCCCAAACTTGACAATTTTAAGGCACGTGGACTTCTGGGAGTTGAAGTCCACATGCCTTAAAATTGTCAAGTTTGGGAAACACTGACTTACCATTATGATTCCCAAATTACAACACTGTACAACATAGAACCTCTCACATCTTTCTCCTTTACCTCTAGAAATGGCACACATCAGTGTAGACCCATACCCTAATTTAAGTTGCCTTGGATATATCCTAAACAAAACTTAAATGAGGGTGAAAAAACTGTTTCTAATTTAGAAGGTTGTGTTTTCTTAGATTTCTATCCCTCGTTTCCTCCAAGAGCTCAGGCAGCTTACATGGAAAAATCTCTATTTTACTTCTGTAACGATCAGCTAGGTTGGGCTGAACAACATTGACCAGCCAAAACTCATTAACAGTGCATTTCCATGGCTGAGGGTGGGTTTGACTCTGGTCTCCACAGTGCACACTTTGGGCACTATGCCACATCACCTTTTGCCATACATTGGCCAGGTTCATCCATTACTTTAAGCCATGTTTAGGTAAAGCAACATCGGCTTTTTTTAATTTGTAAACTATAATGACTTAGAACATTCTGTGAATCAAGCTAATTGCTATTCAAACTATGATTAAATGCTTGTTTAGTGAAATGTGAAAAATAGGCAACTATGAAACAAATGTGAAAAGCCAATGATTATGCACTCTCCTTTTACCTTGTGTTCAAATGTAGTCTACTGCAGATGTAATGGACATTAACTCTAGTAATTCTCCAGTCAACAGCTCTGCCGCTTAAAATTCCAAGTCATTAGATAGGACCAGGTTGTAGAGCAGTAATGACCAAATGAGTGACAAGCAAATTTAATTAGTAGATTTATACCTGAGCTCTCTCTGAAAAGTGCTATGTTTTTAGTGGTGTAATTTATTTATTTAATGCAAACAGCCAGAAATGCAACTTCTGTAACAACTCACTCCTGGCTTAAACAAGTTATATCATAATGAGTTGAGGTTTATAATAGAAAATATAGAGAGAGAGAGCATCTGACCCAGTGTTTCTCAACCTTGACAATTTTAAGGCATGTGGACTTCAACTCCCAGAATTCCACATGCCTTAAAATTGTCAAGGTTGAGAAACACTGAATTCTGACCTGAAACAAAACATCAATTTTCTACCATATTATTTACATTTTATTTTATCATATTTAGAGACCATCCATCTCACTTATGGAAGAGCTTTTTATGACTTGTTTGATTCATTAACCCGTCATTTTATAAAGCCCTCAAGAGATTATGGCGAATTGAAAGAAACCATTTCCAGAGTTTTAGCCAAATGTTTTTAGGTAAAATGTAGAGAACTTTGCCTAGGAATAAAATAAAATAAATAAAAGATCTGATATTAAATATAGCATCTTGTGAAATTGTTTGAAATCATTCTATATAGATTGATCATTTAAACCATGATTGCCTGCACATCTTATGATAGCAAACATGCTAAACACCTCACAAAGTCATGGAGTTTTTGTGTACCAAGAAAACAACCAGTAATTATCCTTTGGTGTGGAGTGAATCCAGCTGAAAATAACTCCAATTAAACTGAGTAAACCTAGGTTTATAAATTTAAGTAAGACATTACAGCAAAGGAAGCAGGTCACAGTTTCGTAAGTTTCAAACTGATTAGCTCAGGAACTACATTAAAAGCTGATGGGAAAAAAAAACAGAAAAATGTAGGAAAGACAGTGCAGCTTCTTTACCAATTGTTCTTTCTTTTTTTAGGTTATAGTCCTGAAGAAAGCAAGAGAGGAGACGCTTGTGAGGGTGACAGTGGGGGCCCTTTTGTCATGAAGGTAAGTTTCTCTGAGTGACTTCAAAACATAAATGGGCAAACTGCTGACGTCACAGGCCCGCTGTTCATCAGTCTGTAGCAAGGACCAGTGTGCCCTTTTCCCTCGCTAATGCCACCATTCATTTCTTCTTTCCAGCAATATTCTTAAAAGGCCTGCATCTTCTTCACTTTAAGAGCATTACAGTTAATTAAGCATATCATTAAGAGCAGGAAAGCAGGAATTTCCCCAATTACCACCGAGTGTGGCGTACGCGAGTGTGATACAAGTTGATGTACACCGCAGATTTAGCCCTTGACTTGTAACAGTGCTAACTTTTGAGTTCAGGTCAGTTTCAGACAAACCTCAGCATGTCAGAATTTTTTTAAAAGCAACTATCTCAATCTCAGTTTAGGAGTCTTACCAAAAGCAATCACCAGCCAGGGTTGTTAGGATCGTTTTAACTTAACCTCATTAACACAGCCCAAATGCTGAAGTTCCTATCTTGACATAACCCGTAATTTATTCTGTTGTTGAATATTTTCCCCATCCCAACCCTTTTCAAATAAGGGTGAAAAACTAGACTCAGAAATGTCCATGGGCTACCTTTTTCTTGCTTATAGTCTTATAGATTACATGATCCTGCTGCTGCTATTGTTCATCTTTCTTTAAATGACCTACGTGTACTACTTGCAATTTGCTGACCCTCCCTTTTTATACTGTGGCACTTCTTTCCTTCCTACCAGCATCCAACAGAAGAACGGTGGTATCAAGTAGGTATTGTCTCCTGGGGAGAAGGTTGTGATCGTGATGGCAAATATGGATTCTACACCCATCTGTTCCGTCTGAAGAAATGGTTGCAAAAGACTACTGAGAAACATGGCAGTTAAATAGGAATCAAAATCTGCATTTGCACCTTGGTTTACAGATATAGAATAATCAAACAGTACAGTACTAAAAGCCTATGAATGGAAATAAACCGGAGTCATCCCTGAATAAAGATTTTTAGATAAAACGCTCGTTTTTTTTCCTGGTTGTCAACTGCAGGCAATTTCTACTGAATGCATCAGCCAAATAATCCAGATAACGGAAGGACATCCATGCACGATTACCCAAAGACAGCTTTAGAATCAGAACATTTCTGCATTCCTAAATGTATACCTTTAACGTAAGAAACTGTGAGACAAATAGTACAGGCTTGCTGGAAGTTGGCTTTCCTGGTTTTTTTTGGGAGAGTTCTGAAGGAAAGAAATTACACATAGCAGAATTTTAACATGGCAGAGATTACAAATAGGCAAAGATTTGCATTCAACCACATCCTTTCTTCAATTAGACAAAAACCAGCCTATTTATGTGTGAGAGATCCCTTCTGATGGAAAGGTAACAACAGCTTTCATCCTAAATGTCAGAGAACTGATTCCATTGTTAGAGAGGTTGCTATCTCCTTAAAGGGCAGGCTGATGAAAAAGCATCTTTGGGCCAGTGTTGTCCAAGGGTCATGGCCACAAGCCCAGAAACAAGAAGATATGCTTGTTTGTTAAAGTTTGGCAATAACAGCATTTATTTTGTTAAATGTTTTCCCCTGAACAATCAAGGAGTATCCATTGGAAGAGGCTAATTTACAGTCTCATTTGTAACTTCATAGCCTTAAACCTCTAGCAGACATTCTAATACTTCAAACACTCCATGGTTTAAAGAAAAGGTAAAAATCAAACATAGATGCAATGGGAGTTATTTAAAAACAAAACAAAACATCAGCTTAATACTCTTAACGAACAGACATTTGGATTAGATTTTTCACCCAACAAATGATTAAGGAAAACATTGAGCATTACGGTCAATTTTTCTTGGAACTATTTATGACAATTTTGCATGTCCATTTTCCTGCATCTATTATACTGATTAATACTGATCAATTAATGCTGTTGTACACATACTATTTTTCTGTTAGTTTAGTGCAACAGACATTAAAAATGAAACACTCCTATATGGCAATTGGAAAAAAAAGCCCTGAGTTAACTAGTAAAAGCTACTACTTTAGACAAATACAGTATTTTAGAGGCAGAATTTCTATCAGAATCTTCTAATTCCATGCATTTGGAGGCATGGTAACTAAAACGTGTTTCACAGACATCATGGAAAAATTAGGTCTTAAGAAATCAGGAGAGAAAATTAAAGCTATCATTAAATGCTTTTTCATTCAGACTAATATTTAGTATGTTTCAACACACTAAATACCAACTAAACATTTGGTTTAATTTAGTTTGAAAGCATTCTAATTTCTGTAGTTCATGCAAAAATTCTCTAATTAAAAATATGTCCAAATTCAGTTGAGAAACTCAAACTAGCATTATTAACAGTAACAGGACATATAAAAAGCCTTGCATATTCTTTTATCACACGATATCTTCTGAAAAATAATTTTATCGTAAGTTCCCCATAAAATGAAGCAGAGCCAGTCACGTAGTACTTCTCCCAGTGGTCTGATGGAATTGTGATGTTGACATTGGGACCAGCTGAACTATCAATGTTCTCATATGTTGGCATCAATGACATGTGAGAACCAGCCACCAGACAGGAGGTTTATATCAGAACACATACGCTACGGTTGAGTTATAAATGATTTTGCAAAAATTAGCTTCTTTATTTGTTTCTATATTGCTAGTTCTATTATTCATTTAACCCAAAAAGGAAAAAGGGAAGCCAAGAAGACCAGGTCAAGCATATAGCCCACTTTGCACTGAATAGGACACACTGTAGATCAGTGGTTCTCAACCTGTGGGTCGGGACCCCATTTGGGGTCGAACGACCATTTCACGGGGGTCGCCAAACAACGTAGTCCACCATTTTTTCCCCCTTTTCCTTAGCTGTGCTACTCCCTTGAATAGAGTCTAATTCTATTGGCTTTCAAAAGCCAATAGGAATTGTCCAGGCTGTCTCTGCCCTGCTGAGCCCGCCAAAAGACCCATTCTGCAAATGGTGCTGCACCAGTTGAGTAGTCCTCGACTTACGACCAGTTGAGTAGTCCTCAACTTACGACCGGTTGGGGGTCGCGGCATTAAAAGGGTTGAGAACCACTGCTGTAGATGAACAGATTCATAAGGGGCAATAGAACAACAGTCTGCAACAGCAATGAGTAGCAACTCCTTCTCTTCGGATAAAATCATAGCGGCAACAATCTCACTATTTTTAGAGCTGTCAGTCACTTTTAATATAGCAGCAAACATTTCTCCACTTACTAAGTGAAGTTCTATAAAGACAGAAGAGGAAATTGAATATATTACATAAGCATCCATTAAAGTTGATACCAATAAAAATGTTCTCTATATAGTAATTGAGAAAATGTCATCCTCTGAACCACTGGCAAAAGAATTCTCTCTTTCCTAGAAAAGATTTCATAGTTACTCCACTGAGTAGTTATATCATCAAGATTCAGGAAGTACAGAGAAATTAATAATAAAAGGTAACATTTATTCAAATGTACTGTAGAAACATTTCCATTAGTTCTAAGTTAAAGCTAAAAATGGTTTAAATACTAGAGGGAATTTTGGAAATCAATATTAAAATGTATTATCAAAATGATAAAAGCCACACACTGCAAGGAGAAAAGGAAAAAAGCAAAGTATATTGTTAGACAACATAGCTAATATATTTTAGCTCAGAGACTTCACTTCCAAATATTATTTCTAATACTCACTAAATATTATAATCCAATGTTTATCTCCAGATTATATGAGAGAAGTGAACTCTTGTGTATTATTGAAAAATTAGGAATTTGTTACTATTTCTAATAATGTACCAGAAGAAAACTATATGTTAGCAAAATACATATATTTTTGGCACCATTTCAAGGCCCATCATAGTGCTAGTAAGTTATTATTGTGGTTTTTAAACACAAAACATTTACCCACTTGGTTAGGTGCTGATTCATTCTTTAATATTCCTAGCTAAGGCAAGTAATTCTTTATGAAGTAAAGTTTCAGCTGAAAAGACTGCAAATTAGAATAGGTTTAACGGCAAGTATAGCCAATCTTCTAAGTAGGAAAATGTACATATTACGGATAAATATGCTTGTTACACCAAATTTCCACCAGATTACATATTATATATGCACCTAGTGACCAATTATATTTTTACAGATTATTACCAAGCTTGATTGGTTGCAATATAGAACTACTGTATAGCACCAGAGCTATCACCCAAAGCTTAACAGGCATAAAGATGTAAATGAAATCTGTGTCAGACATAAAAGCAGTTGATGCTCCAGGAAGAATGACACAAGACATATAATAGGAACATGGGAAGTGCTAAGAAGACTACAGAAATTCTGAAGGATGAGATCTTATGAGGCAATCATGAATAAAAGAGATGCAAATCAGCCAGAGAATTAACAATTCTAACAATTATGCTCTGAAGTGGATAATGTAACAAATAGTATCACCTTTAATGGTCACAATAACCATTCATTTCAAAGCACTATCATTTTGGAAGTAGAGTCCCAAAGATCTGTCATTATTAGCAATTGCTGGTAATACATTTAACACAAACGTGCTAGCAGCTTCTGGGATAGAAAGAGAAAATGGATTCACCATGATTAGAGTAACATTAAGAAAAACCAAGATTATTTACTCATCTTAACTACAGAATACTTCCACTATCTTGAGGAAATTGAATGTTCAAAAAGGTTTAAAACCAGTCCTCAATTAAGATTCTAGGAAAAGATTTGGAAGATATTGTCTGAGATGTAAAACGTTCTGGCTTTGGGTCAAGAGTTTTCTGTAAGCACAATATTATTATTAACATTAAAAGTTTCCTTTATCTGGAACACATTGGTACATTAGTATCTCAGCTTCTCCTTGTTTTCCCAATTAAAGTTAATTTGCTATAGTGACTCAGACACACACTCATTTAACAATTAAAATGCAGAGTCACAATAGCAATTAGGAACATGGTTGAACATTTGCCACCAACAGTCACTGCTGCTCCCACAGAGAGTTAATGCAAACTTTATTTACAAAAAGACACTTAAATTACTTGCTTCATGCCATGCGTCCATACAGAAACAGTTCAAGGATTATATGGAGAAATAATTCACAAAATTAAAAATGAATGCAACGAAAAGTTTCCAAGATTTAAGAGAGCTAAGATAAGACAACTTAACAAATAAAACCAAGTTTTGAGAAACTGGACTGAGCAGGAGAATTGTTTACAGCTCTGTACACGAAAACTAATACACAGACTCTCTTCTACGGTCAAGAAATGCTCACAAAAAAGCAAAATATATACAAAGATTTGTGCCACATTGACTTGGATCCTCCTCCAAGATCTGCTGTATTATACACAGAAACCAGTTTGTATACATAAGGCCTGCATGAGGCCACTTAACTATGAAGACTTCTAATTTAGTCAACTAAAGATGGACAGCTCTGCAATAGCCAAACCGTCTCACGCAATTTCACTTGCGACTGCTTTTTATTCTCTCCAGTCTTTTTTTCAAGTCATCAATATTGGAGGCTGTAGAAGAGGAAGTGGTACTTCCAATGCCAGCATGGGTCTGATTGGAGTCCAGATCAATGTGCTGGTATTGTTCCCGTGATTCACGAAGCTGGGAAAGCTTACTATGGAGCATATCTGTAGAGGATGCAACAGTGGGGGCTGATGGCTTGGACAGTGTGGTGGCCAGTGATGCTCTGTCTTCTTGCTGTGGGGAGAGATATTGAAAACTCTTACTCAAAAAGCGCTTTAAGTTACCAAATCAAGCAGGTTGGCTCTAACAATACCACTATAACTCATCTTCTAAGAGGAGGTTTACTTCAGTTTTAGAAATGTAAAATATATACTTGAAATTAAAGGATGCTAAAATTTTATCCTATTCTTTATCTTTCACTATGGCCAAGGTCATAAACAGAATTAATATTTTCTTGCAATGTTTTTTTCAAAGCATGGGGTATGCAGCCTTACTCATTATTTTGCCTATGCTGATATGATAATATAAACTTTACTACATACAATGAAAAAAATCACTAGTAACCAAAAAAAGAGTGAAATATGGATTTTGCGGCATATTTCAATTTTTTTTTGCGATGGTGCTTAAAGGTTGGTAAATCCTTTTGAATTTTCAACAATTCTGTACAACTATGACCTAAAACATTTACCTTTCTCCACACAAGTCCTAAAACTAGATGAAGTGTTAAAAATTAGATAAACAATTAAAACAAATAAGTCAAAAACTTTCTACTTGTTCTACTTAACTACCTTTGCATTGTCAAGGCCACATCGCTGCCTGAGGATTTTTAATCTTTCCAAATAGACAGATGGCCCCACCTCTTCCCCATTTGAATTTCCGATAGCAGAAGAAACTACATTGGTGGGAGTGGGAATACATGATACCTCCATCTGTGGAGAAACTCCTACAAAATAAAAAAAAAAAATCACAAGCCACAAATGAGTCAAATCTAACTTCAACAAAAGATTGAAATGGGATGTTACCTAGGTTGGGGTAGGAGATGACCAGGCTAACCCTGAGGGTGGGGTCAAATGCATCATCAGTCTTGAGTCTCTGTTATGCCCACAAGAGATTTAAGTCCAGCCCACCTTGAATTCCATTGACTCTTATCTACCATCAACTTGCTTTGCCTGTTAGTTCAGATTCTGTAGAGAGTTTAAGCTTGCAATAAACCCTTATATTCATTTGAACTGTCTGAACTCCTGATTTCCTATGCTTGACAGTTTGTATGGCGTAACTACTTATGTTATCTTTGTGCCTTATTCTGGGGGTGCAAAGTTGGACCTGGTAATGCCCAATCAATGAAGTAGGTGGAACATTTTATCCCCTTCTTTATGCTTTTGATATTTACTGGACCATGTGGGATGAGTTTAGAAAATGACTCTTTCCTACGTAAGGACTGTCTTTATAACTGAAATAAAACAGGCATGGGAAATCACCAGTGGTGAGATCTCCAGCTAGAGACTTGCAAGTTTGGATTCCCTTCAGGGGAAGGCCTGACCTTCCCTAAAATCCTTGAAGCCTTTATCTGCCTATTCCCAGGAGAATGTAGTCCATCTGGTGAGATTCTTATAAATTAGACTAGAAACTATAGAGAAGCAATTCTATCTGACATCATCATAGAACAGACCATTCCTGTCTGCCCTGGCCTTCTGACATTCTCTCTGTGTTACAGGAAGAAGAGCTGTGCTGACTTTATTTTAACTATCTTTACTTTAGGTCTTTATTTTAAATATCTTTTTGGTTAATACTAATCAACAAGTCTACTGCTATACCACATGCAATACTCTAGTAATTCTATTTGTAGATATTACCTGCATAATGAGAGTATTATGGAATAACCACTATAATTGCTTAACGCCACACTCACCCTGTACTTTAAGAAAGTTGATATATTACTTCTGAAATTCTCTACCTGTTCTGCTAACCCTGGAAAAATCAGACAACTCCATCAACACAAGAGCTGTTGCTTGCAAGTTCATATCAAAGTACCTGTGGAAGAAATCCGCCCTTTGCCTTCCCTTTCCATTTCAATCAGCCGGAGACCTCGTTCTACATAGCTCTGGAAGAACTGTGAGGAGTTTTTTAGGAAGGGCTCAATATCTGCATCAGAATATTTCTTTTTATATTCATACAGCTCTGCCAGACCCTGTTTTAGAAACAAAGTGCCTCAGCTATTAAAAATTGTACATATAAAAACAGGCATTAGCGCTGAGGATTTAGGTTCTGAATATTGTGTACTAAATTCAATATCATGGCTCTGAATTCAAAGCACTATTATTTTGATCATTAGGATTTCAAATGGATCTTTCCTAGGCCTACTTTAAAATGTCAGAGGTCGATTTAGGTATTCCTCTGTTTAAGTTCAACAGCTTGGTTCTAAACCTTTCCTAAAGGCTAGCCCAGTGAGACTGCAAAGCTGTCATTTAAAAAAAACCTCCAACAAAAAAATACTGTGCAACTGATAGAGATGGGCAAAATGCTCTGTGCATAGACCACAGCCTGCACAACAGAGTAGGCTTAAGTGGTTTGTAGCTGGATCTGCACATGCTGGTCCCAGTTATAGGCATTCCAGGTTGGAAAAGATTGGAAAAAAAATGAAGTCAGCAGCAGTGAAGAAAAAGAAAGAGCTGGGATGACTGGGGGGAAAGGATGGGTACGAACATATTGGGTTATGCTGTGCTAAAATACAAACACAGCAGTGGCATGAAATACAACAAGAGAAAGGGTATGACTTAGCCAGGTGTTCAGCCGGGATAGGGAAGAAAAGCATTGAGACTATTGTTCTACAACAGAGGTCTCCAACATTTCCAGGCTCACAGCCTGGAGGGAAGGAGAGCAGCTTCCAAATTGGTGTGTACATACACCCAAATGGACCCACCCGCACCAGTGCAGCACTAGCAGCCCCATTCGTGCATGAGCAAACAGGCCGTGCACACCCACCTAGCACTAGCAGCCACGTTCACGCATGTGCAAATGGGCCAAGCACACCCACCTGGCGCTAGTGGCCTCATTCACGCCAGCGTAAATGGGCCACGCACACCCGCCTGGCACTAGTGGCCTCATATGTGTCTGTGTACATGTGCAAACAGGGCCGCGGGAGCTAATGTGATTGAGGGGCAGTGCACATGCGTACCAGCCAGCCATTTCCACGGCCCACTGGCTAAGAGGCCGTGGCCCAATAGTGGGGCACGGCCCATAGGTTGGGGACCCCTGTTCTACAGGTCCCATCTGAAAATTTTGCCAAAATCCCAAACAATCAACACATTTTATGCTTCTGTTGAGCTGGACCATTATTCAGTACAGAATCAAGTGGACCAAACCCTGAGCCATAATGAGTTTCTTCCATGTTTAGAAAAAAAGAGAAGGTTTTTTTTTTTTTGGTTCTAAGCATACTTCTTACCTCTTTAGTGTTTTCTTTAGAGCCAATTTTTTTAAATATCTCTGCTAAAATATCATTTACTTTGGCCTTTGGTGACTTTTCATCCTATAAAAGGAATTTGGGCATTAATTAACAAACTAAAGTAAAAATCCAAATAACAACTAAAGAATGCACAAAAACAAATGAAAAAAAATCTAGAGGAATTGAAATTTCAGTAACTGAAGCATCTTTAGAACCTTTCTATGACAGTTAAATCAGAGTTATAAAACATAAATGAGGAGAAAAACTAGGACAGTATCTTCTAATTTAATTAAACAAACCACTATTCTAGAAAAGAAATCAGACAGCATTAATCTCAACTTATTAGTAATACCAAACAGTGATTTCAGCCTCACTAGTAGCAGAGTTCTCAAAACTATGATAGAGGTCACTAATATCATCAATACTGTACTGAACATACTTCTGTACAAGCAAGGTTTAAATGACCATGTGTAAATATAGTGGCCTGAAGGGACAAAATTTAGGAGAAAGGAAAGAGCTAGCTATCAAATGTTGCCACTCAGCAATAGACAAATTTGTTATCTGTGCTGTTTTGAGAATTCTGAGTGTCAACCAGAACCAGAAATTAACCTTGTAATTGTGGCTACACTAAACACAACACACTTAAGCCATCTCTCTTGAACATCATTTCATGCAAGGCTTCTTTTTTCTTGGCAAGGACAATATCATGGATAGATAGACAGCGTTCTCTACTGTACAGGTAGTCCTTGACTTACAACCACAACTGATCCAAAATTTATGTTGCTAAGCGAAAGATTTTTAAAGTGAATTTTGTTCTATTTTATCGCTTTTCTTACCACAGTTAAGTGAATCACTGCAGTTAGTAACAGGGTTGTTAAGTGAAACTGGCTTCCCCATTGACTTTGCTTGTAAGAAGGCTTCAACCATCATAAATATGAGTCGGTTGCCAAGCAGCTGAATTTTGATCATGTGACCACGGGGATGCTGCAATGGTTGTGAGTAAAATGGACATAAGCCACTTTTTTCAGTGCCGCTGTAACTTTGAACAGTCATTAAATGAACTGTTGTAAGTTGAGGACTACCTGTAATTCATCTCCTTTAAAAGAAGTCAAAGTGACTACCTGAATCTTTTTAAAAAAGATCTGTTATAAATAAATGCATGAAAAAAGAGAAAATTTATTGTTTATAGGAAATAGGCACGTTGTCCAATTTGTATACAGCCTAAAACATACTGTTGTGCCAGAGGTACTCTGTAGTTAACCAAACGTTTTGCAAAATGCCTCCCTGCATTTCTTGACACCTTAATCCAGCCACATCAGAGAGCTTCTTCAGCCTTCTATGCAATCCAGAACAAAGGTCCAATACAGTAAAAATGATATAATTCCCCAAGATTCTAACTGTGCAATCATAAAATTAACCAGCTGTATAAGTGACAGCTATTTTATTTTAAAATACAAAATACTTACAGTACGTGAAGCACCTTTTTCTGTGCCTTTATCAGATTTGCTTCCAGTTTGGTCCAGGGAGTGTTTCATCATTCTACATAGATGAGCCTCCAATTCAGACTCATTCTTGTTATCTATCATTGTTAAATGATCCAAAATCTAGAAATAAACATTATAAATTTAGAGAGAATCTTTTAAATATTCCTGAGAACCATTCGTAGATTGGAACAAATCCATTTGGTCTTACCTTGGCTCCCTTCAGTTTGCATAATGTATGAATCAAGGTCTTCAGAGTCCGTATTGGGAATTCACTTTTACACTGCTTTAATTTCTCTTTTGGAAACACTTTCATAAAGATGTGAATGTCCAACATTATTCGGTCCAGGTTGATACTGTTGATAGTTTCAGGGAGAAGTCTTACCATTCTCCATAAGCACTTGGAGACAGGAGGGAAATGTTTACAAACAAAAATCAGTTACTTATGGAAAAGCATATCCTAATGCAGAGTTGTCAGTGGTAAACTTGATGCTTTAAAAGCTTAAAATAAATGGTCATGAACAAATACGGTGATTGTCTGCTCAATTATATTGGACATAAGTTTACAGATCATTAAGACACAACTCTTAACAGAGATTTTTAAACCTTTCATTTTTACTGTCAAGCTTACCTGTTGATAACAGCATGCCACACTAAGTTGTATTTATATTGTAATTTTTCCAATAGAAAAGAATTAGGTCTATAATTATGACAAACTGGCAATACATATCATTATGCCATTTCAAATTTGAAAACAAACCTACATACTCACTTTCATTACAAGTTCTGAGAACTTTGGAGAACTAGCAGTGGCTAATAGACTGTCCTGGAGTAGAACAAGCAGGGCACTAGAAGAATTAAATGAAGTAGCATTATTTATTTGATTTATACAGCCCCCCCCCCATGTCAACGTGATGATTTTGGGTGACTAACATTTAAAACTGTAATACAAATAACATAAAATTACAGTGCATGTAATAACAATTGACATAAAAGCCAGTCTGCCATAAAGCAAGCGACAATCTCCTAGGTTCCATCTAAATATAACCATTGCAAGAGTTATACATATTTTCACAGAGAATCAGCAAGCACCATGCAGAGGGGGGGATAATACTTGGGATTTTACTTGGGAGATTGTTCAAAATACAACAGAATATGAACACACCACCTATCTGTAACTCATAAAAGCATTCATGACTTTTTCTAAGACCGCATGGCTATTGCAGGGAGGCCTCCACTGTAATCAGAATTAGAAAAACAGACATGGCTGCTTTAATTAGCTACAGATGGTGTTTATGCTCTAAACTGGGGATGTTAAACTGCGGGCTGGTTGCATTATGCAGACGCCACGCCAATCTAGGCTCCGCCAGTGTGAAAAAAGTTGTGATACATCGCGACACGTCAAGCGACGTGGCGAGTTTGACACCCGTGCTCCAAACCACCTCTTCTTAGGAATTAAATTTGAAGCATTACTCAACTGTACCCAATTATAATGAGGAAGAAAAGTATTTCATCAAGCACATGCCGGAATATTAGTGTTAAGTGCTATGTCAGAAGGTTATACTATGAAAAAATAAAAGACCTTTTTCATCTTATCGTCATCTTACCTTAATATGTTGGTTTGGTCAGATTTTTCTAGAACTTTTACCACCAAGAGGTTGACAGATCTGATAACCTGCTGGCCTTCTTCTAGATCTTCAACTCTTGAATCCAGCATTAAGGTAATGAGGCCATGCATCAAATCCTTCAACACTCCTGCGGAAGCCTCCCTTGCCAAGCTTTCAATCTGGAATAACTGTCAAATGAATTTAAGTTTTAGATATAATTCTTTCTTCTGAATAAAACTTAGGAGTCTCAATAGCCCCTTCAGAACCCCAATATTAGACTGGTTGCTATTTTGAAAAGACTGTTGCATTTTGTTTGCCTTCCCAGTAAGCCTTGTTTTAAGAAATACATTTAGAAGTGTTGGTGAGCAGAAACAACCTGTGGTGCAGGACTGAAGGGAAGGGGATGCTTTACATGCCAGCCTGAAGAAATTCAGTGGCAAACTAAAACACAACAATAAAACACAAGCCGCACCTCCTAAAGGCATGGTTTGTTCTTTATTAGAATGTTGATGTCAGATGATTGACACAGTAGCTGAAAATTGCAGCAGATTAGAACAGTGCTATAAGAACTGCGCTTACTTATCTGGGGATAAGCTATATTTATTCATCCCTGAAAATAGCACTTCAAGAATTAAAATACTAATATGTGTAAAATATCTAGACCAGGGATAGGCAACCTTGGCTCTTTTATGATTCATGGACTTCAACTCCCAGAATTCCTGAGCCAGCCAGTTCACGAGTCATAAAAGAGCCAAGGTTGCCTACCCCTGATCTAGACCATTTAACCCAAGCACGTCAAACAAAATAAATTACTACATTATGAACCCCCACTTTGCTAAATAAAAACCATTTATCTTTTTTTCCAAACAGATACACAGTAGACAAACATTTTATTTTTAAATTTTAATTAAGCTTCTAGGAACTAAGTTTGTGAACTGCTTTTGGTAACACTCAAAATTCAGAAAGATGATGAGTAAAAAACATGCAACCTGACCTATTATGTACCAAGCAACCAGATTGTGCATTAAGTTTGCTAGATGTGCAGCATACTTGACTTTTTTCAATAAATTTATATGTGTTCTAGAGTAAAATAATAAATTTTACATAAAAGAAATAATAATAAAATAAATTTATACCTGACCGAATTTTAACTGTTTTTGCTCATTTTACAGTGGCAAAGAAAATAAAGAACTCTTACCGAAATCATGTTTCCAATGATGCAACTGTACAACTTGACAATCTCCTCCTTGTCCAGTTTCTCATCAGCCATATGAGTATTATAAATGAGTCGGAGCTGCATGAATGTAGCTATTAAGAACTGGTCAATGTGGCCAGACATTGCTTCAGCTTTATCCTCTTGTCTCAGAACCTCATCAATCTGTATGCAGACATAATAATAATTTTTATTCACACAGCAGAGTATTTAAGACATTGGCATGCACTAGCTGCAAAAACTATCACCAATATTCTTAACTATTATTTTTCCCATTTTACTATTCTATTACAATTCTTTAAGAATCCATCACTTTGTTCACAATCTTAGGATATTAGACCAAACATCAGATGTGCAGTGCCAGCAAAAGCTAGTTATTCCTGCATTATCTAGTCTTAACAAATTCTGCAGCCTTCACACTTCAAAGAACCTATCTCAAATATGTATATTACTACAAACATTTAGAATTTATTTTTTCCTACTATTGCAGTAATTGTTAGCCCTAGGGCAGGGGTCTGCAACCTTAAACACTGAAAGAGCCACTTGGACCTTTTCCCAGAGAAAAGAAAAGCTTGCATGCACACAAAAGGGGTGGGGAGCTTGATTGAAGAGTTTAATTAAAAAGAAATAGAGGCTGCTGTGCATGAGTTTCTCTCCCTCTCTCTCTCTTTCCTCTCCCCCTCTCTTTCCTCTTTTTTTCCTCTCCCCTTTTTCTCTCCCCCTTTCTCTTTCCTCTCCCTCTTTCTTCTCCCCCTCTCCCTTCCTCTTTACTCTCCCCCTCCTCTCCCTCTTCTTTTGCTTTCCTCTCGCTTTCTCTCTTTATTCTCCCTTTCTCTTTCCTCTCCCTCTCTCCTCCTCTCTCGCTTTCTCTATTCTCCCCCTTTCTTTCCTCTCCCTCTCTCCTCCTCTCTCTCACTCTTTCCTCTCCCTCTTTTCTCTTTCCTCTCCTCCCTCTCTCTTTCTCTCTTTCCTCTCCCTCTCCTCCTCTCTCTCTCTCCCCCTCTCTCCGATCTTCTGCTCACCTGGCAAGCTGGCTTCAGGCTCTTCTCCAACAAGCTGACACACATTCTTATTGGGGTGGCTCTCTCCTGCCCTTCCTGCTGAGACGCAGCAAAGGGAGGAGCCCTGCCAATAAACTTGTCAGCTCGTCTGAGAACAGCGTGAGGCCACTCTTTTTTACAGAGAGAGAGAGAAAGAAAGAGAGAGGGGGGGGGAGGGAGAGAGAGAAGGGAAGCGCAAGTGCCTCTCTGTCTCTGTAAATGGCGGAGGAGGCTGGGAGCCGCAGGAGAAGGCTCAAAGAGCCTCATGCGGCTCCGGAGCCGTGGGTTGCCAACCCGTGCCCTAGGGAAATGCAAGATGAAAATGTGAATTCACCTATGAGTATTGAAAGCTTTTCCATAAACTTTTTCATGTTGTTTGGAATAGTTGAGAAACAGTATCCTTCCTTTTGAAGACAGCAAAGTAAAAATGATGGCTACTCTGCAGAAAACCTCAGTGCAGACCCATTGGTAGACTAAGGGTCATCCAATCTTATTCTAAAACTTACAACTAGAGGCCAGAGAGAAATGAATAAAATATAATGAAAACGGAATTCCTGTATTTTTTAAACAAAGAACCTCATCATGCCTAAAGCTGGTATACAGTGTATTATTGGCAAGGAAGTGAAGAAGGAAAAGCAAAGAAAGCAAACAGACTACTGGATGCTTATTATGGGACTATGTTTGAAGGAACAATCAGCAGTGAGTGGACAACATGGTAAAAAAAAAAACAGAATCCAGCAATCTGTCCGATCTACAGATACTACTAACTTCGTACCCTGACAATTACTAAAGTCTTTTGATAGTTTCCAATAAAAAATATATTTTCCTTATTCATTTTTTTATCCTGCCTTTATTATTTTTATAAATAACGCAAGGCAGTGAACATAGCTAATACTTCTTCCTCCTTCTATTTTTCCCCATAACAATCCTATGAGGTGGGTTTGACTGAGAGAGACTGACCCAAAATCACCCAGTCAGATTTCATGACTAAAGTGGGACTATAGCCCAATCTCTTGGTTTCTAGCCTGGTGTCTTAACTACTAGGTCAAATTGGCTCTCAAAATTAGAATAAATTTTCTTAATAGGAGAAATAAAATTTTATCTACAAAAAGTTATTTAAGTACTCTTTACTGATGTGCGCCAGCATAGAAATATACTTAACAAAATGAATGCATCACAAAAGCCTCCTCATTCGTTTCCTCTGGCTTACTCTATTCAGCCAAAAGCCAAGTCTGTTGCCAGCCCATCTCTCTGCCCCTCCCCACCTAAATACTTCCTGGAACGAAAGGGGCCTCAGCTGGCAAATGAGGACTGCGCTTCATGGTTAAATAGACTGAAATCCAAGTAGTGGAGGGACAGGAAGGTTAAATAAATGCTGTCTTATTAGATAATATGAAGAGTTAAGATATCCATGCATACCTCTTGGTATCAAAAAGAAAGTCAGGGAATTATCTAGAACAGTGATGGCGAACCTTTTAGAGATCGAGTGCCCAAACTGCAACCCAAAACTCACTTATTTATCGCCGGGTGCCAGGTGGGTGTGGCCCACTGGATGGGCTTGGCTGTGGTGGTCATGGCAGATTGGGTGGGTGTGGCCAAGGTGGGCGTGATCACCTCAATGTTGCTCGTGGGAAGGAATGCCTGTGGGGGCCAGGCAGGATTGGGTGAGATCCAGGGGGTCTTTGGCAGGTGGGGCAGTGGGCAGGAGGCTCATCCTGCAGGGTGAGACAAGGCGAGGGTACCATTGTCACAGGGCAAGGTGAGGCAGGGGCCAGGGCGGCTTCTGCCTGACACCATCGGCCCCTGCACACAGAGGCCAGCGAGCACATGGGTGCTGGGATGCATCCAGCCATGTGGGATCTCGGTGAGCTAGCAGGCGGTTGGTTGAAGAGAGATGGCTGCCATCTCCGGGGCATGGTGAGAATGCGCACAGAGAGGGCTCTGCGTGCCACCTCTGGCATGCGTGCTATAGGTTCGCCACCACTGATCTAGAAGGTGAGAATATTCTATGTTCTTGCATTTGAACATAAGATCTTTTTCTTTACAAGACGTGGTGCCTGCTCCCAGCTTGGCTGGCTTCAAAAAGGTTTGCATCAATCTATGGAAGTCATGGGGTTTAATAGTTATTAGTCTTGTTGGCAACTCTATAGGCCATCTGCTGGGAGATGGGCTTCCTCATGCAGTTGTTGACCACTGTGAGAACAGACCGCTGGAACTAGGTAGACCAGAGGTCTGTTCCAGGAAGGCATCACTTATGTTCTTTTTGAGAACTGCGAGTCAGATGGCCCCTGTGCACTTAGTTATGTCATCAAGACATTTCAGAGTGGTGCGTGTGTCACCTGACACTCAGCTCCACCAAACGTGCAACTCATCACTCTCGCAAATAATTTGTTGATCTGTGAAATAGTAGCTTAAGAGCACTAAATTGCTGCCATCCACAAGGAACACCATTTACCTGTGCAAGAGCTTGGATACTAGTATTGATATCCCCGCTGGCTACCTGGGAGATAACAAAGTTGATAGTAGAAGCGGTATTGCTGTGCATGTCATCGAAGTGTGGGGAGACAGCACGGATCCTAGATGGAAGAAAGATCCTGTAATTACTGGAAGACAATCCTTGCCACCCTACTTTCCAAATAACACTTGCAAATTTTGCAGGGAGTCTTAGTTTAATTGAGAAAAACAAAATACGCTACTGAAAACAAGCACATAGCTGGAAGTACAAATGGCTGCAGATATAGCTAATAAGTAGGTGCTGCTTGCCTGTGGAATTTTACCATTTTTCCCTGTAACACCTGAATAGAGCTTCTCTCATTCTTTCCCTTCCCTGTCAAGTCAGCTCTTCTCCTTGTCTCATCTCTATCTAGTTTTGTTCCTCTACTTTTTTCTTCTACAATTTCCTACCTCCATTCTGTGGGCAAGGTATTTTTTTGTGTTGTGTTTTGTGTTTTTGCTGGAAGAAAGGAGAAGAATATGGATGTATGTATCTCTGTTTCTCTAGGAGACAGTGGCTGTATCTGCAGATGAGAGAATCAATGTATTTTGTAAATGGAATTTAACTATAGTTACATCAATTAGTAGTGACTTGTTTTTGTTCTGAGCTTTTCTTTTATGGCCTCGGGTAGAACTTTCATATGTGAGAAAGAAGAGAACACTATACGTCTAATATGCACATACTGGGTCAAAACAGATGAAATTTCCCTGTACTTACTTAGGTTCAGGAATCGAGACTGGCTCAAAGATGTCATCCAGTTTGTGCTGAACAAGTGCTGGCATTTCACATCGCACTGTGCCATTATCATTTTCTATTTCATCCAGATCCAGCTGAAATTCCCGAGGAACTGTATGCATTGCCTCTGAATGGCCACTCAAATTACGGGCTTGGCTATAAAAATCAAGCAATACATTTTCCTTAATATTTCAGGAAGTATGCTGCCCTCCCATAGAAATCCTCACAAGTTACAGATGGAAAACATTCTTTTCTATATTATCTGGGACTTTGTTGAATACAGTCCAACTTTGCGTCAAAGAAATCTCCCTAGTTTTCCAACATTCTCTGCAGTTCATAAAGAAACTGGGAAGGTTATTACTCACTACTACTCAGTTTTTGAAGGGCTTAAGGAAATGAAACAACAAATAATGACTTCTGTTATTCCAACATAACAAACTTTGTCGTCCTCTAACAATTATGTTTAAATATAGGAACCAAAAAAAAAAAAAAACCCTGCAGGAAGTCCTTGACTTACAGCCGTAATAGATACCATAATTTCCTTTGTTAAGCAAGGCAGTTGCTAAATATGCCTTGCCCAATTTTACAACCTTTTTTACCACGGTTGTTAAGCAATAACTGTAGTTGTGAAATGAACCGTGTGGTCATTAAGCAAATTCAGCTCCCCCCCCCAATTGATTTTGCTTGTCAGAAGCTGGCTGGGAAGACTGCAAATAGTGATCGTAGGACCCAGGGACGCTGCAACAGTTGTAAATAAATGCTGGTTCCAGGTGCCCAAATTTTAATCACATGACTGCGGAGATTTGGTTGTAAGTGCAAGACCTGGTCATAAGTCACTTTTTTCAGTACTGTTGTAACTTTGAACAGACACTAAACAAACGGTCGTTGGTCGAGGATTTCCTGCAGTAGTTTTTATAGCGTTTGCATTAACCAAGCAGTATCAGCAATGGCTCTAAACTATTGGGAATCTGTACTCTGTTTAAGATGTTATGGTTCGGGCTAACTAAACACTTCAAAGAACTTCCAGGCATTTATTTTCCTAAAAGTCAGTGATTGTTACAAAAATGTCAGCACACGCATAAGGGAGGGATGCTAGGATCTAAGTTCTCTTCCTCTGAGCAGTTAAATTATCAACATGTTCCCTCCCTAAATTAGCTGTCATATCTCACATTATGCAATTAGTGTGAAGGTCAAATGTTTTCTTCCTCTTTCTTTCCTGGGCTTTACCCCCAACGCCCCTTCTGCTCTGTATTAACCCCATAATTACCAGACAATTCTGCATATTGCATATTGCAGCGTTGACATAAGACTTGTTAGACTTCCCTTTCCCTTTACATCTTACAGCAAAATATAGGCACCACCACAAATATTAAAGAGAGAATGAGAAAGTATGATTTCATCCAAACGAATCCAGTTTTTATTCATCTATGGAAAAGGCATTATGTTAGGTTGCCTTTCTTAGTGACAACTGTTTCTGAACCCAGAATATTTCCAGCTGAGTTTTATACTCTTCAATTACAACTTGCCATTTGTTTTATTTTGTTAGGGATTTCCTACTAAGTAGAGGATTCTAGAACAATGGCATAAAGGCATAGCAAGAGGAATTCTAGGAAGGCTTCAAGAATCATATGTTAAACAGAGAGGGGCCTCTTAATTTCACACTGGATGGTATCCAATGCCACCTGAATGACTTCCACTTGGGTAGAAGTACCTCCCTTAACTTTTTTACCCAAGAGATGGAACTTGACACTATTTCTCATATCCATCACCAGTTTTTCCTAGAACCCTAACTTTTAAGAAGCTTTATTATAATATGTGGAACTTCTTCCAAAGGGTATTTAATAATTAATGACTGGGGAAAAAGACAGAAATCGTACAAGCCCTGCTACCAAGGATTTAGGGGTTAGTACTTACATCCTATAAGTGCGATACATAATTCTGTCCATGGAGAAGCAGTGAAAAAAGGCACAATACCATTTAGAAAGCATTCAAGACATGACAAAACGAATGAAGAAAGGTTCAAACATTTTGCTTTGCAGTATTTTTGTTTTGTTTTGTTTTGCAATCTGTGTCTCATGCATGCAGCAATGAAAAAACAAAAGACAAACACAAGGCAACAGCAAGGTATGTTTTAGCACACACTGTGAAAATGTGGCACACAGATGGCATTTTCTCCACATAACATACTTGAGTTTGGAAGACATGTCTTCAGCTGCTCCCTTCCGCAGCATGTTTGCACTGGCATTGGCATTTTGTATGCGCTGGGGTTTTTCATCTACCTGCCTTGATAAAGCAGTATTGGGCTTCTTAGCTGACCGTTTTATTCGTTCCTCCAACATACTCATGTCCTTCTCAGAAAGCTGTACAAGAAGAAAAATTTCAATGTCATGAAAGATTTGCCTCTAAGAATGCTCCAAAGCTTCATAATTTCTAAAGTGCAGTTTAACTCCCAATACAGGTCTTGTACTTAGCAATTATTCTTTTCTTCCCTTTATAAGTACAGCATAAATGTTTCCTAAGACACCTCTAAACGTGAAAAATAAGCAAAGGCAGAGTCTCTCATTTATTTATATTCATCAATTTCTCTCCCCAATAGATGTAAAAGGTGTAAACTTTCTCATATGAAAAATAAATTTAAGGAGCTTGGAGATACAGCAACTGTATGATGCTACACATATTCTCTCTAGAGCAGTGATTCTCAACCTTTCTAATGCCGTGACCCCATAAAACAGTTCCCCATGTTGGGGTGACCCCCAAGTGGGTGAGGCCACCAATAAGAGGGAGTAGGACAGCTAGGGAAAAGGGAAAAAAATGGCAGACAGCATGGTTTGGTGACCCCCGTGAAATGGTCATTCGACCCCAAATGGGGTCCCGACCCACAGGTTGAGAACCACTGCTCTAGAGACAACACTACATGTCAGTAAGTCAGCATCCACGTTTTTGCAGTTGGACATCTATCCTCCTTAATTCAATGAACTGTGACCACTAGGCCAGACAACTTACTATTTAAGTCAGGGGTCTTCAAACTTAGCCATTTTATGACTTGTGGAGTTCAACTCCAGAATTCCTCAGCTAGGCATTCTGGCTGAGGAATTCTGGAGCTGAATTCCACAAGTCATAAAAGGTCTAAGTTTGAAGACCCTTGATCTAAGTTGTCAATTACCTAATTCTCTAGAACAGGGGTGGGCAAGCATTTTGTGGCCAAAAGCTAACATTAACAATTGGGGGCTGGGAGAGAGCTGCAAATCAGAGGGCCCACATCATACAATATGCCTATTTTAGCATTTATATCCAGTTTTTATCTGTTTCTCAGTGCAAAATAATTGGGAAATCTATTGTCATTTTTTAGCAGACATGTTTGAAGGGTTTCTGGGGGCCTCCCTTACCTGTATAAAGCAAGAACAGATTATAATTAATTTTTGCCAGTGGAATACATTTTTTCCCACGGTTTGAATGAAACTATGGGGCACAACAAATATCACTCTCAGAAATGTTAACCCATTTTGTTGACACAGGACTGCCATGTAGGTCAGTGGTTCTTAACCTGGGCGATATTGCCCCAGGGGGCGATTTCATTTTTCAGGGGGGCGATGGAACGAAAAGGGGCGACATGGGGGCGAAGGAACAAAAAGGGGGCGATATGGGGGCGATGGAGCAAGAAGTTTTGGGGACACTTTTGAGACTTTTTCGTACAGTGAATGGCTGTATATCTGTCATACAAAAACATCAGATCACTTGCTATTAGTGGATTGAATTGTTTTCAAATGTTCCTCCAGCTAGCTTCAGTACAGAATGCTGTATATATGTAAATACGCATTGCTTATCTTCATGCGTGTTGTGCAGCAGCCTCTACTCATACAAAGGCGCGCCATTAGCCAGAATATGGGAGATATGGGGAAAAGACTGGAAATAAATTATTTGCATCGATATGTCCTGATGAACAATTTTAAAGAAAACAAAAAAAGTGTTTGCATAAATTGAAGAATTATTTCCCATGTTGTGATTGAGAGGTTATGTTGGGGAAGGGGGGCGATGACAACTTCCTCATTGGTTCAAGGGGGCGATTCGTTCAAAAAGGTTAAGAACCACTGATGTAGGTAAATTCTGGATGCTTCTATTATTTTCCTACTCCCAACCTAGGAAAGTGTCTTGAGAAACAGTAAGACCTAAAGCAGCAATTGACTTAATTTACAATTTTCCCAATAGCTAATATCTTGCAAGAAGAATATGAGATTCCATATCCAAGTGCAGAGATGTTATCTAAATTGAATAACATTAATTTGCCATGTTAGATTTTCAAAATGAGAATAGGAAAGTAGTCGTAGGATGTATCAATATATCTTCAAACTCAAAAGCATTCAAAATTAAAAAAAAAAATAAGATAAAATCATCAATACAGATGTTCTCCAATTTTGCGGGGCCTTTACCTCCTAAAGTTTCATCTAAGACTGACCTTTCTTACCATATTGATGTTAGAAATTCAGAAATCTGCTCTAAATAATACAATTTAAGTAAAATTAAATTGAAATTTTGACAAAAGCAGTGGTTCTGAAATGTAAGAGACAGAAAAAATAATTCCATGTAAGGTACTATTTTGGAAGTAAATGGTACTTGATGTCACCGGATTTCTTTACTCTGAAATAGCTTGATATCCTACTTGAATGTGGATGGTGAAACTCTCAGAAAGATTTTTATCTTATTTAACCCCAACTTTTTGCAATTTTGTACATAATTAATAAATATTTTAAAATTGTTGTAAAGAGATAACAGCTATGTTCTAAGTTCATTTTAGTTGCATTTCTATTTAGAATTGGGTTGATATAAAATAATTTGTATCAAGAGACCTAGTGGCCTAAATAGGCATTTAATGATCGATCCCTAACAAACATCTCCAGGCTTTCCTTCCAGCTTTATCTTGATATGCACAAAATATGTGACTTTTGGCTTAGTTGCTTTAATGCTTGGAACAGTTTAAAAACTGATTCTCACAAACTGGACCGAACTGGCTAAATAAAGATCTGCTCAAATGCTTTTTTTTCTTTTACCGATGCAGTTTCCTCCAATTCTTCACTGACATAGTTGTCAAACTATTTTGAACAACATTTGTGGTACACAAAGTTCAATTAATTTTCATGGTACCGCTATCGCAGATTTAACAATAAATGCTTATTTATTTACCATCTTACAATTCACTGACATCTGAATGATCAATTAGCCATCAACTAAATAGTGTAAAGTACAATTTATCTGTTCTTGATAATCAATATTCAGTCAGTTGTATATTGCAAGTCTGTTGTGACTTTGTATCACTTCACCTGAATCATCCAATACACTGTAAGAATTTAATTTTTCCCCTGATTCCCATTTACTTACATTTCCAATCAGCTTGAACACCTGGTCCCCATGCACATTGTAAACAGTAACAATGGTATTAAGTGCAGCATTTCTGACTGTGTTGTCCCTGTCACCAATGTGAATTGCAATTTCCTTTAAGGCTTTGCCTGGAGTTGGCTGACACACATTCATACCATATGATTCAACTAGACATCCCAGCTCTTCCAAGCACTCTAAGGAACAACAAAAGAAGATGTATATAAAACACAAAGGCAGCAACACTTCTTAGTAAAGTGAACTGTTATCATAGACAAGTAAAAATTCTTATTTATGATTAAAAGTCTCCAAGATTAAACTGGGGATTCACTGTAAAACAATGCATGAAATAGCCACAATTGCCCCTTAACTATTCACTTTTATCATCAGTAGCCTGACTGAATTTACCAGAACAGGCACTAAAAATAATTTTTGTAACAGGAACACAATTGTTGACTCTCTATTTATTGTATTTTTATTTTTCATTTCCTTCCTATTTCATCGTTTCCTATCCCATTCCCACTTCTAAGTAAAAGGCTCCTACTGCTCTTTTTGGAAATAATTATGTAGAAAAATTGCATATATGAATGTGCACCCCCAATCCCTTACTAGGCTGAAAACAATTATCTACCCCTGCCTACATCAATGCATCTTCCCGGTATATTTTATGCATCCAACACAGAACTTGACACACCAGTATTTCAAGTAGGACTTGCCCATTCCATTGTTTTCATGACTGTAATAACATATTGTGATCTGTACTACACGTCTCACCTGCCCGCTGTTTTGAATTTTTTGATTTTGTCCCATCCATGATAAATGTGAACATCTTGCTGGCTGGATAGACAAGGCACATCCTGTTCAGAATGGCACGCACATCCCTTCGAATAACATCTTTGGATTCCCCAACCTAAAATCAGAGATTTTATTTGGAGATTTAGAGAAACTGGAAGCATAATTAGTATTCTTAGTATTCTCATCCACGGCCTTCAGGGAATCACATGCACTCCTAAGTTTTCAGATTGTATATTTTTACTCTGGAATTTTAGCTCGTGACAAATACACTGGAGCAAACATGAGTATATTTAATCTTGAGCATAATAACATATTAGAAGAGGCTATTCTGGTGTAGATTACTGTTCTCACTTGCTCTGAGATTTTTGTAAATTAGAATCTTTCCAAATACAGCAGCAAAAACTGATATAAAATCTCATGAGTCATTATAGTAAATAAGAGATAGATGTTCTCTAATGAACTGAAAAAATTCTGTAAAGGTATTTGCTCAACAATTCTCCAGTAATTTTTTATATCTATGTTAAAAAACATTGTTCTCTCACACACACAGTTTCATGTATTACAGTTAATGTAGTTGTTAAAGATCAGAATTTCTAATTGATGTATTTGTTGTTGTTGTTTTTTTTGCTAACAGACATAATTCTACTACCATTACTAATGCAAGTATTTTATTTGAAACTGCTCTCATATTTTTTTATTAACATTACAGGTAACACCTAGCTCATCTTGATTGATCTCATAAAAGATAAATTTTGTTCTCTACCTCTTGCATCCTATTTTTCTGATTGTGCCTAATATGATGTATTGACTGAAGTTTTAATGATATTGAGTATTATTCAAAATCTTAGTTCAAGCATTCTACAATTGAAACATAAAGGCAATTTTTACTGTCCTTTAAATCAGTAAAAATCGAAAAAGCATTATTAGCAATGTTTTCCATTTCTATTATTTAAAAAAGTAACTATATTTCAAAGCTGGTTTTCTTGGCTCCTTTTTTCCAAATAGGGTTTTTTTTTCTTTTCCAAATACAGTATCCTCTAGTTCTATTGGCTCAAATCACTATTATTCTCTATACTGTCACACAGGGAGCTCTAATTTCACAATTTGCTTTTTGTTATATTTTGTGAGAAACAATACCTAAATTTTCCATTCTACCCACTCTAAGAGGTCAACCCACACCAAATACGCAGCTTTTTAAATTCTGGATACCTTCAAGATAAGATAGGGAATGAAAGAAGTGGCTTCGTTTTCAGTCAGGTGGTATTCTTCTTGGTTCAATACGATGAACAGCAACTTAAGATACTCCAGAGTTTTCATCAGAACACTTGTGTTGGTGTCAAAGAACCTCAGAGTGATCCACTTCAGAATCAGATCTAAACAGCTGATAACTCCATCTTTTTCACTCTCCAAGTGCTTGAAAGAAAGAAAAAATCAATGTGATTTTTTTTGCTACACACACACACACACACAATAAAATAAATCAAGAAATAAATCAAGAAACGATTATCCCACAGTTTTTCTAGTAGCAAAGGGACCAAAGATAATTGTTTTGTGCATGCATAATTGCTACTTGCATCAGCTACTCTGCTATTTAATTTTGTTTCGAAGGCTCATGTTCAGTGCCTTAATGGAGGCCAATACTAATTGCACTGTTCTTATGAGAATATTATGCAGGACTCTAAGCTGAATAGTGTATTTCCAAAAGCTGCATGCTCTAGAAAAGGTTATTCTAATGTTCTTATTGTTTTATCAATTGCCAGAAATCAATGCTCCTCACCTCAACCATTACACTAAGAGCTCTGTTGTGGCGTTGAAAATCTGCATGAAACATTTCATCTTGTAACCACTTGGCAACACAGCTAGACATCTGAGTCTTCAATTGCTCAATATATTCATCACGAGGAGTAGTAAAGTTCCATTTCAAAATCTGAGGAAAGAAGGGAACATAGTCTTCTTAAAAGGTTAAAGACCTGTAACTTTATCTACCCACAACTTAACTTTCACTTAAAATAATTAGTCTGCAAATTGTAAGTGGCATGTATATAGATACTATATATTTGTCTAGGTGTTCTCCTTATTTACTAAGACTACATTATTGAGCCTCAGGTAATTTTTAAGTAATACTGGTCCTCTTAACATAACAAAAAAAATTCGTATTTACAGAAGAAATATTTTTTTCCTATATAGATTATTACTTGACTATCCAAAAACATGGCATCTTTGTAATTTTCACTTTTTTCCTTTCACTAAAGCTAGTTTGGTTAAACTTCAAGCAAGCAATTTCTACCTACCCCACTTTCAAGACTGCCATGAAGAGGATATCAGAAATAATTGATTATTTTAAAAACTAAGGATGATTTATTCTTGTACCTGAATAGAAACAAGTCCAGACTGTTAAAAATAGATTTATGCTTCCACCTTGGCATATAACATGTGTCAACTAGATCTCTTGTTGGATTTGTAATAGATTCTCACAAACATCACCTGGTGAGCATTCATTGCTGAAGTAGACCTAATTTTGGATCTTTCTATTTTGTATTTTAATACCTCAGGACATAGATGCTTAGGTGCATACGCATGCAGTCAGTGGTTTGAGGCTTGTTTCTGCCTATTCATTCTGTGCAGTATTTCTCAAACTTAGTAACTCTAAGTTACGTTGATTTCAACTCCCACAATTCCCCATGCCGGCTGGTGCAATTTTAGCAATCTTCCCATTAAAAAAATAGAATAAAATTTTGTTATTGTAGAAACATTCCCTAATACTGAATGAGACACTTCCCAACACAGTAATTCCGAACAAATTTGGTAGATTTTGTAGACCAAACGTAGCAAAAAAGAATGATAGAACAACTTCTAATTCTGCTTGCTTATCCAGTGAACTGTTAAGAACATTGATAAGTATATTACAGCAGAATATGCGTTTGTACAATTAAAAGTGAATAACTTTAAGTGATCTCCATATTTATTTTTAACTGTAGATTTCCAGTGTTAAAGTAAATATAGTTTATAATAGGAGTTAACGGGTGGAAACTAATCAAGGAGAGAAGCAACCTAGAACTAAGGAGAAACTTCCTGACAGTGAGAACAATTAATCAGTGGAACAACTTGCCTCCAGAAGCAGTAAATGCTCCAACACTGGAAGTTTTTAAGAAGAGACTGGACAGCCATTTGTCCGAAATGGTGTAGGGTTTCCTGCCTGAGCAGGGGGTTGGACTAGATGACCTCCAAGGTCCCTTCCAACTTTATTATTATTATTATTATTATTATTATTATTATTATTATTATTATTATTATTACATTGACCAGAAATCAGACATTGAGCATTTCTCTCACCTTTAATCCTTTCTCATCTTTCATTCTTTGCTCTTTTCCATTTGGGACTAAAATAAAAACTGGGCCAGACCTGTCATCATCATCTTTCAAGTTGGACTTGCTTGGAACCTTTTTCCCTTGTATACCCTAAGAAACAAAACAATAGTCAGTTATGATATCCCCATAACCAAGCTCCTGTAATCTAGTTTTAAACCACTTTCCATTCTGCATCTCTGGACGAATTTCATTGAAGTCAATAGGAATTCCTTTATTTAGAACAAATCTATCCCATCAGCATGCAAGTCAAGTATTTCACCTCTACAAAAGTTTGTGTTAGAATGTGCACTGAAGACCTCAAGTACCTATTGAGCAGAATAAAGACAAAGGCCATAACAGTGTTTAGTGCAGTAAAGGTCAGTGTACCAGCCACTCTAAGTGGTACTTGCTTATTACCTGTTTGATAACTTTGTTCTTTGTCAGATTATTATTGCCTTTGGTGAGGCCTGAATTTGCATCAGAATGCTGAAACAAGTCATAAAATACTCTTCTGTAGTTAACAGTATTGACCACATAAACACTTTTTAAAAAGATTTTTATTGCATAAATTTGAATATAGTGCACAAGCACTCTGCTCCTATTTACTGACCGCATGTGGAATATTTCATATCTAAGATCACTAGTATGTGAATCATACTGAGGAAGAACTGAGTTAGAAGGGACCATTCAGGCCACCAAATTCCCTCTCAGTGAAGACCATGAGGCTCAGACTCCAATTGCTATGAGTGCTTCACAAGGATTATTTCATTAGCCTGAGGCCTGCAGCATGAATTTTTTTTCATGCATTGACCCAAAAATCTCTAATGAGTCATACTATTACAATATACCATGAAACAAAAATTTATTAAATAAAGCTTTACTATGAAACAGAATGAGCTGCAAAATGGAGCTGTGATAAGGTCATTTCATTCTGCCACATAGCTGGTAGTACTTTTCATAGCCAGGGCTGTATCAGATTTTATTTCTGAATTGATATGCAGTACTGTATCTAGGTTGATATAATCCAGGAAAGAGAGCTTGCTTGCCTGCTTGTGGTCCTTGCCACTCATTGCCTGACAGAGAGGATTTAGTCCTAACTTCTTACAGCCTGTCTTCCATGGCAAAGTCTCGCTTTTTCACTGGCCCCTATCTAGATAGATAGGCATTGCTTCAATATGAATAGGGGCAGGAATTCTTGGGGGTATTGCTACCCCAAAGTTAGAAATCTCATAGCAATGACTGCAAAGCTAAGCAAACCATTGTTGCCATTTACCTTGGTTTTAGGAGCGCTTCCTCCAGTTTTGGCTTTTTTGGCATCAGGTTTAGTCTCCACTGTGTTAGATAAATAATCTTCATTGGAACCTAAGGAATAATTTGATAGTTTACGGTTACACTATATAGGCTTGGGATCAAAATTACCAAAAACAAAACTTCTTCTGCCAGTTTACAAAACATGCTGTAATTTTCAAGATATACTTTAAACCAGGGGTCCGTGGCCCGTTAATGGGCCATGAGGGGGTTGCAACCAGGCTGTGGAAATGACCAGCGAGCATGCGCAGACACGCATCCTCACTTGCACAAACAGTGGGTGAGCATGTGTGCACCTGCTCAATTTGCATGAATAGCAAATGGAGCTGTGTGCGTGTGCGCTTGCCAACTGCATAGAACCATCCTCTCTCTCCCCCCCGTCAGTCTGCAAAGCCGAAAACGTTAGGGAACTCTGCTTTAAACTATTAATTAATTGATGTAAACTTAAAAAATATTTTGTACATGGAAAAGTGTTCCATTTAAAGGTAAAAGAATTTGAACATGCATAAAAGAAATATTTTACCTTGAAGTTTAGTTTTTTGAGAAACAAAATTATGAGATATATTTTTTAAAACTTCCTAGAACCGTACAAAACAGCAAAGTGATACATACTGAAGTTTCACACAAGAAACGAATTGAATTTAATAAAATTAGTGATTTATTTAATTTTTGTGCTGCCCAACTCACAGTGATGCTGTAATTTGTTCACTGCATTTATACATGTTTAATGTGAGTCTGAATGTACACAATACATTGGACCATAAACAAAATAGGGTAGATATGTATTGTAAGTGTTAAGTTCTGAAAATACAGTGCTGATATATCTAATAAAATAACAGTAGACTATCTTAATCATTTTCATGTAGCTACTGCTTGATTAGCTGTATATTTATTGTATAGTGAAACTTTTAACATTTTTATTGTATACTTATTATTTTAAGCCACTGTGAGTGTAGAGATTTTTAATACAGGTAGTCCTCGATTTACAACAGTTTATTTAGTGACTGAAATTACAATGGCACTGGAAAAATGACTTATGACCGTTTTTCACACTTATAACTGTTGCAGCATCCCCATGGTATGTAATCGAAATTCAGATGCTTGGCAACTGACTCATATTTGTGATGACTGCAGTGTCTCAGGGTCTTAATTTTTCTTAAAACTAGGGTTCTCTCAAGTAGGACAACTGTAGAAAGATTACCTGATGCAGCTTGAGATTTGGCTGGAGCTGCTCCCATTGCTCTAGATGTCTTACTTGATGGAGCAGGTTTGGCAGGCATATTGGCTTTAGCTTTTTCAAGCATGGCCAGTACTTGATCTTTCGAAGTTGGCTACAGAAAAATAAATAGTGCGTAGGTATCTATGTCTAAGCCCCTTGATCAAATGACTACAAGCCAAACTTTCTTTTCCTTTCCAGGTCTTTAAACAGAAATTAATTTTTGTAAACAATTCCCAGCTTGTCAGCGCACAATGCAAAGGAATGGTGGCTACCCACAGCAGGAATGGGCAACCCATGGCCCGCCGGTTGTTTCCCACCACCCTGAGACCACGCTGCAGTGAATTATATAGCAAAATGGCTTCTTATGATACCATTTTTGCCTCTCCAACCTTCTAAAATAGATTTGAACTACTTTTAAAAATGGTTCAAAGTCATCTTATCAAAGTTCTGCCATATCAACAGATGTCCTAAAGTCATCCAGAGTTGCAGCCCAACTGCTCAAAAGTTGCTCATCCCAAATTACCCAAACTTATATACCGTAGATAAAAACCCATATGCAGACATTTTAGATTTCCTAGATTAGATTTCAAAATCCCAATAATTAAAGCTACTTTGGAAATCCTTAATTTCCCAGAAACTTATTCATGGTATTATTTACATATCTATATACCAGGGGTCACCAACCCCCCGTCCGTGGACCAGTACCGGGCCGCGGCATGCCAGCAATCGGTCCACACAAACAAGGAAAGCCCAATCCATAGGATGCAGGTTGCACACAAAACCACACACCCTCTAGTCCGCAGAAAAACCTCTCTCCACGTAATCAGTCCCCAGTGCCCAAAAGGTTGGCGACCTCTGCTATATACCATTTGTCTTTGCCACTATTTATACTCCATTAGTTGTTTGACCCTGTTCCCTCAGAATTTTTTAAACTGATTTTTTATTGAAGAAAATTTATACGACCGTCCAATTCAATTTCAATGACTCCGAGTGGCTTACAAAGATGAACATTCCATATAAAAAAATCTAGTGACAACGATCAGTCAATTTATTATTATTTTCTGTACCTTCAATTTACCAGTGGATTTGGCCATCTTCTCAAAACCCAGATGCATCATAAAAAATGGAAGAGCATCCTGTGCCTTTTTACGGACGTCTCCGTTTCGATCCTCCAGGCAGGAGTACAGGTGAGGTACACATAAAACTAAGTCTGATGGGACAGTTCGGAGAGTGGGCAACTTGTCAGCGAGCCAACCTAAAAGCTAAAGTTAGGAAAGATTACTAGAAAGGAACACACTGTGTTCTAAGTAAAGATCATACAAAATTTACATGTGAATAATTAAAACTGGGGGCATTTTGGGTCAACAGCCTATTAAACCGGTGTATTAAAAATTAGATAGCCAACTAATCTACTAACAATTGATTTGGAAAATAAAATGAATGGAAGGGAAAAATAGCTGACTATCAGATACCACAAAGAACAGGCCACTAGGGGGAACAAATAGAAGCTTCCCTTCTCCCTATTTTTTTGTAGAATAAAACACTTTTTAGGGAAGGAATTGTAAGAGAGATTTGAAAGAGACAATGAGGAGAAGTAACCTCTAGATAAAGATCTGATACATTTCTGGTCAGTTAATGATATCTCTCTTACAGTACTGAGACAATAACTAAGCAAGTGGATGCGAAAACTGATTCAATATACTTCTCCCAACAACAAAACACATTATAATCACCTTTTAAGTCTTGGATTCTCTTTTGAAACTCTTTTAGAATGTTAACAAGTTTTTCACTAATGTAATAGTCTATTCAAAACCACCTGGCACAATGGGTGCAGTTAGCCACAAAACACCCACTTACCAACGTCTTCATTTTTCCCCCTGCTCTCCTCAGAATCACTTCTACTCAGAGGAGGACTGCCACATTTTGGATTATGCACAGATGAGTTGAAACGTAGTATATTGTGCACCAATTGTTTTGCACATCCCTACTGAACTGACACTTCTTCCAAGATAATAGTACAAAAGCAAACCCATTGACATGACTAAAATCCTCACCTCTTGCCTTAGAAAAGGGTTCTCCTTCTTGAATTCTTCTGACAAATCCTCCCCTTCCAACCACTCTTTCATGCCTGTCTGTTCGGTCCAGGCATTCACGGTTGCTAAAGATGCTGCCCGTACATTGATCTGGAAACAGGGGAGAGGCAAAATAAGATATAATAATAATAATAATATTGTTGTTGTTGTTAATTGCGAAGTCATGTCCGACCCATCGCAACCCCATGGACAATTTTCCTCCAGGCCTTCCTGTCCTCTACCATCTTCTGGAGTCCATTTAAGCTCACGCCTACTGCTTCACTGACTCCATCCAGCCACCTCATTCTCTGTCGTCCCTTTCTTCTGTTGCCCTCAATCTTTCCCAGCATTAGGCTCTTCTCCAGTGAGTCCTTCCTTCTCATTAGGTGGCCAAAGTATTTGAGTTTCAACTTCAGGATCTGGCCTTCTAAAGAGCAGTCGGGGTTGATCTCTTCTAGGACTGACCGGTTTAAACGTCTTGCAGTCCAGGGGACTCGCAGGAGTCTTCTCCAGCACCATAGTTCAGATACATGCACAAATACAGAAACTTATGTATGTTCCAGGAAAGTGAAAAGGTCAGCCAGATAATGTTCTTGCATCTGTCTATCTACCATCTATATTCATTGCTGTGAAACAATCAGAGTTTAACACCTTAAAGCACGGGTGTCAAACTCGATTGCGTCATGTGACGTTATCGCGTCATTTTTTTGCCCTTGCGGAGCTGGGATGGGCGTGGCCTGCATGTGATGCATGAGGCCCGCAGGCTGTCAGTTTGACACCCCTGCCTTAAAGAGAAGCTAATCTTCCACCGAATCCCTGAGATGCCAATTTAAAGCAACACAAAAAATGCATGTGTTAAGTTCAAGAAGGTACATACTCTTAGGAAACAGATCTTTCAAACCACTTTCCTTTAAACCCCAGAAATAGGATGGGCAGTAAGTTAGATGCAAATCCAAAGGCTTATCTGAATCCATATTTATTCTATCTGCATTTTACCATTTTCAAATGAAAAGTCATTTGTTTCCCTTCAATTTTCAACTCAGATCCCAGAAAGATGTAATAATGACTGCACCTTATTATCAGCTGAAGCTAGGACATTAACACCACATACGGGCAATTTCCATCTTCAGCTGATTTAACTGATTTATTCAGCCTGTTTTATCATTCAGCAACAAGTACACTTAACAAAAAATATACTAATATTAGATGATGAAACATTCAAAATAAAGGAACTGGAAGAGACCTCTGAAGTCTAGCCCTTAAATGCAGGATTTCCAAGACAGCCAGCACATTTCTGTCACATGCCCATCCAGTCTCTGATTTTCTTCAAATTCAACTTTCTCAATGAGAAATCGTCATCATCTTTTAATCATATATACAAAATTCAGAATGTATAACATGGATAATATAATCTGGAAGAGTACCATCAAAATAGTATGCCAGTCTTACCTTACTATCTCCAAGAATTGTGATGATAGGAATTCCCAAATTTTTCACATATTGCTTGATATTTGGGCCCATAGCGGTGGCCAATTGCTGAAGGATGGTCAGTGTTTGTTGTACCTGAGTGGACAGCAAAAGAGCATGACAAATACCTGTGTCGACAGCTGTCAACTTCTTAAAAAATAAGACAACAGTATCATTTTACAGGGTCTGAAGCTCATAGCTCAAAGAACCAAACTTTAGACACAGAGACAATTTTCTACCTTAACACAATGAAATATCATAAGCCACCACAATCACTTCGAACTGTGGAACTTGGAGGAAATGTGATAAATTTAAATAGGTAGATATTACATGCAAGAATCGTTCAAAACGGGTGAGCAAAACAGCTTCCTCTGTTGTTAGTATATCAAGATTTGTTTGGTTGTAGTCCTCGACGTACGACCACAGTCAAGCCCAGAATTATGATCATGTCTTTGCAGTCATTAAGTAAGATACCCACATGACTGTCTTGCTTAATGACCATACAGCTCTTCCTATTGCAGATGTTAAGTGACCATGTGGCTGTTAAGCAGAGCATGGGGTGCCTCAGGAAGTGGGTCTCCCAGGGCCTCCTCTACCCAGAGGCATCCCTTGCGGAGCTTCCCATTGGGTTGGGTCCCACATCCTTGGGTCTCCTCTTCTCATTGCACCTCACCCCATTTGTTTCTTCCGAAGATCGCCTTTCCAAAAGAGAATCAGCCGATGTGCCACGCAATCTTTTACAGAACCTGCCTTGCACCATTCAGGAAGTGGTTGCCATTCTCAAGATCTCTCGGAAGGGTCAATTTTATTTGAGATTGCAAATGGCGACTGCCTCCAGAATGGCCCAAGGTGGCCCCAGCAGGAACACTGAGCATTGTGTCAGCTGAGCATTTTTTTGGGAAAGGCAATCTTTGGAAGAGGTAAGTGGAGCAAGGCATGACGGGGTATGGGAACCAGCAGGGCAAGAGGCAGGCCCAAGGCTTGTGTGAACTCAGCCTGGTGGGAAGTAGACCTAGGGATCCAGCAAGGCAGGATGGGGAAAGATAGATAGGTGGGGTTAGTTAGTGTCCCCATAGTCAGTTGCAAAGGTGAGAGGATTGCCAAGCATCCGAATTCTGATTATGTGACTACACAGTGCTGTAGCAGCTGTAACTTCAAGCACGTGTCATGAATCCCTTTGTTCAGCACTGTCATGATTTTGAACAATTGCTGAATGAATAAGCTAAGGAAAAAATACTGGGGCTGTATTTCATATAAGATTATATATTTGTTTTAAAATATCCCCTAAATTCCCAATCACTTCTTCCCTATAAAGAAAATCTGCAGTATCCGTGTGGCCTTTCTGCCTGTTATAATCTCATAAAACTAATTAAGTCATTAAGAAACAATGCTAGCCAAAAAGTTGTATTTAGTCACATAAATGCATACGGGGGAATTTTAGGACAATAAAAAGAAAATAGGAAAGCCAATTTCACAAGACTAAATTGGAATAATATTCCAAAGTCATTTAAGACAATTAGATATATAAATCTGCTAACTTTTCTTTCAAAGAATATCTACTGGCTATACTCACTGGAGCTCAGGAACTATATAAATTTAATAAATTATTATCATCATTATTTACCATACAGGAGTTTATATTGCATTACATGTGGAAAAACATAAACCACGTTTGAATATTTATCTATAACCTTAAATTAAATTTCAATTTGATTTAAATCACAAGATTGTGATTCTCTGTACTAGGCTTTCATGACAAACAGAAGCACCATTAAGAGGAAGTCACACAATCTCCCCAGCTGTGCTTCGGTGTATGTGCTACAAATAGATTTAACAAAGCTCAACTGTGTTCTTGTGCATATTATGGGAGAGTGCATTTCCTTTGCAGTAACCTCTCTGATGTTCACTGAATACAGCAGTACCATTTTCCCCACTTGTGCAGCACGAGATGCATCAACAGACAAGCTAGCAATTGTAAAAATATTTCCTTACTACATAAAATAAATTAAATGGCGGTAATGTTTAGTGACCTTTTCATTTCATTTCTGTTTATAAGAAATTAAGCTGGTATATGACTGACTGTAACAAACTCGTTACTAATTTTAAGCATACCAGGATTTTATTGGAATCACTGAGACGACTCTTCAAGGCAGGTGCAAGTTCGCCTATATTTGGCTGTATGAATTTGGCTTCACTGATGATGTTTGTTACTTCATCCAGACCCTCCTTTCGGATTTTCCAGTTTTTATCACCAATCTTAGATATCAGCTCAGATGTGATCTTATCACTGTAAAGAAAAAAAAATACCAACAGCTCATCATCAATTTTCTTTAAACAAGAAGCAAACTATAAGCATCTTATGCTAGGGGTCTGTGGACTGGCACCGGGCCGCGGCATGCCTGAAACCAGTCCGCGCAAACAAGCAAAGCCCCATCAGCAGGATGCAGGCAGTACATGAAACCACGCCCCTTCCGGTCCACAGAAAAACTTCTCTCTACAGAACCAGTCCCTGGTGCTCAAAAGGTTGGGGACCTCTGTCTTATGCAGTAACAGTCAAGAGAGAAAATGCAAATTATAAAATATGCTATAGATGAGTAATTAAGAGTTTACATGCCTATAAATGGAGAAATGCCTCACTTACAAAACATAGTTGCTATCTGCCTTTTAAAATGCTCTGATGATGCCCTCGCAGGGCTCTATGTTTGTCAGTGATCCTCACACAAGTCCTCCAGCTGACACATTTTCTCCGTTTCCTTAAAGTTGACACTGATAAGCTTTAATACCAGCTTACCATGTATTTGTTCAACTCAGGCTTTTTGTTAAATCTGTGCTATTCCGCCTTCTGTTCTGCTTTGTTATCGTCTTATGTATTTCAAGATGTTCTATCATTTTAAACATACTATATTTCAGAGGATTTAGCCGTTTTTGTTCTTTTCATTGTAAATTTATTTTATATATATTGTAAGGTGTCCAGACTTGTATTTAAGATGGGGAGGGCATATCAATCTTTTAAATAAATTAAATATTATTTTATATTCAGATTATATTTCAGTATTTTACCAACTAGTATTCCTGCTTTGTCTCCCACCCGCAAGTCCTATGCTGCCTCCTGACAATAAACAGGAGAAGGAATTATCAATTTCTGCCATTCCAACGACTTCTTTATCGCTAACAATTGTCCTCAAAGAACCAAAACAACACCTCTATATGCGGATATCACCAGATGGCTATACAGAAATCAAATTGACAATATTGATAAAAAGGGTGGAGGTGTTCACTTATAGCATCAAAGACATGATGAAATACAGAATGTAGAATGGATCATGAACTGTTCATAGGCAAAGTCCAAATTAAGCTAAAGAAGAAAACCGGTCAATTTCCACAGTCAAACCTTGGTGATTGCCAAGAGGGGAGGAGAACCCAAAGGCAAGAAAGCCAAGAATCTCAGAAAAGAACTTAACAAAAAGTTTCAAAGAACTTTTAAAAGAGACAAGAAATAAGTTTTACAACAACATCCGTAAAGACATTGGGATTGGAAACAGACATGGAAAAACAAGGAGTCTTTCAAAAGACCTCTGAATTCAGGAGGCTCTAACCTTAAATTTATATGCTAAAGAATGCCAATACAGGTAGTCCTCAACGTACGACCACAATTGAGCCCAAATTTCTGTTGTTAAGTGAAACATTTGTTAAGTGAGTTTAACTCTGCTTGTCAGAAGGTCACAAAAGGAGATAATATGATCCCGGAACATTGCAACCATCATGAGTCAACTGCCAAGTGTCTGAATTTTGATCACATGACCATGCAGCGGCTTGAACAGTCATTAAGTATGAAAAATGGTCGTAAGACACTTTTTTCAATGCCATTGTAACTTGGAACAGTCACTAAATGAACCGTTGTAAGTCGAGGACACCCTGCAAATGGATTGATTCAAAAGAAATCAAACAAAGATGGAAGGGGGAAACTGAACTATTATGCAGTAGAAATGTCAAATATAAGATACCACCAAAAATATTCTCTACTTATAAGAACCTCTAGTTCAAGAAGAAGAAATTAGATCAATATGCTGCTCATTTCCAAGTTGGAAGGTTATAGGAACTGATGCCAGACCCACAGAAGTATGGCAAGCAACAGAAGAAGAATCAGTAATCGTTCCATCCAAACTATCCAAGCAAATCTGGAGAATGACACAGTGGCCAACAGACTGGAAGAAGTCAATCTACATTCCAATAACCAATAAAGGAGATTTAATTGAAATACAATATGCTTGATTTTACCTGCAAAATAAACTTAGGATCACCCAACATAGATTATAAGCCCTACATGAAAAAAGAGGTTCTTAGTTATTTTAGAAAAGGCTGAGGAACATGAGACGTTATTGCTGATGCACTCTGGATGATTGAGAAAGTCAAAAATACTGGAAAGAAGTGAGCATGTGCTTCACTGATTATGGAATGTTTCAGGAAAAATGGGAATGCCGGAACATGTCATTAATCCTTGTGAGAAGCCTATATATAGGCCAGGAAGCCATCATAAAGATAAAACAAGGGGAAACAGATTGAATCCAAGTTGGAAAATGAATCCTCTCCACTTATTTATTCAACCTACCGTATTTTCCAGCGTATAAGACGACTGGGCGTACAAGACGGCCCCCGACTTTTGAGAAGATTTTCATGGTTTAGAAAGTCGTCTTATACGCCGGAAAATACGGTATATGTTGAATATATATTAGGAGAAGGTGGTATGGAAGAAATGAGAATGGTTTTAAAACTGAAGAAACAACAACAATAACCTGTGCTATGTTGATGACACTACCCTGACAACTGAAAATGCAAAGGATCTGTAAGCTCTAGTAATAACAGTAAAGAGCATAGTGAAAAATGAGACTAAAATTTAAAGAGGACCAAACTGGCAATAGAACCATTTTTAGAATTGGCAATGGTAGTAAAGAACAAGCAGTCAAGAAATATGCCACTTATCGCTTGGTGAACTAACCACCAAGGCTCAAATTACCCTGCTTCAGACATATAATGCAAAGATCTAAATCTCCGAAGACTTCAAAGCTAGGAAAGGTGTAAGGAAAGAGGAAGCCAAGCAGCAACATGGATGGACTCAGTTACATTGGTGATGAATGCATCATTGGAAGACTAAAATACCAGTTTAGGGATAAATTATCATGGAGAAAGTCTACGAGTAGTCGCGAGCTGCCAATAATGACTTGATAGCACACAATCAGTCAACCAATTCCTGCTTTGGGCTTCAATAAAAAGCAGCATAAAAACAAATCAAATAGAAACAAAGTATAAAAACCTGATATCAGCTCTAGGCAAGAGGTCCACAACATCATTCCCTGAATCCTCCTGTTCTTCTCCTTCCTCACCATCATCATTGCCAATACTGTGCCTTGTATTGCCTCGAGTTGCAGCAGATGGTGTTTGTCCTTGCATCTGAAATGCATATACTTACCAAATTACTTTGTATCTTTTTGATAGGGAGCATTTGGCATTTTAATTCATATGATTGTAAAACACTGTGTTGCGCTAATTAAAAATCATGCAAGTAATGCTCAAAATGGAAGGATCAGGCAAGAAATAGGACATGACACTGGGTGATACATCACTGAACCTGCTGCTTGTTTAGTGTATTACCCAAACATTTAGTTTCTATCACCAATCAGTGAATTTAGAGTATAGTAGTCTTGAAGAATTAATACTCATATTAATAACGGTTTGACAAACATTTCCATCTGAAACACTAGAAGTCATTTTCAGTCAATCATCAGCCAATCTTCCAAGACCGACTTAGTAGATTGTTCATTTACTTCACTGGGTTATTAGCAACATTAAGAAAGATACTGGAGTCAATCGAAATGATCATCCATACAATAAATGTTTTAGCATTTTAAAGAAAACTTACTTTTTCAAACTCTGCATCTATTTGGGAAAGAAGAGCAGGCTTCTCATCCTCAAAGAACATTCGTAAAGGGGGACCAACATACAGAAACATGACGCCTAGTAAGGTTATGGCGGATGTCCTCACAGCCTAATAGGAAATAAAGATATTTAAGCTCAATATTCACAGAGTGAAAGAATTTAACTTGAAGGAAAAAATACTCACGGGATTTGTAGCGGCAAGAGCTGTTCTAACATTGCTGATAAATGCTTTCACGTTCAATCTGAGAGAGAAGACAATAAAGATTAGCCAAATATAGCATAAAATTGTATAGAGCAGTGAAAAATATAAACATTCCTTACACATTCTCAACCACTTTGTCAAAAGGTTATGAAATTTAAATGTGAGATAATAGTATTGGCTATGATGGAACTGCTTCTCAAAATAACAGGACACATCTTACATAACAGAAATGCATTTCTTTAAAGAAATGACACATGAATACTTTTCAACCAGCTCCGCATGTTTTTTGTATTTCCAGGGATCATGGGGAAAGATGGAAATTTGTCTCACATCAAGCAAGTGGACACAGTAATATTTTATTCCTCTTTTTAAAAAATGTGTTTGAACTTTTAAGGTATGCAAAGGGTATTCAAAATGATAAAAACATTTTATATTCCTTTTTTAAAATCCCTACTGGATGGCAATGGAGTCTGGGGGCTCACATTACACCAACAGATTCTAAATTCTAACTACATTCTATATAAACAAAAAATAAAGCACTGGGGTAAAAGAAGAGTACCAGACTGTACAAAACTAGTACAATAGTGAGAAAGAACTTGGTTCACACATGCATATAACAGCTGTAACAAACATATAAATATACATTCATCTCATCTAAAAATATACAAATAATAAGGTGTATTAGCATGGTTGCTATTAACATTCTCTGTGTGCTAATCCATCTTTTATGTCAGTTATTTAATAAACAGCATGTATAGGTAAGCAGCATGCTACTCTAATTTTGAGACTTACCCAGTAAACCCAAACTCTTTAATGGCATTTGAGAGCCAGTTTAAAGTTTCTGATTGGTTCTTTGGATTCTTCTGGGAGAACGCCATGGACATAACCTAGAACAAAAGGAGACTATTTGCAACTGATATAAATGAGCAATAGTTCTTGTGATAGTAAGTGTTCTTTGAAAAATATATATGTACCTGCTCAGCAGTCCAAGGCAGCTGACAGGCTTCTGCTATTGCTGTTAGTGCTTCTTTGGCATTGCTACCACATTTCACATCACCAATCTTATCCACAAGGCCATCCAGGACAATTTGTGCAGATGTTTTGGAAAAGGTTCCCTTTTGAGCAATCAAGGCAACTATATGAAGTTTTATTTGCATCACCTGCAAACAAGAAGTGGAACCATTGCTATTTTCAAGCCAATGATCTGCTGCACAGTAAGATTTGAGACCTGCCATTTCATCAAACATGACTAGTGCGTAATCTGCATTATCTACCAGGCACAACCAGACCACACTGTCTGCGGCAGACAAAATTTTCAGGACGAAAAATGTTTTTAAGCTGTATTCCCTAAAATTAGATATACTTGATATTACTTTATTTATACATACATTCAAAATGCATTGTGACTTTTTCCTTGAAAAATACAAGTTCAGAGAATAGCTTTGTAACTGTGTGGACTCACCAGCTGAAGGAAAGGGGGACTTTCTAGGGGGATTAAAGAGACATTCCAGCTTAGTGTTGGTTTTGGGGTAGGAAACACCTGAGGTTAAACCTGTAGGTCTCTATTTGCCGTTTCCCAAGGGAAGGCAGACAGTCTTGTGAGATTTTTGTAATATAAGGGATTAACAATAAAATTATCAACTTGGGCCTACTCTTGAGTTGTTCTGGTTGCTTGTGCCCGACAATAAGCTAGTATCCAGATATTATGGAAATGAGGATCCCTAAAGGCCTAGGGCAGTGGTGGCGAAGCTATGGCACGGGTCCCAGAGGCGGCACTCAAAGCCCTCTCTGTGGGCACATGTGCCATCGCCCCAGTCCTAGGCCTTCAGCTGGGTTTTATAAAACCTTTTCGCTTTAGGCCTCCGTCGCCGTGTACAAAAAAAAAAGGTTCAATCAGTCAATTTCAACTTCTCGCAGGAAAAAAAAAGATCTTGCAAAGTTGGAATTGATTGAACTTTTTAGTCCCACCCAGTCTGCTGTTACCACTGCAGCCACGCCCACCCAATGGGCCACACCTACCCGGCACCCGACAATGCATAAGTGGGTTTTGGGTTGCAGTTTGGGCACTCAGTCTCCAAAAGGTTCGCCATCACTGGCCTAGGGCCTAAAAGGCTCTTAATGCTGTGGAATTAGAATTTAGAAGTTTTTCACATGCAGGTTAAATATAGATACTATAAATATTGACACAGCTCTCAGCATCTTTCTTTATATATATATTATTATGCTGGATGCAAATAAGAAATATAGATTAAATTCCTTGCATAAAGCTTTTAAACGTTAAAAGGTCAAACCTACACATAAGGAATTCCAGGCTCAATTCTAATGTAACTTTGTGAATAAAGTTCATTAATTATAAATTTAATGTTAGTAGAACTAACCCTAAAAATTAATATTGTTCTACCTGAAAATTGGTCTCTTTCCATCCAGGTTTCTTCGCCAACATTCTTACTAGAGCCTGGCAAGGCATTTCAGTTTTATCCATCAACTCAACAGCCTTAAAGATTAAGAACAGTGTTAAACTGTGAGAAATGCAGGAACATAAATACTGCCAAACTGCGTTCTATAAACCTACATTCATTCAGATACATTTCATGTTTAGCATCATAAAAACCATAGCCCTTAACAATATTATTTTTTCCTTCACTGGAAAATTTTGTAAAGAAATTACCTTTAGTTTTTGCAGTCTTCAAACCCAAAGCTGGATAAAAGTAGATCAAAAATGATCTAGGTTTGGGTCTGAAAACTGTAAATATTGTAAACATAAATTTAATCCAAACCATATAAGAATTATTCTTTCTTTACAAATATATTTTATTTACAAATCAAGCTTTATTTTAGAAACTTTATTCTGAAGAGAAATGTGAAAGTGATAGGATGTTTGAACCAATTCTTATTTTTCCACAGTAAGGAATTAACTATTGTTAATTGGATGCCTCCCTGTATGAAACTGACTAGTGCAGATTTTACAGAAATTAAATCTTTAATGTATTTTAAAAAAGGATCAGATCTGGTCTAACAAACTTGCAGTACCCAGAATAATCTGAAAAGTCATGAAATACAGTCTGACACTAAAGGCTTCTGTGAAATGCCAAAATAATTTACTATGGAACAAACAAATATTTATAGGGGTGAGACACTTTTTAGAAGATCTTGTCATTATTACCTTTTGAAATTCTTCCATGCAAGCCAGCCTTTCCTTCCAATTGCCACTATCTAACTGCTGTATGCAAACTTCTGGGAGGACAGCCGAAGCCTTCTCCTCACACATCTCTATCTATTAACAAAAGAAAAATGGCATGCCTGTTAATAGCTTACTGGTACATTCCCAATATGCCTTCATCTGGCTATTTGGCATTTTGACCTGTATCAGGTTCACTACCGCACAGCAACCTCGATTCAAAGGAAATTGTTACCTCAGAGCACATAGATATACGCATATAGTGCCTAACAGTAATTTTTAAACCCAATGTATCTTTTCCTGCTTATGTGACTAGCCTCTTGAATGATGGAACAGCTGTGCCATGTAGGCATGTACACATATCACTTTATTTAAAAATGGATTTCATTCTACAGCACTGTTCTCCTCAGACTTGAGATTCTTCCTTCAAGGATTCTGCTGAACTGCTATACAGTACGTAGCACTTTCCCCATTATGAATATAAATTCATATTCATATGAAGACCAATAATTTGACATTTACATTAGGCAAAAAATTAAATACTGACTCTAGTTTTAGAAATAATACATTTGAGATGTTGAACCACAATTGGCAAATGGGACAGTCATTCTCTGCCAATGAGATATGTGCAAAATGTTCTATGCTGTACACAGATCAGCCAATTTGTTGCAGCCCAGGCTGTTCCTGAAGCATGTGTGTTTTCGGTGCATTAGTGAGCACATGGACAAAGTGGAATTATTCTTTTTTTGCATATAGATGGAAATGTGGTTGCCTCAGGCTGAATGGATTTGGAAAATGGGAAACAACATGAAAAAGCAAGGACAGTAGACACAGAGGCTGAAGGAGAGAAAAGCTGCTGGAAAAATTGGGTTTGGATAGGCTGTGGGGATAAGTTGCATAGAAAATGATTATAGGGGGAAGGGAATGCGCAGGCAGTGCATACCAGCCTTACTTGCCCCAATAAAATCATTTGGAATCTCAGATTTTGTTTCATCCAAAACTCACAACAAAATGTTCCGTGTTTTGTTCTGCCAAACCATGACCAGTCTGAAACAGTGTGGCAGAACTCCCAGGGTGCAATGTTTTGTTCAAGGTTCGAAACATAACATTTTCTAATTTGTTCACATTCCTACTATCACGTCAATTGAAATCATTTTGAATTCCTGCAGGAAAACATGCCCCCTAGGTTTATCAGCACACTCATAAGATTTATAGAACAAGTGAAATCTAATGTAACATAAAATACTAGAGAAATAAAAATGTTCCAAATGAAACACCGAATCTCATGCACATGTAACTGAATAACAACTATTTTGAGCAAGACCATCATTGGTTTTTGAAACATTTTTAAATACACAATTTGCACAGAATTCACTTACTGAGAGTTCTGGCTCAAATATCTCTTTTACTTCAGTTCCTTTTTTGGCTTTTGTTCCAGTATTTCCTACTCCACCAGCTGAAGCTGGTTTCCCTTTCTTCACTGGACCACCAGCCTGTACATACAAGAGGTGGAAAAATATTTGAAATGAGCACATAATTCACTGTTTTCCAAAAGGTGTTTGTAAAAATTGATGATTAAAGGGAAAGGGAATAAAACATCACCAACTGGATTCAGATACAAGATTGGGGGGGGGGGAACTATGCTTATAAATGTTCAACAATCCTTCCTTCCTCCTAGACTTCCCAAGTCAGACCACTTACCCTGACTTTTAGGAGAACCCTTTCAAGGAGTAAGAAGTGGAAGGTCACTATAGGACAGCATTCTGCCGGTATTATAGTATCTAGTTATTCTATCTAGACAATATTGTCTTCTAAAGATGGGTTAATGTAGATAATAGCATATTTTCATAGCTTTGGCACTAAAGAAGAATGTTGGTTCTACTATATGCTATCTTAACCATTTGTCTGAAATGGTATAGGGTTTCCTGCCGGAGCAGGAGGTTGGACTAGAAGACCTCCAAGGTCCCTTCCAATTCTGTTATAGACTCATAACTTTCCAAAAACATATTAATTACAGAAAAACTAAGTGCTGGAAAAACATACTGTGCAACTAGATTATTTTTGAATCAGTCTTCAAAAAGTATTTGAAAATTTCAGCCAAATCAAAAACAATGGTGAAAAGACCATTGTTGGTTTGAATTCTGGCAATGGCAACAGCAAAGTACAAAAACATCAAATAACATCCAGCAGAAGCTTCTGAAACCACGGATGACTAAAACAAGAGCATCTAAACTGGAGTCTTCATACAATTTCAAAGCAGAGACCCTTCTATATTTCCCACTATCACAGTGGTTCTCAACCTTTTTAATGCCGCGACCCCCAACCGGTCGTAAATCGAGGACTACTCAACCAGTCGTAAGTCGAGGACCACTCAACTGGTGCAGCACCATTTGCAGAATGGGACTTTTGGCGGGCTTAGCAGGGCAGAGACAGCCTGGACAATTCCTATTGGTTTTGAAAGCCAATAGAATTAGACTGTATTCAAGAGAGTCTATTCTATTGGCTTTCAAAAGCCAATAGAACAGTGGTTCTCAACCTTTCTAATGCCGCGACCCCATAATACAGTTCCCCATGTTGTGGTGACCCCCAACCACTTATACATCACCAGGGGCGTGGCCAAAGGGGGAAAAATGGTGGACAGCCTTGTTTGGCGACCCCCGTGAAATGGTCGTTCGACCCCAAATGGGGTCCCGACCCACAGGTTGAGAACCACTGCAATAGAATAAAAGGGAGTAGCACAGCTAAGGAAAAGGGGGAAAAAATGGTGGACTGCGTTGTTTGGCGACCTCTGTGAAATGGTTGTTTGACCCCAAATGGGGTCCCAACCACAGGTTGAGAACCACTGCACTATCACCTAAGCAAAAGTCCTGTTGTGGTTTCCAAAATGGAAAACTTACTTTGGGAAAATGGTCTGTCCCACTGCTGATTTGTTTTTTATTTTTTTAAATATTAACTACTATTCCAGAACTTTGCTGTTTTCTTTGGGAAAATTTCCATCTAATTAAACTTTACTGAATTTGCCATTCTTGTAGTGTGTGCATAAGCCTGTTAATTCCAATGTTCATTTTGTAATGTTTCATGGGAACAAGATACACAGACCATACTGAATGCAAAAGTCAAACATAGCAATCCTGACATTACATTTGTTTCTTTAAAAATTGGACACTTTTTTTCAAAACACCTACATAAAATTTAGCTCATAAGGAAATGTAATCTATTCTGTCACTTCTGAAAATGCAATGAGTTTGTGCTCATTTGAATATATGCAAATTCAATCTGTTTTAATTCAGTGTGTAATTTTCATACCTTAGTAGTAGGAGCCTTTTTCGGTGGCCCAGATTTAGCTGAGTTATCTTTCATATCCTTGTCCCCTGCAGCTCCAGAAAGAACTGGAGTCTTGCCAGCCGCAGCTTTGTTTTCTCTTCTATCAGCTCCTCCACTGACTTTACCTCCACCAACCAACTCTATTTTTTCAGCAGACTCCCTAATCTAGTAGGCAAAATTAGATTAACATAAAAGAATTAACATACTTCATCTAGCAGTTGCTAAACTCTCCTAGGTCCTTGACAAGTGTCATAAATTACAAAAAATTACAATTCTTGATATTGGCACTAATTATTTGGATTTTTCTATTTTTCTATTTCTGGTATAGATGCAGTACAATCACAATCTTATGAGTATTCAACTCAGAGGATAATATACGTATACATATTTTTGTCCTTTTGAATTCATGTTTTTATCTTTTCTAATGTTTTGTCTATCTTTGTTTTGGTTAAAAAATCTTTCTTTTTCTTTCTTTTTTCTTTTTGGAGTCTGTATTTTACCTTAATTTTCTGAATAAAATAAAATTTTATTTGGGGGAAAAAAAGTTTCAAATATGCACATGGCCCCTTCCTGAGACTGAAACTCTGCTGTTTGCTTCGTATATCCAACACAAGCTTTAAATAATGAAAGGTTCACAATTTATCTGATAGAAATGACTTCACTATTTTACAGAACCTAAAATTCATACCATGTTCCAAGATGGCAAGTCAAAGCCCCGCGTTCATCCACTGAAAATATTAATAGTTAACTCACTGACTTATTCTCAGGGCTCCTCAAATAACATCCTATTTGAACTCTACTATACACAGGACGGTTTAGTGTTACTTACCCGGTCTAGTTTCAGTTTGTCCACATCTGTTAGAAAAGGATTCACAGCTTTCTCACCTGCCACTTTTAGGGCAGTGCCCAAGGCTTCAAATGCAGCATCTCTAACCTCCGGTGCCGAATCATTAATATGCTGTGGTGAAATAAAGAAAATCTGAGTACTTTGCTTGATGGAGCTTTGATTCACAGAATCATATAAAGCAGTGGTCCCCAACCTTTGCAACTTGGCGGGCTGGTGGGGGGAACGGGGAACCAGGCCGTGCAAGTGGCGGGCGGGCAAGGGCACGCAGCTTGACTTTCTCGTGGCTTGGTTCCGAATAGGACATGACCCAGTAGTGGGCCACAGCCTGTTCGTTGGGGACCCCTGCTATAAAGTGAAAGATTTCTGTTTCTCTCCTCTGAATTGATCTGTATTTTACATAAAGCTTGGCTTGGAACGTCTCTGTTCAGAGAACTTCAGCTGAACCAAAATGGAGGGCAATGAAGAAACTGAATTCAAAAATATGAACCAGTTACATGGTTTTCTCCTTGCTTGGATATGAAAGAGATGTTTATATATTTACCGTATTTTCCGGCGTATAAGACGACTTTCTAAACCTTGAAAATCTTCTCAAAAGTCGGGGGGGGGGGGGTAGTCTTATACGCCGGGTAGCTGTTCTCTGAATTTAAAACCAATCTGCCCCCTAGTGGCCAGCCCTATTTTTTTTTTTTTTTACAGAAATAAGCACTAACACAGTGTTTCTCAACCTTGACAATTTTAAGGCATGTGGACTTCAACTCTCAGAATTCCACAGCCAGCAGGACAAAGCATTCAAAAATCCCATTTAAATTTTTAAATTTTTCTTTACAAATATAAACCCAGCAAACACACAGTTTACCAACTATTAAGTGATTTATGTTTTAAAAAATCAATAAAATATATAGGGGAAAAAATACCAGCTGAGTTCAGGAAGCATTAGGGAAGCAGTGGTGGGCAACACTCGCTTTCTAGCAGCAAAGGAATGGAGCTCCTATTGTGCTCATCTATAAACGGAAATTCAATATTGTACCGTATTTTCCGGCGTATAAGAAGACTTTCTAAACCCTGAAAATCTTCTCAAAAGTTGGGGGTCGTCTTATATGCCCAGTCGTCTTATACGCCGGAATATACGGTATTTAAATTTATTTGCCATCCTTCTTGCGACTCTGGGCAGCTTCTTTTGTTCTGCATAACACCTCTGTCCTGCCTAGATAAATTCTTCCACAATATACATCAATATTTTGGAACATCCCAACTTACGTATTAGTAAAGAATACCTTCCAGCAATAGAAGCTATTATTTTATTTCAAATGCAAGTTCTGCAGATTTTTTTTTTTTTTTTTTTTTTTTTTACCTTGAGGAGAGCAGCGCAGAATGGTTTCAGGAGACCTTTGGAAAGGGTAGAAGGAGTGCAGTGACGAAAGCTTCGTGCAATGAAAAGAGACGTCTGCTGCTTGATTGTTGGGTTTTTGTTATCCATTACAGCCAAGATATCTTCACTGAGATTTTGCAATGTAGTCTAAATTATTGGGACAAGAGAGATTCACTTTGACTATTCAAGAAGAACCTATTAATCTTTTTCAGAGTATTGGTATCAATTCACTTACAGTAAGAAAGATAGCATCAATGGCTTCTTGCAAGGCTTGCACAACCTGAGGCTTTTTCTCTTTGAACTTCTCCAGAATAGTTGGGACAACCTATTGGATATTATCAAGACATTACAAATTGTGCATCCACCCCAGTATCAATTGTATGTAAGACAAGGAAATCTTCATCACTATCCCATACGAAGGACAGAGAAAATAATCTAATCACACTAAAAGGTCATTACATCAAGAAACACTCTGATGCTACAATCTAGCTAAAGCAGCTTTTTAAAAAGAAAAATGTTTGCCGTTTTCAAAACTGTTTTATTTATTCCAAACCAACTTCTGAAGCAGATCACAACAAAATACTCCTCTAGAAACATTTTCCCCTATCTTCCTGGATATTCAACCATAACAATTCCAGAATCCTTTTTCTTTTAATAAAACAAAATCCACAAGAAAATTTGCTAGAAATATGATAAAAGGAAGATTTAATACGCATTCAGTAGAAATTAGTATCAGGCTGGTGCCAAATCCTTATTCCACAATTAATTTTATGGACACAGAATTTAAAAACAAGTACCGAGCACATTATACTCACATGACCAGCATATTGTCCAAATTTCTTCCTGAGACCAGTGGCTAGTCCAGCAAGGGATTTGGCAGCCAAAGCAACCAACATCACATTTGTATCCTTTCCAATAACCTGTAAAAAAAGAGCATCACAATCTAATGGTGTAAAATTTCAAAATGAATTCTGACCAAATTAAAGATGAATTTGATTATAACTCCTCATGCCATTCACCTAAATTTATATTAAACTATCTCAGAGTTACTCTCCAATTTAACAGCTCACAAACAAAGAATGGGAGAGAGATTGTTTTCCCCTGCCGGTTTCCTATACACTCACAAAATATGCTCTATTTGGTGGGGTGTGCAAACCTGTGGTGTGCAAATAGAGGAGAAAATTATGTTTCATGAGCTGAAATTCAGGATTTTATTCTAGATAGTAAATGCTAGAATTTTAGAAAGCAAGAAACCACAGATTCTGGGCAATTAGCTAATGCTAGCTGACTTGCTACCTACTTAAAGAGTTCAAAAACTTGTTCAATTATTTTTATTTCTATTTCTATGCTATTATGATCTCTTATCCACTTAAATCTGTGAGCAAACATAATTAAGCACTCTATATTTACCAATAAAAGATTAAAAGCTCCTTATAACTATACTAATACTGAGACCTTGTGTTTAGATTTGAGAGGTCCATTTGAGTAATACAGAGAATCTTGCCTTCTTAAGAGCTTTCACCAAGTCTGCATAATCTCCAGCTTCCAATCTGGGATTTTTAACCAGCACTTCTACTGCTTCCAAAGCTTCTTTTCTTTCCTGCCACTTTTTGGCCTCCTGCAAGGCAAACCATTAAAGACCTTGATATATGCATTATTGGAAGTGATACATTCTAGTCACATGTCATTTCTTATTTGTACAAGGAAAAAATACACGTACAATACCACTGTGTTTTCACAATGATCTACTGCAATTGTTCCTAATAATAGTACCTCTTAGACATGACACCATATACATTCAGTAGCAGAAAAGATAAATTATTTTGAAGATATGTTAATGGACACAGTATTGATACAAAGGGAAGTTACAGAGATTAATATTAACATATTGTTTTATCTCTACTTACTATTTTGTCATAGAAATCCTTAGGAAGTTTGGAGAGAATTTCAACAGCTTCCAAAAGTTCATAAGCATCTACTTGTGGAACATCCTCATCACCATCATCACCCCCTATGGAAACAGCTATCAGACACAACCACGTACAGGCCAATTACACTACAATACTACATTTTACTAACCATATGATCAAAATTCCCAGAGTAAGAACTTCTGTGCAATTAATGATACTGTCTAGATACTGATATGCATCTAACTTTTTTGTCAGTTTGGTGAGTTTCCCTTTTTCCTAATAACACTTTCAAGGTTGAAGTTCCAGATCAAATGTTACCTCCATCTGCATCTCCACCAGCTGCCTGCTGTTGCTCAAACTTTGCTTTCATTTCTTGCTGGGATCGCAGAAATCTGGACTGCTTGGGAGTAGACGATGGCAGTTTGACCCATTCTTCTTCCAGTTCTTTTAACTACAAGAATTAAAATAGCAGAAAGATGCATAAACAAAATCTTGACCCCCCCCTGATGTTTGGACTATTCCCTACCTTCAAAGAGGTATAAAAGCATAGCTCTTTAGGAAGGCTTTTGAGGACTTGACCCAACATATGGTGAACTGGATTAAGGGGCACATTGTTGTTACTGTATTGGATTTTTAAACTGTTTTTCTATTTTTTCTTCCTCTACATTTTAGGCTTGTTATTAGCCACTCAAGTGTTACAATTAGAACAAATGCAAGGTGGAGGAAGTGAGCGATTATATGAATACAATTCATTATAAATAACTTGCTACAGAAAGAAGGCCTACTAAGAACATTACTACATTATATGAGTTCAACATCTTTTTGCTGCTTTTTGACATCTGCTAATAATTAGCAGAGGTTCCAGGAGAGAACTCATCTTTAAAGCTTGATGTTGGATGATCCCCTGTTAACTCTTAGGATAAGACAACACAATTTTTTCCAAGCCTCTTGAAGACACTATATGAGATTTGTTAGAATTCCAGTCGTTTCAGGTCTTGGAGCCCATGCCTATGTTATAAAATTTCCTCTATTAGAATTGTATCTAAAAGGAATAATTTTCCAAAACAAAGTTTTCAATTATCTAAAACATTTAAGAAAAAAAAAATCCATTTCCTTCTGTTTACTGGTCACTTCCTGTTAAGATTATCAGAACACAACATGCCCCCAACTTACCTGAAGAGAATTTATGTTCTGTAATGGAGGCCTAAGAGCATCCTTAATCCATCGATAAATCTCAATTGCAAGGAGTTTGGCTTCATCTCGAACAGCTTTCTCTCGAGATTCAAAAAGTTTTGGCAACATTTTGATTATTGGCTTCAGGGCGATTATTTTTGAACCAAATTCACTGAAATATATACATGCAACTAGTTAAATTATGTTATTACTTTAATGCTACTACATACACTCTTTGACAAATATTTAGACATTCTAAACAGAATATAGCTGTAGCAATTAGACTTATATACCGCTTCAGTCACTAAGCAATGTAATCATAAAGGGTGACATCTTATGACCAGGCCTTTTTCTAAAGACCACTGACACTATTCTGCAAATAGCACATGCTGTTCTTACAATGTTTCAAAAGGTTTCTGAAGGCTTCTAAAACCTCATAAAAAGGTCATGTCCACCATTCTCATGATGCTTCAGAAAGCTTCTGAGGTTTTCCAGAGCATCATGAGAAGAGCACTCACAATTTTGAGAACAGTGAGCATCTTGTGAAGTTTTAGAAGGCCTCAGAAGTGATGAGAGCAGTCTTGAGCAATGTATATAATTTAGCTTTTTTCCAATGACCACTTAAATGGAAAATAGTAATAGAAAATTTAATTATTTATAAGAAATTCCCTTATTCTTAGAAAGTCTGATTAAATTTCCATTAAATCTTACCTTAGTGCTTTCCTCAGTGTCTCTATGCATGCCACTATAATCTTGGGGTTCTTGTTGTCCAGGCCTTTAAGCAGTTCTTCTTGTACTATTTCCCCTTTCTCAATTTCAATAAACATGAGGCATATATCTATGCCTAGTTCCTTTGCTTTAGCTTTAGGCTGATTGAACACTTTATTTACAACTCCAGATACCACCTCACCTGTTGTTCTTAAAAAAGGAAAAAGGGTAATAACAACAGTTAGTCAACAACAGAATGAACAATTTGATTCCCTCTCATCCACCTTATAGCAATACTTGATTTCCATTAAACACAGGATTCTTCAATATGTTGTTATATTTATTGCAAGATAAGTTAAGATTGGTTTTGTTGCATTTATGAAATATTCCTAAGAGATCTAAAAATCTGAAAAATTTCCCTGAAATGTAAGCGTTTTTTTCTTTTTTTGCATTCAAGGATATTTATTAACAACCTCATTCATACACATTATTCAACTGAAACCAGAACTCAGGATTAATGGATAAACAGTTAGAAAAAAGCCATGGAAAATTATTTCAATATATGATCACAGCAGCGAGATTACTGTGTGCACAGAGATGAAAACGTTTGATGCTACCGGCAATGGAGGAACGGTTGTTAAAGTTGAGAGATTTTGCTGAAATGGAGAAATTAACTTCTTTGATTAAAGAAAAGACATTATGTACATTTATTTTTGATTGGAAGTCTCTTATGGACTTTTGTGTAAAAATAAAAACAAACAAATTTGTAACTTCTGGTTTCAATGATTAGATGGGAAAGATCAGGGGTAGGCAACCTTGGCTCTTTTATGACTTGTGGACTTCAACTCCCAGAATTCCTGAGCCAGCCATGCTGAGGGGAAAGGGAGAGGTTTCCATGCTGAGCCATGCTGGCTCAGGAATTCTGGGAGTTGAAGTCCACGAGTCATAAAAGAGCCAAGGTTGCCCACCCCTGGGATAGATATAGAAAAAAGAGTAAATATGATGTAATTTTAGAGAAAGAGAGGTTAAAATATGTTTGCACTTCTAACTGCTGTGAAGAGTATTAGAAGCCAATTTATACTTTTTCTCCCTTTCTTTTCAATTTTTCTTCAGCTTTTTTCCCCTTGCACCTTGTTTTTCTTTGATTTCTTTTTCTTTACATTCTAAAGTTTGTTAGATTTTATCTTCTAGTTTAAAAGCTTTAATAAAAATTATACATGAAAAGACCTGATTCATAGGCATGCATGCTGAACACTTCTCTGCTACATTTACAGACAGTTTAAATGCATGCATTGTATTAAGTGAAAATATTTTTATAATGTGAAGAGCAACTACAATGTGTATCTATTATTTAATTACTCTAAAATTATTCTAGAACAAATAGAATTATTTTAGGAGTCAGATAATTATCAACGTAAGTTATCTTCTACAATATTTGCTACCCGTGCAGTGGGGAGGGGGCTGTCAGTTTTTATTTGATGAAAGAAAATAATTTCAAAACCCAAATTGGGGATTAAATGAATGATGTATTGTAGGCATGTTCCAAAAAGATTTATGGTACAGATTTCATTGTAGTTTTAGCCTCAGGGCTCTGATGAAATTGTTCAAAGCATTGTCCTACCTCCTATGTTTGAAACTGTTCAAAGCTAATATGCAAATATAATTTGGGATCTTAAGCTCATCAGTAGGAGTAAGAGTTGTTCTAAAGTACAAATACAAATGACTTACTTTCCTGCTACATGAGCATTTTCAACATAAGCAAGTGCAGCTTCTAATCCTTTTAGCTGAACTACTGCATTTGAGTCTGTCACAAATTTCTTTATAAGTCCAAGGTATTTGGACCATTCAGGGCTCTTTTCATCCTCTATTTTCTCAAACAGCTTCAGTGCTTCTTCATATCCATTTAATCTGGCTTTCCATACCTAAGAAAAAAATGGAAATAAATTAAATCTCTGCATGTCCCAAGAGAATTATATGCTATTCTCTTATATGACCAACTGTATATTTTTATTACAACAAATACTGAAGAACTGTAGTTTTCCCTGTTAAGTATTCAAATGATAGGTATCCAAATACCTACTAAAATTCTGCAGCATTTATCAGATGTACTATCTGCAGTCCCAATAATACATTTAAGGAGTTCTGAAACTGCGTTAGTCATGATTGGCATTTACAGCACAATACAGTCATACAAATCAGTGAGGAAATTTCTATCTCATCTGAGCCATCATATACAAAAGTATTAATAATCTTGAAAATAACACAATCTGAGGTTTTCCTCACAAATTTAGCAATTTGCTTTATTCCCCCTCTTCAGACCTCTACATCATTCTTGTCATGCCTCCAAAGTGCTACCATCATATTTGGACTTCTGTTGCTAATTGCTGTGAGAGAGGTGCAGAGATAAGGAAAGATACAGTGAAGAGGAAAAGAGAGGAGCAGGGAGAATAGATGGTCTCATTTTTTTTTTAAATAATTCTCCTTTCCAATAAACACTGTCGGATATTTGTAAACTATTTGAATATTTTAAAAAAAATAATATATGACATGCCCTAAATAAATACGATTATAGCAAACTTATAAAAACATTAAGACACATCATACTTTAAAGAAAAATAATAACGGGAAAAATTAGCAACATTAGCAGCATAAGTTAAGTCATTTCAACTTTATTTAGAAACATAGAAAACTGATGGCAGAAAAAGATCTGGCGGTCCATTGAGTCTGCCCTTTGATGTTTTTTTCTTGTTTTTGTTTTCTTTTTATTTATTTATTTATTTATTATTTTGAATTACTATTTTTATTTCTTTTATTTTTTAAATTTAATTTAGATTATTAAACTGAAGATATGAAGATAATTGTCAACTCTACAAATAAGCATGGCTGCAGCCATTTTTCCTATTCATTTTCGGTTGCCACATAGAATTGAGGGAGGGGGGTTGCAAGGTGCTTTGCTAGTCAAAATAATTTTTTGTCCTGTGGGAACCAAGGTCATCGGCTGCTCCCTAGACTGCAGGCTGGGCGTTGTGTAAAAAGCCCGCCAAGAAGATGTATTGGCGAACATAGTTGCTTGCATAGTTTTAGGGATGGGATTTTTAACTTTGTATTCGGGAATTGTTTATGTGTGTCTCCAGACTTGGTTTCACTTTTGACATGTTGATACTTTATAACTAATAAACATGTTCTTTGAGGAATTTGCAAGCCTTGGAGTGCTGCTTTATTCATCTGTCGGAACCATGACAATAATTGTAGAAATTATCTATGTAAAAAATGTGAAATCACAGAAAAAAGGGACAAAATGATACAAATATATTTTGTGTAAGCATCTACATAACTTCATATATCTCTTATTGCAAAACTGGGTAAATCAGTCATAGGATTTCCTTAAAATATGAGCCCTTATATCAATAAGTTTTCTGTTAATTATCCAAGATGAAAATGGCATGTTATAAAACTGAAATCAAGCAACTTTTGAGTAGCTCTCACAGAATAAATCTTGGACTATTGTTACAATCAGCATGACCATACAACAATATCCAACCTTTCTTTTTCATCCCCAATATAGGGGAGAAGCACTGGAGCCAGTCCCAATCATTGCTAAACTTCTAATTTTAGAAATAGAAGGAACTATCATCATGGCCTCATTGTAAGGTAATTTGTTCAAAATTTTTATGTATAATGAGAGCAAAGTCCAACATAAAAAGAAAATATTTTAGAAATAGTTTGAAAGTTAGTCTAAAATGAAAATGTGGAATTGGAGGAAGCAATGATTTAATCTCAAACTGTTGCCTAACACAGATACCACCAGAATGAAAAATGAAATAAAGAGTTTGGGGCTTTGTGGAAGCCTACAAAAACCAAAACGTTTCCTAGAGAAAAAAAAAATAGGACCTGTTAAATGTATTATTTTAATCATTATGCCAGACAACTATTACATTTTGAGAAAATGGCTTCAGTTTTATAAACTGATATAATGAACAAGCATGTAGTCTGTCTGGTGCTTTCTTTTCTTTCCCACACGCTGATTAAGTAAGCTAGAACCAGGTTCACATATAAACTAATCACTGTTGCAGTAAAACAGGGGTGTCAAACTCAATTTCACTGAGGGCCGCATCAGCATTGTGGTTGCCCTTGAAGGGCCAGGTGGGTGTGGCCAGAGTGGGTGTGGCCTACTGGTGGGCGTAGATGGAGTGGGTGTGGCCTACTGGGTGGGCGTGGCCAGTTCTACATCATCCGCGTCAAGGGTGCCTGTGGGAGCCTGGGCAGGAGTGAGACAGATCTGAGGGTCTCTGGCAGAAGGGGGTGGGACTGGGGCAAGCGCCAAGGCATGATCCAACAGGGCAAGTGCCAAGATGGCCACCACAAAATTGTACATTGGCTCCCGGCCGGCCTGGGCCAGGGCCAAGGCCAAGGCAGCGGGGGCCGTTCCCTCACTGTTTCCAGGATGGCTTCGCAGGCTACATGAAACCACTTTGTGGGCCACATCCAGCCCCCGGGCCTTGTGTTTGACATGTCTGCAGTAGAAGGAAGCATTAACATTGAACCTCAACTTTTTATTTTTCCATAATATTATAAACTAGCCATTTCTATAACAATAAATGAATCTAATCAGTAAAACCCAGAATCCCCCCCCCCCTTTTTTTCAGTCATCAAGTTTTTGACACCTTGCTACGCACTGGTGGTACTCAAATATTGTCATGTGCTAAAAGTGGTACAATCTGTGAAAAGGTTGAAAAGCCCTGCCTGAGAGGATATGATGTGAGAACTCTGGATCACAACAGACAGCAAAAATATGAACTCAAAGAACCTTAATTGGATAAACTAATGATTGTCAGCTGAATTATATCAGCTAAAGGAAAAAAACAATGAGTCCAGAAAACTTTAGAAAAGGACAACTGCTCTGAAGCAAGAGCTGAACAATGGAGTCTTATTTTTGTATAAACATTAAGAGATATAAAAATATAGTCAGATCACCATTCAACATTTGCTCTGATTACCAAATTACTGGGTGACAGGGCAGAAATGCAATTTTCTTAAACCCTAGCTTGACCTCAGATGAAGGCATATTTATAAGAAAATCTGTTCCCCAAAATTTCTATTGTTTAGTTACTCTAAATAGATAAATGATAATTTATTTATTTATTTATGAGACTTATATACCGCTTTAAGTGCAAGCACTCTCTAAGCGGTGTACACCAGTAAGCAATGTATATATATATTTACATTGCCCCCAACAATCTGGGTCCTCATTTTACCTACCCCGGAAGGATGGAAGGCTGAGTCAACCTTGAGCCGGTGAGATTTGAACCGCTGACCTGCTGAACACAGTCAGCTAAAGTGGCCTGCAGTACTGCACTCTAACTGCTGCGCCACCTCGGCTCTTATTAATGCCACAGCGTAGCCAAAACAAATACAGGTAGTCCTTGACTTACAATCATAATTGAGCCCAACATTTATGTTGCTAAGTGAAAAATTTGTTAAGTAAGATTTGCCCCATTTTATGACCTTTATTGCAGCATTTGTTAAGCGAACCACTGCAGTTGTTAAGTTAGTAACACAGTTGTTCAGTGAATCTGGCTTCCCCATTGACTCTGCTTGTTAGAAGACCGCAAAAACTGATCACATGACCTCAGGATGCTGGAACCCTCATAATTATGAACCAGTTGTCAAGGACTTGAATATAAATCATGTGAGCCTGGGGATGCTGCAATGATTGTAAGTGTGAAAAATGGTCATAAGTCACTTTTTTCAGTGCTGTTGTAACTTTGAACAGTCACTTAAACAAACTGCTGTAAGTTGAGGACTATCTGTTGGTCCAGTGGAAACATTTTCAAATTTGATCAAATGCATTTGAGTTAAACTAGTGCAGGGAAAGATTTTCAAAATATGATTCTAACGTTTGCCCTTTCCTTAAACTCAAAACAATGTATCACTCAGTAAGTAGGGAAGTGCCAGTTCCTTAAACAAGGCAATCTTACCTTGTGTTCACATTTTTGATCAATCGGTAATTTCATCCATTCACTATCTTCTGCCATGATGCCTCAGTTTCTTGTAGTTCTTCACTGTAATTCCTAGGAAATACCAAAAAAAACAAATAAGGCCCTAAGTAAAAAGGCTTGCGGAAACATATGAACCCGGTAGAAATGAACATACATACAATAGGATCTGAATAAAATTTAACATTAAAAAACTATAAGCTACCTAATAGCAGCACTAAATGATTATAGTTATCTTAGCATGTTCTGTCTATTTTGAGTTTATATTCCAAATCCAAATTCTATGCTCAGGAAATATAAATCTGAATTTATTCTATTTAAAACAGGTACATTTTCTTAAGAGTCCATTTTTTAAGTAATGATAGGAACAGAAGAAAAGCAGGATGAGTACTAAAAGTGTAACAGAAAAACCAAGTTTCAAAATATACAGCTGGCCAAAATTATAATGGAAGCAGTCTATAAAAAGCATATGTCAGTAAGCCAAATCACCAGGTTACATGACAATATTTTCTAGGTGGGGCTGAGGCTGGACTGAAGAAACAACAGATTTTGTTTCAGCTTTTAGCAATGCCTCCCTTTTCGTTTCTGGTGCCAAAATATCTTGCTACACATGAGATGCAGTGATATAGAGTATTACTATCATTTATGCATATTAGTGCTCCATTTACTAAGAGCAGTATCAAAATAGTATGCTCATTCTAGAGCAGAAGTAGGCAACCCAAAACACTCAAAGAGCCACTTGGACCCGTTTCCCACCAAAAACAAAACACCGGGAGCCACAAAACCCTTTTGATATCTAAAATGAAGATAACACTGCATATTCCCTTTTAACCTTTTTTATTTATATATTAAAGGTAAAAAAGGATTTATGCAGGATTATCTTCATTTTAGATGTCAAAAGGCTCTCTCTCTCCCCCTCCCTCTTTTTTCTCTCTTTCTCCCTTTCCTCTCCCTCTCTTTCCTCTCTTTCTCTCTTTCCTCTCCCTTTCTTTCTTTCTTTCTTTCTTTCTTTCTTTCTTTCTTTCTTTCTTTCTTTCTTTCTCTTTCCTCTCCCTCTTTCCTTTCCCTCTGTCTTTCCTCACGGGAAGGCCAAGCATGGGGGGGGGGAGGAGGCAGCAGAAGGTGCCCGGGGCACAACGGACCGGCCTGGGGAGATGTGTGGCCAGCTCCGCTGCCCAGGGACAGCCCAGGGAGCGATGCCCCCACCGGTCCAGCTGGGACTGACGCCCGGCCTGAGGACACATGTGGCTGGCTCAGCTGCCTGGGGACGGCCCAGGGAGCGATGCACCCGCCAGCCGCCGCCCCAGCTGGGACTGCCGCTTGGCCTGGCCCGGGGAGATGCGTGGCTGGCTCACTTGCCCAGGGAACGATGCCCCCACCAGCCGCCGCACCAGCTGGGACTGCCGCCCAGCCCGGGGAGACATGTGGCTGGCTCAGCTGCCCGGGGATGGCCCAAGGAGCGATGCCCCAGCCGGGACTGCTGCCTGGTACAGGTAATCCGGGGGGGCGTGCCACCTGCCCTGCGGACTCGGAGCCCCCTCCCTCCCCCCGCTACCAACCTTCCATCTCCAGTGCTGCTTGGCCAATGGTCGCGTCGGCTGGGCATCGCAGGGGCTGTTCTCCCTCGGAGCTGCGGCTTGCAGGAGGGCTGGCCCACTCAGCAGAAGCTCTGGTGGGCCGCTCCCAGTGGGGATCCCAGGGCTTCCCCACACGGCTCTCCAGCCACAAGCATCTCGGACAGGGCCAGCCCGGGAATGGGACTTCCTGACTGCCCTTCTCCCAGGGGGTGGGGGACCCGGGCGCAGGGCCAATCAGGAGCCCTGAGAGGGGGCAAGTCCACATGAAAGAGAGGGGGGGAAGCACAAGTGCCCCCCCTCTCTCTCCTTGTCTCTCTCTGCAAATGGCAGAGGAGGCTCCGGAGCTGCAGGGGATGGCTCAGAGAGCCGCATGCGGCTCTGGAGCTGCGGGTTGCCAACCCGTGTTCTAGAGTGTTCTCACAGCTGCTAAGACAGAATGGCAGTTTATACATTTCCCTTGAAAAAGTTCACTAAACTAGCAAAACTACTCATGCAAATGCATCATTTATGGAATACATCAACAAATGCCCAAAGAGGTGACCCTCTCTTCTTAAGAAAGCTATCCTTATAAATGTTTCAAACAGAGAATTTGACAGGAACATGCTCAAAAACTAAATCTTTTCCAAGCATCTTTCATTACTATATAATTAATCTGAAAGATATTTTAAATTAATAGACAAATATTGTAATCTTGTCACCCTCCTGAAACGATTACACCTCTCAAAATTCTCAGCATTAGGAATTGTAAGTATTTAAGCTCATATACATCCTGAGGATGTGCCAGATGAGAAAGGCTGTTATAGAGTGACTGCTTTCCTAGATTTTTCTCAGTTCAAGATCAAATTCAGTACAACCTAATTCATAAAGGGTACAACACATTACTGTTACAATCCTGCACATAATAAATGGACAATATTACTGAGTACAATGCCACACAGATAATAGAAAAAAACCTCTCTCCTCCACCTTCCCTGTTGGAAATGAAGCATATTGTTAGAGACTCAGTCTTACTCTTCTCAGTTCCATCTTAGTGATTTATCTTTAAAAAGTGTGATTGCTTATTAACCATGGAAGGAAAACTTTAATCAGAAATATAATTTATCACTGTTCTCTTACAATCATTCCAGAGCTATTATTATACTCAGTTCTGCACCACTGCCACCATGTTTACACATTCACAAAATTAATCAGGCTCCAATAATCTAATTAACTGTTATACAACATAAATATTTCTATCAACTCAAGGGATTACTTGTCATTTAATAACATTCAACATTATGTTTCTCAGCAGAAGACAGCACCCAGTTAAACTTCACTGGTCTCAAAAAATTAAGAGTGAGATCTGATTACTGCTTGGAAAGGAGACCAGTAGGAAACACTGGGCTACATGAATAAAAGGGGGGGGGGAACCAACATTCTAAAGAAGGAAATATCAAATTGTTTCTCTATTCTTTTATCAAAAGTATGTAGAAATATCCATGTAGCTGCCAGAAATTAAAATACCGTAGTCACTTTCTTCTCCAATTTCTTAGGAAGGCAATACAACAAAATAATTTGATTAACCACTGATAATGAAATAAAATCTGCTCTTGGAAAAAATAGGAAGTGAAAGAAAGCTGTACTGTAAATGGATTTACCAAGGCAGTCTTCTCCATGTCCAATCCTGTAATGTTTCATTCTCTGTAGGAAAGGTGTTCTTTTAATCCCATCTTATTTTTATAAATAACTTAAAGCAGCAAACATACCTAACACTTTCCTTTTCCTATTTTTCCCACAACAATAATCCTATGAGATGAACTGGGCTGAGAAAGAGTGACTAACCCAAAATCATCCAGCTGGTTTTCATGTCTAAGGCAATACTAAAACTTTCTAGCCTGGCTCTTTAATCACTGGACCCAATGCTGTCAATACTTTTTGTTCCCCCCCCCCAAATAAAAATGAACAGAATCTAAGAAATGAATACGCATACTTTATTATGTAGCAGAGGATTGTTGTTGATGGTGGTGTTGGTGTGTGTGTGTGTGTGTGTGTGTGTGTGTGAGAGAGAGAGAGAGAGAGAGAGAGAGAGAGAGAGAGAGAGAGACTTTCATATTTTCAATAATGTAAATGTAAAAAAAAAGCTTCCATCTTCTTAAAGAGCTGTTAGGACAAACTTGGCCTGGAGAGAAAATAATTTTGCCTTTGTGAATGTGGGAAAGCTGAGGGAGAGGTTAGAGACATTACCATGTAACCTCAGCAGTGGGACAGTATCATACAGAAGGGGGGGAAGAGAAGTTATGGAGGTGGGATTTCCCTCATGGATTGCATATCTGAGGAAATTCTAAAGGTGACCCCAAATTTCTGTGGAAAATGGGGAGGGGGAATCTTAAAAAATTGCTTTTCTCTTTCACTCAATGTTCAGGCCAAATTTCAGGCTATTTTTCTGCACATCCCTAGAAGTGGTTTATGTTATGACTAAGCAACATTGGGACTATGCCAGTGACTACTCTGCATCTCTTCTACCCATTAATATTTACTCTGAGTAAGCTGCATGGATAGGCGGGGCTTACAGATATTCACTGTAAAGGGCTGTCATAAAGAAAAATAATTGTTAATACAAGTTTCCCTAACTATCCAGAGCCGCGGATACTTTCAATGCAATACAGCTCAGATTAAACACATTCATTCAGATTTTTGTCTCATTTTATATTTAACAGTTGCTATATGGGCAGATTGTGTGTTTGTGTGTGTGTGTGTGTGTGTATGTGTGTGTTTGTAGAAAAGATAAAAATAGTATTCATTCTGGGCTACCTAGTAAATATACTAAAAAGAGAGGTACCATTAAGCTTTCTTTAAGATATCTCTCTCTATATATATGATGTATCTTACTACTGACCTTGATCTTCTTTATCTCAGATTCCAGTGCAGGATTTCATTTATCCATCTACAAAACAAAGCTATATAAATAATAAATCCTAGATTGGTAGTGATTTAGGTGACTAGATCCAACCTAACAGATACTTTTGTGGCCTTTGTTTAAAAGTTATATTTAAAAATTAATTCTAGAATTGATTAAAATGGACAGTTTTCATTAAAATTTACAATAGCATAATCAATAGCATAAAAAGCATAATTATGTGAAAATAATCTGCTGCAATCCTAACCACATATATATTCTAATTTTTATTTGACAGTTCAAGGCCAATACATGGAGGATCTTCCATTGTCAGCCCTTTTAAAATGGACAATTTAATGTGGTTAAGGTTATTTATTATAACAAAAACCTGTTGAAGTTTCTTTTTATCTCAACTTATTCCTAACCTAAATCAACACAGAATTGTTTTAAGTTTCTTTCTCATGCTTCCTATTTCCACAAGCTTGAAATATATATTTCTGTAATAATTCAGTTCCACATTATCCTGATATCCCATCATACCTCTAATTTTATACATCCAGCAACAACCATATGAACTAGATTAGGATGAGACAGAGTGACTAGCTCAAACTCAGCTAAATAACTCTATGATCAAGCTGGGACCCAAATCAAGATGTGATTGGTTCAAGTCCAGCTCCTTAACCACTTCATTGTACAAATCACGTAGGAGTCATCATATTAAACAGAGTAGTTGGGTTTGATGCACATTTGTCTACGGTCAATTAAACCTCCAGTTTACTTGATTAACTCCATTCTCTTGATTTTGGCTTTATTTATTTCAATTTCACGACTCTAGGTTACCTAACAACAATTAGAAACACTATTAAAATAACTGTAAAAAAATACACATATAATCAGCAGCCCAGGTAAAAACAAATCCACCAACAACAAATCAAACTTTATTTTATTTATTTACAATATTTATCTACCAGCCCATCTTGTACCAAACTCTGTGCAGCTATATAAATGTTTTAAAGAAATAAAATGAATATATTAAGAATTAAAATATGGATAATAAAACATTAAAGTATTACTTATTAAAACCATTAATACCACATAAACTATTAATACCACAAACATTAAAAACCAAAACTGGGGACCAAATTAAGCTTCTGACGTGCAGTCACTTCATCCTATCCCGGAGCTTAGGGGAAAAGACAAGTCTTTTCAGAAGGCTAGGAGGCCTGTTGAACTTCAGGAAGAATAAGGTTGTCCTCGACCTATGACTAGAATTGAGCCAAAACGTCTGTTGCTAAGCAAGAAGTTGTTAACTGAGCATTGTTATTCTAAATCAGGGGTATCAAACTGCTGGCCCATGGGCCAGATGTGTCATGCCGAAATCACGCCCAGCCCATTGCCAGCAATGGAAAAACAGTCCCGATACACCGTGACACGTCACGTGACGTTGTGAGTTTGACACTCTGTTCTACATAGATAAATGATAATAAATGTCACAGTGTAGCCAAGACAAATACACCTTGTCAGAAGTTTGCAAAAGATGGTCACATGACCCCAGGACACTGCAACCGTCATAAATATGAACCAGTTTTCATGCATCTGAATGTAAATCACATGACCACAGGGATGCTGCAACGTAAGTATGAAAAATGGTCACGTCACTTTTTTCCAGTGCCGTTGTAACTTTGAACAGTCACTAAATGAACTGTTGTAAGTCAAGGACTACTTGTATTACATAGGGTAGGGGGTTGCCACAGAAAAGGCATGCTTCCTACACCCATAAGGTGACGGTGTTTAAGGGAAGGGACTAGGAACATGCCACCATTATCTATTTGGACAGGTAGTTGTAGTTAGGAAAAGGGAGTCCCCCAGATAATCTGACCTTATGGAACACAATTATTGCACAGGCACCGCCATGCATCAGGATCCCCAAGCTAGGTAATAAACCATGTATTGAAGGCAGAATTGGGGCCAATCTAACGTTTATTGGGGGGGAGGGGAATGATGCCTTAAAGGGCAGGTGCTGCAACATTAAAGGTTCTCTTAATGGGGTCTACCAGATGGCACTTGTTAATAGACAGGATCCCGACCTCTCTTTCTTGCTGAATCCAATGGGATAAATAAACTTAACTTGGGAGATGCAGCTCTCAATGTTTTGTTCAGTCCCATGAATTAAGACTTGTACACCCTGCTTCATAGTTAGCATTATTATGTGAACCAACAAAAGTTAGCATTAGCGTGTGAGCCAACAAAACATTATTATGTGAACCAACAAAATATCATGGCTTAATACATATATAAATCTTGTATATGTAATTAATTATAATTACTGGAGGCTAAAACATATAAGGAACGGTTGCTGGAACTGGGTATGTCTAGTTTAATGAAAAGAAGGATGGATGACATGATAGCAGTGTTCTAATATCTCAGGGGCTGCCACAAAGAAGAGGGAGTCAAGCTATTCTCCAAAGCACCTGAAGGCAGGACAAGAAGCAACGGATGGAAACTAACCAAGGAGAGAAGCAACCTAGAACTAAGGAGAAACTTCCTGACAGTTAGAACAATTAATCAGTGGAACAACCTGCTTCCAGAAGCTGTGAATGCTCAACACTGGAAGTTTTTAAGAAGAGACTGGACAGCCATTTGTCTGAAATGGTACAAGGTTTCCTGCCTGAGTAGGGGGTTGGACTAGATGACCTCCAAGGTCCCTTTCAACTTTATTATTATAATTATCATCGTGGTTATTGTTATTATTTTTTGGGATTACTGTTCACAAATAATGTAAGTAGTCCAGGTTATTCAACTTTACTGTTTATAGTCAGAAGCAAGTTCCATGCATAATAAATTTGTTCCCCGGAAAGCAAGTGCAGGATTTTGGAAAAAAAAAATAACTGGGATGTTATTTGAAATAAAGTACAGTTCCAATATGAATATGTTTTTAAAAATGTAAATAATCCCTGTAATCACAGCATATTTTAATCTAGAAAAATAATTAAATCATGTTTAACTTGTTACTTGATTGATAATGAAGAACAGTTTTAAGGAAAGAATTCATAAAATTTTGTTCTAATTTTCTAACAGTGTATAAATAATATAACCATAACTTAAGGCAGATATATTTGCTATAAAGGCCCCAAATCTATCCTTTCATTGTCACAATTCCCATACTTTTGAAGGTACACAGGGTCACAGGTTACAACATCTGTACATAACTCTTTCATATCCCTATTGAAGTGCAGGAGCCCACCCTTTCATATATTGGATTTCTCTGCATATCGCTTCATGTTGTCACCTCACTAATTATTATTTTTTCTTAACAAAAGTTATTTTAAAGAAGACCAATGGTAAAAATAAGTATATTCTCTTAACGTTGATAGATATATTGTGCTATGCTATAGAGGTAGTCCTTCACTTATGAGAACAATTGAGCTCAAAAGCAAGACAGTTGTTAAATGAATTTTGCCCCATTTTATCTTTCTTGCCACCGTTGTTAAGGAAATCATTGCAATTGTTAAATTAGTAACACAATTGTTAAGTGACTCTTGGCTTCCTCATTGACTTTGCTTGTCTGAAGTCGCAAAAGGTGAACACATGATCCTGGGACTCTGCAACTGTCATAAATACATGCCAGTTGCCAAGCATCTGAAGTTTGATCACATGATCGCAGAGATACTGCAACATTTGTGTGAAAAACTGACACAAGTCACATTTTTCAGTGCTGTTGTAATTTGAACAGTTACTAAATGAATTATTGTAAGTTCAGGACTATCTGTAATGCGTATGTGTGTGTGTATGAGCTAATTACACCCTGGTTATGAACTAAACCATGATTTAAAAAACTACAATTTGGTGTACAGTGTAAGTCACAACACAGCATTTTTTAAAATAAACTCTTCAATTATACATCACTTAGTTGCTTCTACCATCTAACAATGAAATTCATATTGTGCAAAGTAAAAATGTGCTAAAAACACCATAATTGGCTTCATGGAATGCACTAATTTTAAACCAAGCAAACTATATCATGGCCTAGCACAATTTGTAAACCCTGTCATTGTCTTTCAGTTCAATTCAGAAAAATCTGAGATGCTGTGATGATTTCCCTACTCTTGAAACAAATGCTCTTTGGAGCAAGCTCTTTGAAGATTGATTACGCCATTCTCTCCTGATCTGTTATTTCTATTTTGCCTATTTCCCCGATAATGCAAGTGATATGGTTTATTTCACTGAAGCTCTTTCAAAATATTGCTCTCAAAAATACAATATACAGTAGAGTATTTTAAGGCATATATCCAATATTTTTTGAACAGAGAGAGCAATATATTTATACTCTGCATAAATTCCACTATCTTTCATGATCTATGTCCTCATTTTATTTATAGTGCTCATGCACTAATATCAGTTGAATCAGGCATGTCACTTAGAAGTCTTATCTCTTGTTATTTCTGATGATTTTAGGGGGCATCTCATTGTTCTCCACAGCCGGTCTTCTCAGATGTTTCAATATCGTTATGTGCCTATGCATTCCCTTATCCAAAATCACCCTCTTTGCCCCTGCCCACAAGATATACACAGCTCTGGGTCGGCGACATCATCAGAGCTCCCTTTTTCTGCGACAGGACTTGCCAGGAGGCTAATCATCACCACCGCTTCTCGTTTCCCGCCCCAACAGAAGGGGCCACATCTCCCAGCAGTTGCAGCTCAGTCAGTCGACATTGACAAATTCAGCATCACTACTGCCACTCCGGAAGAAAACGCTCTCCGGCATCTCTAAATCTACTCCGAAGTCAAACGCCACCGAGTATCAGGCCGCTCCCCGGGCATTGTTTATGCCAACAAACCAGCCTAGCAAACCTCCGTCCTGGAGCTTTAGGCCCCCGTAGATCGGTCGCCGCCCTGCCCCGGAGCTGATGCCGGGCAACGACGACTTACCCAGTTTGAGCTAGGCCGCAGGTCTCCTTACCCAGCACTGCTTAAAAGGAGCTGGCGGGTAACTGCATCTCCTACCGGCAAAAAAAAAGACACCTCCTCCAAGGCGGGGCGGAGTGCATTGCAGCCGGCGACACCAGCCTCCGACTCCCACCGCACCTGAGAGCAAGGCCTTCTCCGGGCCATGTGACAAACAAAGGCCGGGTGTCCGCCTCCCAGGAAGGAGCATGCGCACAGTCCGCTCCTCAGTTCGCCTTGGCGGCGGAGGACGGGAGTTATTCGAGATTCGTCTTCGAAGAGGAAAATTGAAAGTACGACTTCGAGAGGCAACTTCAATTGTTTCGCGTCTCGCGTGCTGCTGCTTTGATCTCCCTTCCAAGAGGGAACCGGGTCTCGGGCCGCACAAAACTCAAGAGTCGTCCAGGTGCGCAGTTCGGCCGGACTAAAACCATTTGGACGCAACAAGTACAGCGCGTGTAAAGCACCCGCTATATGTCTCACAGCTGGTTTTATTAGCATGCGAGATGAAGAAGCGCAACGGATCCTACTCTGCTTATCCACAGAGTAATACAGAAAAAACAAAAACAAAAACTTTCTTACGCAGGTAGCAACCTACCCACCCAGTTCAGTGGATAGCATCTTTTACTATACGCTACTGAAAGAAAGCCTGGAAATTCACTGCCAGTCTTGAGACCCTGGTTTTCTGAATTTAGACTTGGCTATCCTTAGAAAACTATTGAGATAATTTTGGCTACCAATTATTGCCAAAAATATGTCTTTTTCTAACAATTGCCCTGCCATGTTAAAATAAAATACATCTGTGCACTCAGCTGAAAAAGTTAATGCAATGTTAATTTTCTATTTAAATTTCATAGTTTGAGTTCTCTTGCTTCATATTTACAAGAAACTTTTAATTAAATAGAATATTGCTTTTTACAGCATGTGAACTAAAGAATTCATGTTTAATATGCAAACCTTTCCCCCTTTAAAATCTTTTTAATGATAAATTAATCCAAAGACAAATACTGTAACAAATACAATGTCTGGATAGGAATTATTCATTCATTGTCAGAAAATACAAGACACTTAAAAATCCATTTCTTTAACATTTCAAAGCTTTTTGTACGTTAGAAATTTGTAGCAAGAATCACAAAAGAGTAAGAAACAGGTACAAATTAATACCTATCTTTTTTTACAAGTATTTGGAAAATGGACAAAAATTTGGTGAAAAAAATCAGCATCAAGAACATTCTACGAAAAAGTATTCACTATAAGTGCAATCAGCAAAAACACAAATGTTGACACAATTGGCTTCCTTTCCTTCCAATAGCTTCTGAGGAATTATTATTTTCACTTCTAAAATTCTTATTATAACAATTCTATGCATAAAGTTCCATTAAATTCAAAGGTTTGTTCAATTTATATCCCACCTTTTGTATAAGAGCTCAAAAAGATATACTGTACACGGTGCTCTCTCCAACTTTTACACATACCAAGAACCCTATGAGATTGGTTGAACTGAAACAACAAATGGCCCTAAATTGCCCAGTAACTGTGGATCTGGCTAGACTTCAGGTCTCATTTTAGTCCAGCAATGAGCACCCTTAAGATCTTGCTGTTGAAAACAGCATTATGTTGCAAGCTATATTCCTTTTGTACACAGTCTGCAATACATACATACATACATACAGTTGCCATTTTTAGCATTCTCACCCCTATATTTTTAATAACTACTATTTATCAGAAAACTATGACTTTAAAAAATAAAAACAAAAGCTATAGTTAAAAAAAGGAAAATAAACAATCTACTACCAAACTAAAAGACATCTTTTAAAATGGTATAAAATAAGCTCTTTTGCATTTTTCTCAGCACACAATCACAACTAAACTGAGGAAGCCAGCCTTTACAACACTGAAAGCATAGGATTATTTCAGCATATATTTACTAATGTTCTGCTTTATGCAATGTCAACCTGTCACTTGAAGTATGATCCCATTCAAATGAAACATTCTCAGTCATTAATCTGCAATCCATTCATAAGCACTGAAGTCTACCATAATATCTACATCCAGAAATCTAAAAATCAAGTGCAAGATCCAGATCCTAAAGCTACCCTTGATCTCAGTGATCCCTAAATGTGGGTATGTACCCTACCAACAAACTGAAAGAATCTTGTAGATGTTATTACCATTGCAGAGAAATTGCTATTAGAAAGAATGCAGTCCCTGAATCTATTTCAGTACACCAATATTTGATTAAGACACTGAGGCAAGATATTCTGACATTATAGCATGTTCTAGAGAGTATAAGTACAATTGTGTTCTGAAATAGCAATCCATTATGTTCTATTGACTTTCCAAATTCTGGAATAAAGGGCACTTAGCAACCATAATGAAAGAAACATTGAGAGAGAAAAGGTAGCAAGGAAAATGGCTTCAGCAGTCTTATATTTCAATAGTTTGTCCTTTGAGGAATTATCAGTTTCATGGAGAGTTTAGATATTTCAGATTTCAAGGCATCACTATCAAATATTTAAACCAGATTGCTAGGATATCTTTTCATACTTGTTTGGGATAAGCAGATTTTTGTATTTTTGAAACTCCAGCTTAGAAATAAAGAAAGCACATATTTCAATTTAAGATACATACTTAAAAAGACCTTGTATTTTGTATTTTCAAAACTTAAAACAAGGCGCTTGATATATGTAAGATAAATGTAGTATATAAATGTAATTTATGTGTAGTAAAGGTGTCATAATTCTAAAAGAAGAAATTGCAAAATCTTGGATAAGCTTTTCCAAAGGCCCCTTTGCACATTACTGAATACAAGTAATTTTGGATTATGCAAGCAAAAGAGGGAGGCTTCCTGCCCACTGATCCCTATTTTTACTATGTTCTTATCTCCATCCCCCTCTTCTCAAAAAAAATGATTCTACCGGTACTGAGGAAGTTAAATTAACTGCCAAGAAATGAAGACAGCTGAGAAGCCAATTTGAAAAATCAGAAGCAATTACTTTCAGCTGCCACTGTTGCTCAATTACTACACCATCACAACACATGAACAGTAAGCATGACCAAGAATAAACTTTTGCATGCTCATCTGTCTCCTTTTGGGCACTGGCTGTAGTTATTAACAAACTTTTTTTTCTATTGTGAAGAGCAAAAGGTTCTTCTGTAGATAATTATGTGCATGATGTAAGATTGGGATTACCTACCCTTACATTTTCAATATATATGATGGGTGCATCAGTATGGAAACAAAGCTAAGTTGTTTAAGGGTATTTATTTTCTCCTCGTGAAAATATAATTCATGTAGAACTTAGAGAAGTTTGCTCATTTCTTTATAGTGCTAATAGTAACTCCTAAAAGTCATTCACTCACACAAGGAAGTGAGCCAGTAGGAGTATGGCTTTGTGCTGTGTTCCTTTAGTTAAAGAATGGAAAAAAGCCATTGCCTAAAACTTTAGGTAGCAGCTAAGTCCCCAAGTCTGTGTGGAGGATACCCACTGGGCATTAATTGTAGCTTATAACATCTAACTGGCAGTGGTGGAATCAGATTCCTTCTGAAATATTCTATGTTTGTGCCTTTAGGGGTGCTGTTCCCTAAGACAGTGTCTTTTTTCCACCAATTTTTCCACCAAAGATAGAAAATGTAGTTACTACTTCCAAGGAAAAGAGCAGATGAGCAAGTGGTGACAGGTGCTTTTTCTAATAACTATGAACCATTCATTCATCCATCTACAAAATAATCCACTAGCAAAATATTAAGAATAGTAATGGCTTCATCTATTTACACAGCTGACTTCTTCCTTTAAGCAATGGGAATAATCAGATCACATTAGTTACTAATTGGCTCAATAGCCAGTAAGCTAAGATCCCCACTTTCTTCCACAAGACAAAAGGTGGTGCCAACAGCTGTATTCCACAGCACGCCTGCCCATCATTTATTGAATTCATCGACACTAACCTCCTGGACTAGTTCATACGTGCTACGATGATATCAAGTGGCCTAGTTGGTGGTTTAGCACATGAAAACACCGGTCTCGGTGATAGTACGGATTAAGAGACGCCCACTGGTCAGGAAGTCCCTGAACGCCTCTTAGATCCCAGTTAGCCCCGCCAGGGCCTCCACTGCCCACATGGGACCCGATGTAAAGAGAAGTGGGGCTCAAATTGCGCCAGCCACAGAGGCTGTCAGGTCGGCTTCTGGCTTTAGGTTCCCGGAGCATCCATAGCACGGGAGCGGCCTTATGCCGCGTTGTTGAGTGAGAGAAGCGGCCAGTGAAGAAGGATGGAGCGCGCCCTCCTCGTACCGGTGACTCTGCTCCGGAGCCCCAGCCTTCCCCGCTACTCAGATAATCCCTGATGCAGAAAAAGACACTTACCGAAGCCAAGGAGGAAAGGTAAACCCCAGGCCTCTCCTCGCCACCGTTTGAAATCACTAAGGATGTTCACACCGCCCAATATTCCGGCTCCTCATTGGTTTCCACCGAGAATACCCGCCTCCTCAACTTGGAACCTTATTGGCTAGTTTGAATCTGGCAGTTGTCCTCAGGAAGTGGGAGGAGGCGGCAGCAGCAGCTTTTTTTGCTTTTCTTCGACTGCTCTTTCTTACCCGTTTGTTCTTCTTTGTGGTCGTGGCGGCCCAGGCCTTGATAACAGCCTCGCTCTCTATTCGCAGAATCTTGCGGAAAAGAAAGCAAGGAGGGCGCAGCAGGAGGTGCCCGCTCTAGGCTTCAAAGGCGAGCTCCAAGAAAGCCCAGCCCCAAACTGGGTTGCCGTGCCTCCCTCCCCCGCCTTGCTCCGCAGTTCCTGACAGGGCTGTTAGGCTTTCCACAGGGATAATGGAAAGGTAGCAAAATAATGTCTGTCTATATTTGGTGAAAAGAAGGCGTGTAGTGAAAAGAAGTAGTAGTAAATTTTTATTTAGGGACAGCTGAAAAACTGAAATGGAGCGGATTTTTTTAAAAAATAGTAAAACGAGTGCCAGAAATCCAAATATCGCCCAGAATCTCTTAGGGACGGGGGGGGGGGGAAGGGTAGGGGGGGCTATAAATTGAATTCATTTGAGAACATAATCTTTTGAATTATCTATGAAAAGTCACATCTAGTGGATCTTGGCTTATCTTGAAAACACTAAGAAGGGATGGTTCTGCTTAATACTTAGGTGGGAGACTATGATAGGAGCTATAGGACAAATTGGAAAATAAAAACACATTTTGAAGGAAAACGGTGGCAAATCATGCCCATATTAAATCCTTTTATGGCCTGGTACCTGCTTACAAGACTGTTTGCTATGACCTCAGTTGGCCCAATTTATTAGGGAGAATCTACTAATCCTAGCCCACCTATGGAAAATTACAGCAAGGCGTTGGTTTCAATGGAAAATCTGATGTTTCTCCATAATAAGGCTGGAGCAATCCCTAAGTGCATTCAGGAAGGTGCTGAATACAAAGTATTCCAGAGAATGGTTTAATATGTTCACAACCATCTTTTCTATTTGTTTTATTATTTCAATACTATAAAACTTTGCTTTATTGGATGTTTTAAATGTTTTCTTTGTAAACTACTGAAAGATAACTTGGTGGTATTGGAGCACAAATGTAATACATAAAATATTGCCATCAGGTAAATAATCCTTTTCAAGAGGAGTTGACATCTACCTATTTTTTTAATCTTTTCAATATTGTTTTAATATATTGGATACTAATTGGAAAGTACACTCAAACTTACTTGCAGTTCAGCCTTGATGCAGTAAGTACTAAATCTCCTGTTACTTGCTCTAGGTTGGCAAGTTGGGTTTTGGAAGAGAAGTTGGCATTCAGAGCAAGTTTCTAAAATCTGCCCAGAACAGGTAACAAAACATTTGATTTTAAGTTAATTCCAGATTCTATGCCATGTTTTTGTCTTGTCTAATTAAACCATAAAACATTTTGCCTATCCTAATGGATATGGATTATAGGAATCAAGATGTTGAATTTACAATCAAAAACTGGCATATGTATACAAGCATTTTCAAGGTGAAAATTGAAACAGTGCACCAGTTCCTACATGCAGCTGGAAGTAGAGACAGGCAAAAAAATAGGTTGTTCTGAAGTTAATGCTCATGGCATAATAAATATTGATAAGGGAATAGATAAGGGATATGGGAAGAATGAGTTAGCATATGTAGATCATATACATTCTACTAGCAAAAGTTCACACTACATATAAAGCACATCATCTCTTTGCATTTACAGTATTTAGGTTTCACATTAGATTATTACATAGGTTGATTTCAATTTCTAAAAATATAAATATAGGAAAGTTCCAAGTTTAACAGGCATGAAAATAGTTCAAATTAAATTGGCAAAAAAGCTTTAACACATATTAGACAATATGAAAATAATCCTATTATGAGTCTGGTATGAATCATTTTGATTCTAGCAGTTTGGCCCAGTGGTTAAAGTGCTGAACTAGAAGCATAGAAACTTCACTTTACTTCTGCGTTAGGTTCAAAAGCCTGCTGGATCACACTGGGCCAAACAGTTTCTCTCAGTTCTAGGAAAAAGGAAATAGCAAATAACTTTCAAAAATGCTGCCCAGATAATTGGACTGATTTGTCCATTTGGTCACAGGAGTCAAGTCTGACTTGAAGAGAATAAAGTATCATTTAAATTTGTTACTCATAAATTGCCCAGGTAGAAATTACTTAACTCGTAACCAGCAACGAAACATCATTTAGGAATGCTAAGAATTGTTAGGCTGTATATGTTTCCTACTTTTAAAATGCAGACAATTTCTAAATAACATTTATGTTATAGTAAGAAATTATAATTTAGAGTATCAGTTCCTAGATAATACTGTGTTCTGGGACAAAGTTTTTTTTTTAAATTTATCTGTCTAGCCATCCTATTGATATTTAGGCTTAATGCCAGGATTAACTGACTTTAAGACAAAGTACAGTAGCCTAATCTTACACATGGTTAGTGAACCATAGGTACTACTGTGTTTAATGGGACTTAATTTTCAGGACACAAAATACAGAATTTCTGTCTCAGCTATTATTAATGGTTAAGTCACTTAAGGAGATATACGAGATTTGTCTTTACATGATTGAGCCAAGACTAGAGGTAATCCTCAGCTTACAACCGTAATAGAGCTTGGAATTAGGTCGTAAGTCACTGTGGTGATAACTAGAAGCATCATATGACTAGACCCAATTTTTGACATTTTTTGTAGCAGTTAAGTAAACACCAGGTCACTAAGTGAACGTCACAGTCATTAACCATATGCTATGTTCGTTAAATGAATCAATTTTCCCCAATGAGCTTTTTGTCAGAAATACAAATACAGAAACTGGCAAAAAAAAAACCCAGCACAAATTGTAGTCATGTGACCGCGGGACATTGCAAACAGCCATAAAGGTAAGTTGGTTGCCAGACACCCAAAATGTGATCATGTTACAGCACACTTGCGGCCATTGTAACTTTGAAAACAGGTCATAAATAACTCTGGGGACGTCCGTCATAATTTCAAATGATCATTAAGTGACCAATGGTAAGTCAAAGATTACCTATAACACATTTTAATGACAGGTGAACATATAATCCTTTGCAGCCAGATTAATTGTTTTTGTTTATTTCCTATAGTTTGTTCTTTTTTTAAAAAAAAAATATTGCATGTACTCATTTAAAATGCCCACTGTTTTGACCAGTGAATTGAACAGGAGAAGAAATGAAATATGTGTCCAAGAAAGTTTTTCCCCAAACTGGTTGCTTACTTTGAGCTCTGACAAGATACATAGACTCTGTTGCTTATCGATATACAGTATACTCCCTTCTATAACCAGAATCCCAATCCTGACATTTTAGGAATCTTTTAAAAGCCATCTTTCCACGTCTTTATTTCCCTTGGTATTTTTATTTTGATTTTTTTTATTCTGTATATACTTAATAGTTTTTTAAAGTGCTTCAGGATTTTCTGTATAAGTATATATTTTAGTAATATTTACGGGAGCAAAGAAAGGATTTATGTGGGGTTTTAGAATGATAACTTGTTTATTCCATGTATCTGCTGAAAGCCTATAACATTGTAATAGTTTTAAATTATAGTGCTTTGATGCTATCAATATGCAAATTTACATGTGAGGATTTGAAGTGAGAAATATGCCATTTAAGAAATCCTGCCAATTCACAATAGCTAGATTGGACCGTGTGTAAGATTGATACAAATTTTTAATCTTCTGGGTACTTTAAGTCCGTTTGTCAGAACCATAGGGAAATATCTATGTTATTCTAAGGCGTGGAGTCCAAGCTTAAGTTCACCAAAAAAAATGACTATGGCTTTATTGTACCAAACTACAATTTCAGATGTGCTTTCCATGAAGCTCTCTAGGTTGAACCCCACAGCAATGCTATTGTTTTGTCTACTTTAACTTCTGTCCACCATTCTTTTGCCTATATGATATAAAGCACGTTTTCTTTATTTATTAGTAGTTAATACTTTTAAAGATAAACAACCTGGATTGAATAGGAATGGAGCATGTGTTTCAGCTTTTTTTTTAAAGCTAGCAAGTTCCAGTTTGGGCTACTATAGTATTATGAGGAAAATTAAAATTGAAAGAAAACAAATTAACTTACAATCCTGAAAAGGAATTTAAGAAAACCTTCATTAATGAGATACCTGTTTTCATTACCATCTTCTAGACTCTGATTTTATAACAAATCAGTTCATGTTTTAGATTAATCAGTCTTATTTATATAAACAGTAAAACTCTTGGAAACTTTGAATTGGTTCAATTTTATGACATGGTTCTGGGAAATGGTATGTTGAGAATAAAGACACTCTGATCTAAGGTGAAAACATTCACATCTCACAGATTTGTTAATAGGGAGTAGAAAACATGATTGTACACTGTTGAAATGCCTTATTAGCATTTATATTATCAGCATGACAGATGCAAAGATCTTTATGCTACACTTGTCTTATAACAGAATCTAGACAATATCACTGAATTAAGAAAATTAGAACTTTTTAACATTCAATTTCAAATGTGTAAATTAATTCCACCAATGAATTCCCATTTCCCTGGCTTCATATTACTTCCAAATCGCTTGTATCTTTAGAGAAGTTGAGACTTTATGAAGTCTTATTTGTTTAGGAGGAGGTTTGGTTAATGTGTAATTCACAATTTAAATGGACAGAAAATTGATTTTTAGAAAGCTAAGTTAAATTATCATAATTCCCTAAGATATTAAACATAGTAATAACTATAAAAATGACATTTCTTCAGCGGGTAACATTAAAACCATGACAAATGGGTGAAGATTAATTACTGTCATTTCAGAGCATATAGGAGAAAACATGCTTTTTACATCACTGCTCAAAAATTATTCCCCACTCCTGGCCTTTCCACATTCTGTGTAGTGTAATGAGGCTTGCTTTTCTTTTTTAACATGCAAGCAAAGAACCATGAATTAGGTAATGTTCAGTCAGAGCCTGCTAGCACAAGGAAAGTTGATATTTGCTTGTTTCACAAGTGAAATTAGAAGAGTTGGTGCCATTCCTTCAGTTTCCTGCTATCGTGCTGACACTGTTTGGGGTAAAATGGAGGAGAAGGGCAAAGAATGTGCAACGGAAAGCACCCTTATTTATGAAAAAGGGTTCAAGTGCAATTTAGTACATATAGATGAAAACACTACTGATCTATGGTGAAATTTTTTCTGTTAACTGAATTCCTAAATTCGAAAACTAACGGAAAAAAGTCAACTAGAAACCATGAAGGATATATACATTGAAAAATGAAGCAATTACAACTCCCCAAATTTATTGCCAGCTTTGGATATGTGGGGTGGAATTTCTGGGAACTGCAATGTCAACATCTCTGGAGGACTCTCAGATTAAGAAAAGCTGAATTAGACCTAATAATGGCTTACACCTGCATTATTTCTCTTGTAATATTAATGTATTTTAAGTGGAGATTTTACAGAAAATCAGTTCCTTTGGACTTAAAATTATTCTCCTCACTGCTTCCACATTTCAATCCATAACCAAGATCCAAAAATGTGGACAAGAGAATCCTTGCAAAGGAGTATGAAAGTACATGGCTTAAGCACCTTGCCAGCTGTCTTGAAAGTGCAGCACCTGTTTTTTCATCACAGTTTATCTGACAATGGGGATATAACATGAATCTCCTAATTTTCATCTATATTTTTAAATGTATACCTGCAAATGGCAAAGGAATAGATATACTTCCTCGGTGTCTTACAGATACATTGGATCTTATGCTAGGAAAGTATGAGAGTTGAGCTTCAGTATGTCTGAATTATATAAGGGTGAGGAAGACAATCTAAGAGCTAATTCTCATAGTTCTCCTAACAAGCAAACAATCATAGCTCACCTTCATTAATGTGTCTTAATTTTAGAAAGGCAATATTTGTATGAATTGGCCTTTTGACAAACATTGCCAACAGGAATTTCTGCAATGAGAAACTGTTTTCCCCGCACGGTTAGTAAGGTAACAGAAATCATTGTAGCTGATTTATGAGGTTGGTCATTGAAATTTCCAGGATAGGATATACCAATGTATAGGAAAACCTGTGAACATCAATTTGACATTTAAGGCCCTAAAGCTTCAAATTAATGAAAGAGGCTTAGATAACCCTGAATAAAATTATAAGTAAACAAAAGATATAACGCCTACATGGTACAAAGTTAAACATATCTATCTGCCAAATTTGAATTCATACTTTTATATGCATTTGTTTATAAATCCAAAGTAAGAAAACAATGTACAAAGAGATCTAATTTAAGTAACCACTGAAGTGATCCCTATGTGAAAAAATGACGTGGCTGTGACTGCATAGGATTTTATTTTAGCTTTACTTTGCTTTACAGGATCAGAAGAATATGAATATATCTCCCATGGTATCTGCCTGGCAGGGTTGATCTGGCAGGGTTGGTATGCTCTGGGTTCCATCAATTAAACAATGTCATCTATTGGTGCTTTGGAAGTGTGACCTTCTCTATAGCAGCGCCTGGCCTCTGGAATTAAGTTACCCCTGAGATTTAAATAGCTGCCACCTTGTTTCAAAGGCTTGGCTATTTGGATTGGCCTTTGGAGAGGATGACTGAAGCCCCTCTTTAAATTTCTGCTCCCTTCTCAATTTATTCTCTTTGCCACTGAAGTTCTTCTGTCTTGTGCTGCTTTTGTGTGTTTTTCTATTCTGTGTTTTTAAATGTTGTACAGTTGTATGGCATCCAGAGCCATTTGGAATTGGGCAGCATATAAATTTAATAAATTATTTTATTACCCAAATGGGTGAGCTCACATCAGAGGTTGTTTCTGGAACATGATTCACAAGGAAGCTGGGAAATAGGGAAAATCTTATATCCCTTTCCCCCCCATTCCTCTGTCCTTTTGGAATGCTCACCCCAATGCTGGGATAATAAGCAAGAAGAGAGTTGATGTTTATATTTCTATTCATTGGAAAAGGAGAGATTACTAAAGAGTAGGCAGGAACTGGGGAACACACATTGAAAGCAATGCACTAGTGGCTGTTTGCCTTGCTTCTCCTGGTTGAGAGCCAGAATTCTCTTAGGGCCAAACAAAAGGCTTTAGTGAGAAATTAATTAAGATCTTATCATTTTCAAGCAGCAGCTACCAGCTGGCTGGAAGGTTCTAATCAACTAATTAAAGTCACAGAGCTGAGCTTGTTAAGTTGTGTTAGTACTTTTTAGGGACTTGGACAAAAGCAGCTCAGGAAGAGCTAAGATCTCTGCCCTGTGAGGGGACAAAAGGAAAAAAATGGGTCAGACATACAACAATATGATACCATGCTGACTGCCTGTAATGGCAAACATGACTGAGAGTGAAGGAGGAGATGATGCAAAGGTTGTAAATGCAGGCACTGATCATAGATTTTCATCACATTTATAACTGAACAATCGTTCTTTGAAGCAGTCACTAAATGAGCACTACCAATATATGGCAGATTGCAAAAGTCTGGATTCCCTTTTAATTAGCACTTTCTAACATCTTTATAAAAAATAACGATTTTGGAATGATCCTTACAATCCCCAGTCTTTAATATAATTGAAAATCTGTAGGAAATCTCAAAAGTGCAATAAATGTAAGATAATTCAAGAATATTTCTGAGCTAAAAGATTTTTGCAAAAAAGAGTGGGGAAAATTAGAAAAGTGAAAATAGATTCTAAGCTGGTTATCAGAAATATGTGAAACTATTATTTTTGTCATGGAATTACATTATTAGATACAAGATTTGAGACTAATATTAACTGCAGGTAAATTTAAATGAGATCAAATTTAGCTCTTTCTAACCGAGCCACTCTTCTTTAGATTGCATTTTTTTGTGTATCACTAAAATGCCAGCTGGCCTGTAAAAGTTTCATACCTTGATTTACTTTATGAAATTAGAAAATAACCATTATACATTTTGTTTTAAAAAAAAAAAACTGCAAAAGGAAGGCGTATTTAATTATTACATTCCAATGTATACCTATAAAGCCACCAAATAGATTTTCAAATCCAGATTAAACTGATGTACAGCAGATACAGGTAGTCCTTGCTTAGTAACCACAATTGGGAGTGGCAATTGTATTGCTAAGCCATGTGATCATTAAGAGAACAGACTTATCACCACGAGAAGTTATTATCACCAATCAGAACTTGTGACCTTACGTCTTCAATGACTCTGCTTATTGGAAGCTGGTTGTGAGACATGCAAATGGTGATCATGTGACCATGGGATGGTGTAATAGCTATAAATGCCTGGTGGTTGTGAAGTGCTCAAATGGTGATCACGGTAGTGTGGAGATGCTGCAACAGTCATAACTTATTTTTTCTAAAATCTAACTTTGTCATTGTAACTTCAAACGGTTGCTAAGCAGGGCAGTCATTAAGCAAGGTCTACCTCTAGAGTGATGAATCTGGAAAGTACAGTTCAATATATTGAGACCTTTGATCAGATTACTGTATTTCCCCCAAAATAAGACTGGGACTTATATTAATTTTTGCTCCAAAAGACACATTAGGCTTATTTTCAGGTGATGTCTTATTTTTGGGAAAATGCAGTATTAAATACGTCCATCTGGCTGATGATCTTAACTGTGGCTTATTTTTATGCATGTATTATTATTACAGATGATTTATCCAATGCTTGAGTGGGTAAATTGTTAAGTCAACTTGCTGATAGTATAGGTTTGGAAAAGAACAGAAAGCTATGTTTCTTTCAATGGTAGAAATGATGTAATAAAATTACAACATGATGATTTTGAACAGAGGTAAAAAATAATCTTGCTGTCGTCCATGAATCCATTTAAATTTTTCCTGCCTTCCTGCTTGAACAATGCACACAGCAGAAAGCAATTGGATGACTAGTTTGGGCACAGGAAATTTGTACTCTATGAAGATTAATAACACAGGGACACAACCATTGTCCATGCATCTTTCATTGACCATGGGAGAGCAGCTGCAGGACTAGAATGAGACTGAATCACATTTTCCCAGAGAATACCTCATATGGTTAATAATTCTAGATAAAACTTCCATAGAACTTCTCTGTTGTCAAATGAAGTCTGAACAATGTGCAAAACACTGTTTGTTGTGTAAATTGTCACCCACAATGCATGTTGTGAAATGGCAGTTTCTCAGCTATTGACTTTTTGTTATAGCATAGAATTAATAGCATCATTTAAAAGGGAAGGATTTTTATATAAGTAAATTATTTGTAGTGTGCCATCTGTCACCTTAACTACATTATTTCCTATCCACATACATTATTTTTCAATTGCACACACCCACTTTTTGACACATTTTGTCTGCTCAACTAATACAGCAAATATGAGAAAAAAGGTGCAGCTAAATTATTCCTTCCAGGATTTCAAAAGAGAAAAGATTGGCAGAAAATAAGTTAGAAAAACTCCCCTATTTTTTTACAGAAAATTGGAGCTGGATTTTTACAACCAATTTGTTCCAGATAGTTAAACCTAATACACTGCCTTTGTGTTCCACACATATTTCAGCAGCAAAGTTTTTCAGCAGTTGGCCCTGTGAACCAGGCAATAAGAATGATTAAATAACATTGCTCCAGGTCAAAACTTCCTTGCAGGTCAATATGGAAGCCAGTGAAAATGGGAAAAAAGTCTATCCAAGAAAGTTCTATCTATATTTTAGAAAGGGTATTATAATGGATGTCACAGGACCAATGACTGTTGCCAGCAACAGACTAAGACTTTACCCTCTTAAATTCCTCATACCCTACATTAGACGCAGCAGTGGTTCCCCATTTTGTAAAAATGGTAGTGATATTTTATTGTCCCTTGCAATTAAGTTGTAGATGTATTTGCTCTCCCTGTACAGAACCTGTAAAAGTGACCTGTTCTTGTATCCCTTTGCTCACTTCAGGCAGTTCAGTTGGCCCTAACCCTTTCCTCTTAAAACAGAAGGAGTACAGTGCAAAATCCAGTTAGTGCCAATACCCTCTGAGAAAAGGTAACAGGCATCAATAATGACTAAGTTCATAATACTGGCCACTGAAGATTTGGAATCTTTGACCAGCTTATGCACAAGCCCAGATGAAAGCTGCATCAGATTCAAGTGAAAAAGAAACTGCTACTAAATTCAATACCACAGCTTCTAGGATGAAGGGACATATAAATAAACATGATCTAGCAGTGAGTGAAAAGGGTCCCTTAGCTGTGTTCCATCTGCCTCAAAGGCACAGTCCAGCTCAAATGCTTCTGCAAAGGAAGTCTCTGGACTCCATGATCAAGTGACTAGTCTCTGACTTTTTCACTGAATAGAAGGCAAGATCCTATTTCATCATTGTGAAGGATGACAGTAGGAGGGACAAGTCTCTGCATATTCTTTAGACTTCACTTTCTGTTGAAGGTTTGCGCTGGTGCTTCCAGCCTGTGTCTGGAAGGGAGCCATGACATTCAGGAGTAGTGGCTGCAGTAATGCTGCTGCATTCTGACTGCTCCTCTTTCAACAGTTGCTCAGTTTCAGTGTCACCCAGTGAGCCAGAGCTGGCTTGGATAGAGACTGTGTCAGTCTTCATGCATACATGGTCACGGAGAATACACCCCCGAGAGCTTCTTATCTGTTTAAGATCATCCCATTCAGATTCATCATTGGACAAGAGGCATATTCCTTCAACAATCTTGATCTTGTCCTTGGTGTAACTATGATCAGGACCATTCTGCAAAGAAACAAAACCAAGACATGTACCGTCAAGTGTAAAAAACAGTACTTTTGAAAGACTAATTCTTGTCATATGAATAAAGAAACAATGGACTATATCCTCCAACTAATGGGGCAGATCATCTTCCCAACATCATTTAGATGGAATCATAGTTCCATCTAAATCAGACTTTCCCAGCTTAGTGTCCTCCAAATGGGAAGACTAGTGAAGTCCAAAAATACAGTTTCAAGTATTGAAGACTGATCTGAATTAATTCAGACTTAACAGTGTGCTACAAACAAAACAAAGCACCTATAGGGGAAATAGTTGATCTAAAGATGGGATTCTAAACAAGAACGATGGCAATATTGGTAGTAGCCTCCCAGGTGCTATTCAAAATAACAGTCATCATCTATAAAGCCCACTATAACAAGACCAGGCTATTTGCAGGACCACCTTTCTCCCATTGTTTCTGCTCACCCTGCCAGAACTAGTAGAGACATTTTTCTGGGTCCCCTCTGTTAAACACTGTAATCTTGTAGGACCAAGTGTGCCTTCTCAGTGGCAGCACATGTCCTATAGAACAGCATTCCCCCCCCCCCACTTCCCAGAGATTTGGAGACTGTTAGCCTTCTGCAAGACTTGACTGTTTCCAGACATTTGGGATAGACAGTGGATGCTGTGGTGGTGGTGGTGATGAGTGGAGTCAAGTTTCCTTGGGTAGGTTTTGTGTATGTGTGTATACATTTTAATCCTGTAAGCCATACTTAGAATCACTTGGGTGAGATAAGTTAAATCAGCATGTCCAATCTGTAGCCCGTGGGCCACATGCATCCATGGGCAGTTAATAATGTAGCCCCAAAAGATATAATAAAATTTATTTAAAAAAACAGAGGAAGCTTGTTTTTTATATATGTTAACTGTATTATATATTTTATTATGCTGCCCAAGACAATTTCTTTTGACCCAAATGCAGCCCAGGCAAGGCAAAAGCTTGGACACACCTGAATTAAATAAAGAAACAAACATAGTATCTTAGATTAATAAGAGATAGAAAAACTTTCCTTTGACTCTTAAAATGTAATGTTGGGGAAACAAAGACTGAAACAAGCACACAAAAGCAAAATGTTACATAGATATGCAAAATATTATTCTTAATTGACAAATCAAAAATGAAGCACATTTGTACAAGCATATTAGAGCTAAATATCAAATAGTAATGCATTGTTGTGAATTTCTCTAATTTGTAACATTCTGCAAGTATGAAATACTATCTAGCCTACCAGCTGTTCTAAGAAATGCTTTTGCAAATTCAGTTTACTAAGTGTTAGTAAAAGAAGCAATAAATATGTTGAGGGACAGCGGTAAAAAATAATTTAAAAATTACAAGAAACTACTAGAAACAGTGATATAGCAAAATCCTGTTCATATAAGCAATTATTAAACTAGGAGTCAATACCAAAATAACAAGTGCAAAAGTTTCCTATTACATAAGTCTTACGGAGCCCCCTCTCTGTCCATAGTTCTGAGATTTGCATCTAATCTTCAGCAGAAGTATAGTAAAAATTGGAAATATTGCTAATATCTGATCTATGCAATATTAAAAATGTCCAAGGGAAAATCTTTATTGAAAATGAGAAATGCTACATCAAGCAATCCATAATTAATTTTAGTATAGAAACAAGCAACACAAGGCAATATATCTCCAAAATGAGCAAGATGCATAGGAGAGAAATACTGACTATTCAAGGTAAAGTAGCTTTTCTCTGAATCATGCTTCACCTCTTTCAAAAGGCCTCTTTTGGCTGATCACTTTTTGATTATGTGCTAGGTGCAAATGTAAAAACAATTCAGGCAGTATAAAATGACACAACTAGGCCAATTATAAAAGAACTTCCAGTACTTCTTTCTAGGGGCAGAAACAACAACAGTAGTTCAACAACACAGAACAGAAAGTTAGCCAAGCAGAAGTTATATCAGAGAGCATTCGGCTACTTAACATCACAGAATTAAGAAAGGTGGAAGTTGCACAAACACACAGCTATGATACCTGATATGAGGCTGTGGATGGTCAAAAGAGGAATGGTGAAAGGCTATCAGAGGGGTGAGAAAGATGCTGAGGAAGAAACAGAGGAGACTTCAGCACCAAAAGAAATCATGGCTAAACTATTAAAACTGTTGGTTTCCTTCAACCAGAATATTAATGGGTAGCAAAGCACCAATAGACACAGGGCACTAAAAATAACAGATCAGCTGGACCAACTCAAAGTAGAAAACACACATTATAAGTTCCTAAGATTAAAGCAGCAAAGACCATAATTAATATAACTAAAACAAGCCATTCCAATTTTCTGACTCCCAAAGGCAGCTAAAAATTCCAATAATGCAAATAAATTATGCTATTGCAATTCTGTTTTTAAATGCCACACAGGTTAATATCAAGTTCTGAAAACAGCTCTTACCTCCTTCTTAAAGCAGAGCTGATTATATATGGTTGGTTTGGGAATTGTTTCAATCTTCACTTCTTGGGTAGATGTCCGATAAGAGGGATTACTGTAGGTCAGATTACTTAGATTAGGATCTGTGAATTTGGACTTCTTATGCCTGCAAGAACAGTGTGATAAAGAGAAAACATTTGTCTATTAGATTCCAGTCCACGCATTTACTGCTACCATAGAGATCTCCCTTCATTTTATTCCCAATTCAACAACCCAGTGAGACAGTTCAGAGTGAAAAGGTGTGACTAGTCCAAGGCCACTCTGCATCTCAATGCATGAAGGTCCTAATTCCCTTACAAACATCAGCTTTTACAAAGTTCTACAGCCAAACCCTCATCCCTATACCAAAAGCCCCTAGTGAAATTCATGACAAAATAATATGTACTTCATCAGATCTCTTTGGTTAATTGTATAGTCATTAGTGCATCTGTTTAAGCAGACAAAGTGTATTTTATTTCATCCTGGCAAAGTAATAAAAATACCATTCACAAACAAGATAAATATCCATTCAAAAATGAAAGGTTTAAACCAAAGCATGTTTAATATTCCATTATATACTGTATCTACTGAAAATTATCAGGCAACATACATAGATATAGAATACATATATAATAGAAGTCTAATTCTTTTTATGGGAGAAAAATGAAAATGAAATTCTGTTACCATTTATCCTACCTATCTTGAATTTTACAGAAGTATACGAAGAGGAAGGTTTCCTTACAAATTAAGTTTTGTAAATAAACAAGCAAGCATCTGACCTTTATTGTTTAGCATTATTTTGCTTCTAAACTCCAGTTATCCTGTAAGAATACTACACTGTCACATCTATTAGCCTTGCAAGCGAAAATGATAAAGTTTCCTAAAATTTACAGAGGTCAAAGAAAGCCTGGCATGTGCTTAAAGTATTCTGACTGATACATTAATTCAGAAAGACTGAAGGAAGGAAGATATAGAATTACCTGTATATAATCACAGCACCAATCAGCAGCAGAATACTCAGTATACTGAGAAGACCTCCAGTGATGTAACTGACATGTAGCCCTTCTCCTGAAAGAAGATAAAGAGTCAGATTAAGGATGATGCTGTGTTTCTAGAACTATATATTCGAGTTAGTAAAAGTCTGTGTGTCCTAGATGATTAAGTATTTATTTACATTTTATTACCTATTAGATTATGATGAACAAAACCAGATTAATACATGTATGGTATCTGAAATCACTAAGTGATCTGAAGTGGTTCCATTCAACATTAGCATTTTAAGGCCCATTTTAAGACTTATTGAGCAATCCTCTGAAAAGCTGCAAAATAAAATAGCTGATATGCAAGATAGTAAACTAAACATATTACTCTTTTGTCAGCCTACATAATTTCATTCAGTGGCTCCAATTTAATTACAGCAATAGTTGGTCATTTTTATTGTTCCTGAATCCCTGAGAGGAAGTGAAGATAAAAATGAAAAACTCACCTGCAGTTGCCAATATTGCTTCATTTGCTCGGTTGCACAAACCTTGACCAACTTTCTTGTCAGAGCAGCTATATAACAACAAGAAAAAGAAGGTGCTGAACTTCAAATTAAGCCATCTTCCTATTAGAAACTGTGTTAAATTGAACCAAGATAAAGCAGAAAAACCAGGTAAAAAGAATAATCATTATAGCCCAAAGTTATTGCTGCTGTTATTATTAGAAAAAAACCTTTATTTAATATATCACAATGAATTTCTGTCACTATAGGGGAAGAATGCAGTGCTATATCTAAATGGTTTGAATTAATGGATTAATTAATCCAAGCTGTGATCCCTTATTATCTGATAAAGAAGTAAAAAACTTTATGATACCAAAATCTGGCAGTTTAAAAAAAAATAAGATGGAAAAAGGAGTCTTTTAAAAAGAGAATGGAGCCCACATTTCCCCCTCAATCACTTTCAGTCAACAGAACCACTCACTTTCCTTCTATTTCCACAGAAATATGTGGCTTGGTTGTTGGAGTTTTAAATCTGTCAGTAGAAGTCTGGCTCCTTTTGCTTGTATGAGTTGTCTCAGGATTTGGAGGCCCCATGCTAGGCGCTAGATAGAAGAGAAAGGAAAATAACCTGAGATAAAGGAGACAATTAAGCCTGACATTTTATTTATGGAAATATACATTTTTCATTATTCAAGGTAGAGCAGAAATGTATAAGATTCTTCTTGTAATGAAATATGTAGTGTTGTACTGTGAGAACAAAAATGAGAAGAAGCACTTCTAGTTTGCCAGGCATCTACAAGTTGTGTAAATGCAATGGAAAACATATATTAGAAGGGTCTTATTTTTATATACCAATGAATGATTCCTAAATTACATTTAATATTATATGTAGGAAAATGTTTGAAGTCACTACACACAAATTACCAGTGAAATATAACAAAGTGTTCTGAATTGTACTGGATTCTAAGATTAAAGAATTGAAGAATGTATATATGGGACATCTGCAGGATAGAAGAATCATCTCAAGGAAAAAATACTTAACATTTTAAATAAAACAGTGCAAAAAAAGACAAAATCTTACTCTCTTGACCCTAGGCATTTGAATGTTTTTCCAAAGAGGTACTTTGTAGCTGTAGTTTATTTAAGGGAATGAAGCCATTTTTCTGAAGCAGCCTTTAATAAGAGAAAACATGGGCTATGATTCATGCTGGGAAATGTAGTATACAAACAACTTACCATGAGAGCAAGGCCGTCCATCTGGTTCATCGGGACATGCACAAACGAAGTCAGAAGCCCTGGCAAAGCAGAGATGGGTACAGCCTCCATTATTCACTCCACAAATGTTTGTTCCTAGAAGGTACAGACCAGATGTTTCACAAAAGATATAATTTTCTCCTCCCTAGCATAGGATTTCATGTTCCCTTACTCAAAATATATTAGGGTATAGTGAGAAGTATCTCCTCTGACCAAAGTGCCAATATCTTAAATGACTATTCTCTTTACCAATAATTACCTACAGTACATCACAAAATCTGAAACATCATGCTTTCCCCAAGACCCAAAGGAATAAACACTTTAGAGCAAACACAACACAGACATTTTAAACTTTTAAAAAGTCAAATGCTTGTCATGATGATGTACAAAGTGTATGGGGTCTTTATTTTGCTGGCTACCTAAAAATATATGAATGTATCTCTTTGAGCTCTGCACATAGGGTTTTTTGATCTCTACCTGGAATCCTTTTAGCAGAGACCAGGATGCTAAACAAGAGGAATAACTGGCAAGCTTGTGGCCTCATTTTAAATGCAGCAGTTTACTCTAAATCCTATTGAAATGAATAAGAGCAATTTGCTAGTATCGGAGTTAAGGAAGGAAATGAAGTGGAACATAACAGCAATAATACCAGGATTTAGAATGAGGAGTAGGTTTTGCTTTGTTTTGCCAATCATACATGTATGCTGTACCTGAGGTTACTCCTTCAACAAGTTTTGCTCTTTTGGGCTCACCCAGTAGATGGCCGTACTCGGAAAAGGTTCATAAAGCATACCAGTAGTGGTGGTCGGGTGTAATCACTTGCTGCCATCCAGCTGCCATTTTCTTAATGCTTTGGATCAAAATCCTGTACTTTCAACATCTGACGTGTATTTTCCCTTGAATGGGTTGGGGTATACACAACAAGGGAGGTGTAGGTTTCCTCACATACTTCTTGCCTAATTCATTATTTGTACCAGTCTGGGTTTTGTTTAATCGATGTGGGCTAATACGGTACTAACTAACAGCCAGAGCCGAAAGGCAGTTTTATTCCTATATTTTGTATGGTAAAGCCATTATTCCTAGCCTTTGTGTCTGAAAGGAACATAGATAATTTCACAAGTACGATCCTAAATCCAAACAGCTTTCCATAATGATATGCTTTCAACTACTTTCTTCACATGAATCCACACAAAGGCAATAGAGACAATTCAGAATCATTCATCAAGAGGAAAAACGGAAAAGAGTTGCTCTGTATTTTGATTATTACAGCCCCCAAATTATCCAGCCACCTCTCAGGGCCATGCCAGATCAGTTGATGAGAGTTGTAATCCAACCATCTGGATTGCAGAAGACTGGTTTAGAGAATATATTATTCATTAATCTGATAGAATGAATTAATAAATAAACCCAGGTGATTGCATATACCTGTTTGCCTTTGAGGAGAAACCACAATAATATCCATAAGTCCTTCCACGTTGGCTAACACAGTCTCCTTATTACGACCAGAGTATTTGTCCACACGCTGAATAGATTTTGTTTGCCAGTCTGTCCAATACAGCCACCTATCCTGCTACTCAGAAAAGAAGCAGACACATGATTAAAATACTGTCTAATAAGCACAGAGGAATAAAATGGAAGTATGTAAACTTAAAACTTGTTCTTTTCTATATTTTTTCAACATATTACCATATTTATTTTGCAAGTAATACTTTTTAAGTAATTACATTAACATAAATTATTTTATTTATTCTAATTTTTTGAAGTCTCTTCTGAAATTACTTTTGGTTAATTAAATTAAAAGAAAAAGTTTTAATTAATTTTTAACATTGCTTGTCTCTTTTTAAATTTTATGTACAGTTATGTTTTTAATATTGTATTGTACACTGTCCAGAGTCCTTCTGTGAGGGAAATGGACAGTTTAAAAAAAAAAAGATAAATAATTAAATAACATAAATAAATAACCACTGGGAGGCATTGAAATAAAATGTTAAGCCTTGCAAGAATTTTCATATTTTGCTAATATTTTAGTAATAGGCATATCTAAATATTATAAAGATTTATATACTACTGGATCCCCTAAAGCTATAGAAATGGCCTTCTGAGGTTTTGGAAGAGTATGAAAAATCAGATGTGATTTACGAAAATTAATTGATAATCCTGAAACCTGTTCAAATTCATCAAAATTGTATCATCCACAAATATCTCCCACTTTCATCCCACAAATCTGATTATTGTATCTGAGTGCTATTGCCAATGCTTCTAAGGGCTAGCTTAAATAATAAAAGTGATAAAGGACAACCCTGCTTAGTATCTCTTAAAATTATAATAGGATCTGAATTATAGTTATTCAGTCTTATCTGAACTTTAGTTGATCTATCAATGTGTTTAATCATCCTACAAAAACTGGTCCCAAATTTAAATTTCTTTAATATTTGTTTTAAAAATTGGATTTTCAGAGAATCAAAAGCCTTACATATAGCTAAGGAATCAATATGATTCCTTAACTCTTCTATCATGAAAAAACTTGTTTCCAACTATCTGCACATTAGCTGAACTGTACTACATTACTTCTCTTTAAATGATTATAGCATCACTTAATAATATACAGGAAAAAGAAAAAAGAGCCCTGTACAAGCTTTGTCCACTGTGCACAAAGTAAACAAACTATTTGCAAAGAAGTTAAGTTTCATTTCAGCATTCACCACCACCACCATCTTCCTCTGTACCTGTGTCAAGGCAAAGGGATGTGACACTTGACTGATCAACACTTGGCGTAATTTCCCATTAAGATCAGCACTTTCTATGCGGTCTAGATGAGCATCTACCCAATAAATCCTAGAATGACAGAAAGAATGGAAATTAAACTAATATCCACTTCTGAAACTTTCTATCAGTTACAATTTCTGATTCTAAGGCAGTGTTTCTCAACCTTGACAATTTTAAGGCATGTGGACTTCAACTCCCAGAATTCCACAGCCAGCGATGCTGACTGTGGAATTCTGGGAGTTGAAGTCCACATGCCTTAAAATTGTCAAAGTTGAGAAACACTGTTCTAAGGCAGCTTGGGGACATGCCTTAAAAAAAAGAAAGTTTTTTTTTTTTAAAAAAAAACCCACAACAGTTCTACAGTCAATAATTTTGAAATGCAAGGTTATACTGACCTTCTGATGTCATAATCTAAAGTCAGTCCATTGGGCCAGCCTAAATCAGTATTGATCAATATCTTTCGTTCAGAACCATCCAGGTTCGCACGCTCAATTTTAGCAATATGTCCCCAGTCAGTCCAGAAGAGGTATCTAGAAGAAAATAAACCAAATGCAAAATGATACATGTCAGTCAGCTCTAAAAGATGGCCTATCCACCAAAGGAATCCCTTTGCCTCATGTCTGAAGGCAGACCTCTACTTTAGCCAATCCTCTTCCTTTTTCTTTCCTACTCATTCTATCCCTTCTTCAACCTGGCATCCTCCAAGTGTAACAGCTCCTTCCTGATAAGATAACTAGTAAGAATAGTAGTCCAAAATATATTAAAGGCACTAAGTTAAGAAAGCTGCTCTACACTTATCTTTTCGGCTGGTGTACCAACAGAAGAGAATATTTGTAGCTAATGCAATAAATCGTTTAAATAAATATTTTTGCTAATATTGACTTACCCTTTTCTAGGAAAGACAGCAATTGCCCGTGGTTCATCCAGACTGTTATTTATCAGCACTTTCCTGCAGCTTCCATCCAATCTTGCAACTTCAATTGTGTTGCGGCCAGTGTCTGTCCAATATAGATTTCGAGCTACCCAGTCCACAGACAAACCATCAGTTCTCTTTAGTCCTTGGCCAATAATAGTTTCCATATTACTTCCATCTAGATCTGCTCGCCTGGAAGAAGATATCATGGAGAATAAAGAGAACATTCTATCTAAACATTTTTCCATAGGGCAGATCCATTTGACAAAGAACAGTTTGGGGGGGGGGAAGAAATGATTATGTAGCTAATTAACATACAATGAGGAATTTGGAAGATACCTACCTGATGACATCTAATATGACATCTGTGTAGTAAACCTTGCCATCTACACTGTCATAGTCCAAGGAGATAACATTGTTCAGCTCTGGAACAGGGACATAAACATCAATGTGATCACTAGTATCTAGTGAGATTCTCCTGATGGAGCCCCGGCTAGAGAAGAGCAGGTAGGTTTCAGGAGAAGGGTCGCAAGATCTTTCATCAATCTTCAGTTGAATTCCAGTAGGGCAGGCACATGAGAAGCCTTCAGGGTTTGGGAGGCAGAGATGCGAGCAACCTCCATTTTTCTTGCCACATTTGTTAGTACCTTAGGAGAAATGGATCGTCTCTGAGATTACCATCAAAAAGGCTAATATTAATTCAGTATAGCTTTCCTCAGGCTGATGCCCTCCAGATATCATTGAGCTTTTGATTTCATAACTCCCAGGCAACAAGGCCTAAGGAATTGTGCTTGAACAATTAGAAGAAACATTGGAGTAAAATCTACAGAAAATGTCTGGAGGCCAGATAAGCATGGTGTTTGCTTTTTTAAAAAAAATGCATGAGTGATTTTCAAGAATTAAAGCATGCCCACGGACATTCAGGAAGTCTGGCTTAAAGAAAACAGGAAAACTTACCAAGAGGCCTCCCTTTGTCAATGGCCTGGATGTCCATTAATCCAGGGAGATTTGTTCTCACCAAGATGACATTAGCACCAGTGTTCTTATCAGCTCGGTGAATGCTTCTAGTTTGCCAATCAGTCCAATAGATGTAAGAATCTAATAAAGTCAGGCCATAAGGGTGCTGCACAGGGGAGAGCAGGGTGTGGCGGTTTACACCATTTAGATCTGAAGCCTCAATACGCTGAAAAGAACAGAATGTTGGAATGTTAAGGAACTTCTGATTATGGGATACAGAGGCCTCCAATAGGTAGCAACTCTTCCTATGATCCAAGAAGCCAAGAATAGTATAATCTAGGGGTGTCAAACTGCCGGCCTGTGAGCTGGTTGCATCATGCGGAGGTCACGCCCACCTCAACTCCGGCAATGTGAAAAAGTCACTATACATTGCAACACATCACATGACGTGGCGAGTTTGACACCAGTGGTATAATCCATTGTAGATGCTTATTTCTAGCATTCTGCTAAATTGTATTTTATTTTCATCCAAGGATTCCATAAGATAAAAAAGAAAAGAGAGGCCTAGCCCAGAAGAAATGAAGTCAGCAAAGGATATCTTGACTCCCCAACTATGCTATGCCTTAAATCAACCATTGATTGGCTGGATTTACACAACACTCTGGAGTAGGCTAAAATAGTAGTCTACCCAGTTGTCAGCATGTTGTGTTGATCAGTCCATCTTATGTGTTTGAATCAGCAGGTTACGAGAACAGGAAATGTATTCTGGGTTTAGGATTTACAGTAATTTATTGTATGAATCTAGCTATCAATAATGCTGTCATGTGGTTGCCTCTTCAGGGCATACCTTTAAAAAAATCAACAGTGAATTTCAAGACATCCATGCCTTGTAAGACAGACATGTGAGTGAACTCATCATTCCAGGTTTTTTTTTTTCTCAGAGACAAAGTATGTTTTTAAAAGATTGAACCAAGTTGCAGGAAGATTCCAACCCACCATATCTAGATTCTAAAATTTGATTCTCTTTGCTTCTTATCTGTAACTCATCAGATAGCAATACAGGTAATTCTCAATTTACAACCATTCATTTAATGATAGTCCAGAATTATGATAGCCTCAGAAAGGATGCTTTAAACATGAGAGCTTCCGGTATGACGTTGTAGTGATACGGACACAGGAAGGCAGAGCTCTGCTTTCTGCGCTTGATTTCGCCCTGCTGGGGGGCCCAAAAGGGCCTAAAGTTGCCCCGAAGAGGCTATGAAGAAGGAGGGGTGCCTCGTTGATCATGGAGAGATGGTGATCTTTCCATTCGATCTGAGGAAAGCCCTCCAAACTGGCAGGGGATAGAATGGCTGCATCCCTGTGGCCAGCCTCCAGCTAGACAGCCGAAGAAACAAAGCACTAACTAGCAGATTATAAACAGTGTGTGAAGAACTGGGTAAGAATATTGATTCTTTCTCTACTATTTTTTAACTGAATTTCCTGGAAAAGGCTCCCAAGAAGCTAAAAACCTCCAAACGTGGGGACTGTAGCCCCACCCTTCAAGAGAAACGGAAGAGGTGTTTTAATTTTTTTATGGGGGACAGAAATATATAATACTTAAGTGGAAACAATATAAAGCTACAACTTTGACAAATTTGAGAAATGAAATAACTGTTAAGATTTTCTCTTTGAAAAATATTGGGGTGAAATATAAGAAATCAACCTTCTGTTCTGAGAGTGGAAAATGGATATAGAATGACATCTATTGATAGATTAGAGAATAGCACTACAATTGAAAGGACTGATGCTGACCTGGTAAGAAGCTTAGAAACAGATAATAACCTAGCTTCTGGGCTGCTTGGTGACTCCTAGCTCAACAGACAACACCTGGCAACAGAACAAAATATTTTGGCATACTTATCACCCTGATAAGGACTTCATGGACTATAAATATCTACTGAGCTCTGACTTTTAATCTTAAGAGCTACTTGGAGAGAAAGAAAAATTTGACTTTTGGCTATGTTAGGCTGGGAGAGAGCTTTGGATTGTTTTTGGGTTGGTTGAATATTTTGAACACTTTGATGAGGATGTTTATATTTAATTTTGTATGTATTAATAATAGCAAGAAATGTATTTGCATAATGTTGGAAAAATGAAAACAATTTGGGAAAAAAAGGATCAATGAAAAAACAGTGGATTGTGTAGTATTGAACTGATTGATATTGAAGAAATTAATGTTAGATATGTGAACCTAGACAACACATTGTTTACTAAGCACTAAAGATTGTAATTGTTAAAAATTAATAAAATATTTTTTTTAAAAAAAGGAAGGATCCTTTACACACCATAAATTATGACACCCTTGTAATCTGGTTGCTTGGTAACCTGTTCATACATGACTGGTTGCTAAGCATACTGCAGGTATGTGATTGCCATTAGCAATCTTCTCTACCAGCTTCCCCTTTGAATTGGAAAACTTGCAAGCTGCTGCTATCTTACTAGAGAACTCCCTCTTGTCTCTGGAAGCTGACTGAAAGAAGCTGCATCCCAAGGAGAGGTGAACTTCTTTAGCAGGGTGCAGAAACAACTGAAATCCTGAAAATATTGGCTCTGTTTCCTTCCCTGCATGTAGGGAACTGAGCTCATTTGGTTCTGGAGGATTTTTGTTTTTCCATCCTAATGAAGGAGTTCCTTCCATAGGCAGGCAGCTCTTACAACCAGTCCCCAGAGACAAGAGAGCCAAAATCCAAGCAGAGAGTAGATAACCAGTGTGGTGAGGTAAGGAGCACGGGGTACCTCATGTGGTGGGGACACTCTGGGAGACATGGCACGGGTCATGCACAAGTTTCTCTTCACTCAGGGCTGAAAATCCTGCTTGGATTTTGGCAGGGAGGATTTTTAGCTCCTGAAGGGAGCCTCCCAGGTCTCCCCTACCACCTGAAACATCCCGCACTCCTTACCTAGGACTTCATCTACCTAACAATCTGCTCAATGACCTAATGACCACAACTGGATTATGGTCATTGAGCGAAGTAGTCACATGACATCTCACTAAATTACCGCTTCGCTCAACAAAAAAGATTCTGATCTCAACTGTGGTCATAACTCAAGGACTACCTATATACAAATATATTCAAGTAAAACAGAAGTTGAGGCAATGTCAACCAATATGAAGTTTAAGCAATAAAGTTTGATTGATTATAGATGTTTTAGAAACGTAAATCATCCAATGGTGTTAGAATCCCAGAGTGATGAACATCCGTATACGTACAAATTTACTCTTAATCCCTAAGATCTCATATTCATCCTGACATTCCATTGCTTCACTCTGAGGCAATATTTTACACCAAACATTTAAAATTAGAGACTGCCCCTCATGTCATTCTAACCTCAGTATGTGCATCAGCCCAAAATAGTTGTGATCCAGCTTTATCCACAGCCAGACCATTAGGCCATCCCAGGTTGTTGCTAATAAGCACCATGCGGTTAGAGCCATCCATCCCTGCTCGTTCCAGTTTAGCATTTTCACCCCAGTCTGTCCAATACATATACCTAAAAGAAAAGAAGGGGCAAATAAACTATCCATTGAAAAGTCAGCATATTACTTATTGTCATGTTGTCTTCTCCTCTGCAAACTTTCCCTTGAAAACAAGATAATCTATTGCTAGCACTCACCCTGTTTCATGATATAATGCAATTGCCCGTGGGCTGTCCAGATTTTCCCATATTAAAACTTTTCTCATTGTCCCATCCAGGTTAGCCACTTCAATTCTGTTTGTTCCTGTATCAGTCCAATATACTTTGCGGCCAATAGCATCCACAGCTAATCCATCTGTGGTTTGCAACCCTACATAAAAATAAATATATTATTGTTATAGTGTCAGTAACACACACACACACACACACACACACACACACACACACACACACTCCTTTTTCCACAGAACATCCCACTGGATGTTCAAGGCAACCTTTACATTAGAGCTTTAGAAGTTGCATTAGGGAAAATGCAAAAAAGAAAAAAAAAGTTCACCTCATTGAAAAGAATCCATATCTTTGATGTTCAGTATTTATCAAACCATCTATTTATTACCTGTAGTAATGATATCCTCATACTGAGACCCATCCAGTGAAGCTCTGCTGATCTTCCTCAGTGTGCTGTCTGACCAATAAACCTTTCCTGTTGAAAAAAATATAAGTACATTAATATCATTTATTTAAATTAAATCTCCTTGTTAGTCCATAAATATCTAAGATTACTTTGGTGAAAAACAATATTGTAAAGTGTGTCTTCAGGATCTGGTACAATCTATTATTTAATCTATTATTGCTAGAAAAGGAATTTCCAAAAATGGAGAAAAGTAAAGAAGAAAGTGTATATCTCTATATCCCTCTGCCAAGAAAAGCAAAAACAGCAGCAATTTATTTATGAATATATCATATGTATTTAATGAAGACACACACCATCACTATAATATTAATATAAAATAAGTTATTATTCCATACACAAACGCAGACACATATATGAGTGTATATGTATATGTTTGTTGTGTGTGTGTGTGTGTGTGTGTGTGTGTGTGTGTGTATATATATATATATATATATATACATACATACATACATACATACATACATACATACACACATACAGACGGACACATCAAAGCTTTCATCAGTTTTAAGATTTGTTACTTCAATTCTTAGAATACTGCAGCAACATGCTCTGAGGTGAAGGCCACACATCTTAAAAGTTTTCAAGGTTGAAAAATATAACACTTCACCAGGGCAGAACTTATGTGGAATACAATTGCCTTGAAAATTATTTTTGGGGAAAACTGCTTTTAGATATATTGGGACTACAGCTTCCAAAATTTTCAGCCAACATGGCCTATAGGAATTCTGGAGTTGTATTTGAAGGTGTTTGTAGACATATTAATTTGGGAAAGGTTGTTTTAATGAGACTTGGGACATTAAAAAACAGCTTCTTTTATAATGATTTCATGAATATTTGGGGAATGTATTGTTTAATATGAATCACACCATTTATTGGACAGGTTGCTTTTCATTTACTGATAAATTTACTCTGCCCTGAACAATTCCCTACATTTAAAAATGGTTAAATTACATATTGCCAACCTTCTTCAGGATCCACTCCAATGGCGATGGTATTTTTCATAGTGACGTTGACTGAGACAACTACATCAGCAAAATATGGAATATCAAGTGAAACCAGACGAATATCTGATCTTCTTGCAAAGATCAGGAAGGCAGACATTCCTGCAAAGTTGAAAATGGAGTTTAGTGCATAATTACAGGAATTCTTTTTCTCAAATATCCCTTCTTAATGCAACAAAAATTTCAGCTGCCAAAGGTGATCTTGGCAATGAATAAAGCCACCAATTTATCCAAGACCATAAAAGTAGGGCCATAAATGATGAAAGATCGTAATAAATACTGAATGTGGTCATTCAACTATGTAATAATTATTTTTAAGCATATGCTTGAAGAAAAATATTGTTTAGTATAATTTACCAATAGTACCTTACTACATGTAAGCCAAATAAAATACTGTATAGTGTGATAATCAGAATCAGTACAAGTAAGGTCCAGTATCTAAAAAATTATTCATGTCTTCAAATTATGCATATATTAAACCAATACAAGAATTATGCATTTATCATGTTCACCAGATCATATACTACAGGTTTCCAATAAATCCTAGTGACATTCTCATGCGTAAACTGCTGTCTACTTACAGTTTAAATTAATGTTATTAAAATTAGTAAAATGAAATATTGCACAATATTGCAAAGCGGCAAGGATTCCACAAATACAACTACTTTGCTTTACCAAGAAGTCTGTTAATGCATTTATGTCTGATACACCTCTATAATGCATAGGGCTTCCTCCAAATTCTAGCTACTTTAGTAACTGATCAGACACAATTTGTATAGGAACAAATTTTTATGCAGACATTTCATCGTCATCGAAGCTATTGCAACTTTTGCCTGACTACACTGCAACCCGCATTAAATTCTACTGGAAGCAGAAAATGTAAAATACTTCTTGTAATTCGAGTATATAACTTTTCTAGGGTCAGAATGTGGGGTTTAGGAGACATTACTGTCTTCCAGGGACTAACAGAACCTCAGAAGGTAGAGACCCACCCGATAAACATGTTCTGCCATCCGGTTGTAGGTTGATACCAGTAGGGCAAGAACAACTGTAGCCTTTAGGAAGTGGAGCCAAGAGACAAAGATGACTGCATCCACCATTATTAATGTGGCATGGTGTATGTACTGAAAGAGACAATAATGAAACCATTATCAAAAGAAAGCAATTAGGAATAACTGCGGTTTACAATTGTTTACAGTTAGGCATATATATATACTGCTCAAAAAAATAAAGGGAACATAAATAAATAAAGGATCCTATACATTTGTGTTCCCTTTATTTTTTTGAGCAGTATGTATATATGTATCTGAATCTGAAAGGGAGTACTTTCCATAAAAACAAACAGATGCACAAACTGTGGCTTCAGGGTCCCAAATCTTTCAGCAAAATCCCCAGCTCATCAAAAGTCGATACCAATTTATAGTTTTTAATCTAACAAGGGCAGAGTGATAGATAATACTTCCATTAACTGGATTAAATTAATGTAATTACTGTTCTAATGTAGTTAATTGTATAAATAAAATAAAATCTAGCATGGTTCCAGCTGTTTTTACAACTGGTCAGGCCTAATTTTTTTAAAAAAATAATATTACAGGTAGTCCTTGATTTAGGATCATTCACTTAACAACCACTCAAAGTTATTGATGGCACTGAAAAAGAGTAACTTACAACTGCTCCTTACATTTATGGCATCCCCACAGTCATGTGATCATGATTTGGACACGTGGCATCCTTTGAGCATTTACAGCAATTGCCATTTGCAACCTTTCCAACCAGTTTCTGACAAGCAAAATCAATAGGAAAGTTGGCAGGGAAGGTCATACAAGTCGCAGTCACGTGATGTCTCACTTAATGACTGTGGTGATTTGTTTAAAGACTACAGCAAAAAATATTGTAAAATTGGGTGTGGTCACACAATGCCTCATTCATGACCACACCATTTAACAACTAATTTTCCAGTCCCTGTTGTAAATCATAAGTTGAGGACTACCTGTAGAATTAAAAAAGGGGACTCGGTGGGTATCAATGGGTGTCATCGAGTGGTACCTTAAACGTTACGGCATGGTCAGAGTAGAATGAAAAACCTGAAACTTTTTCTATCTGTAGCCCAAAGATGTATAACTTCTTATCTTGATGCAGAAGACTTCCATACCTGCAAGTCTCTGCCGATGAAAGACATGGATGTCCATAAGATTTTCTAGGTTGTCCTGTAGAGTCTCATGATCCAGCCCTGTTCTTTTGTCAGCACTCTGGATGCTTTTTGTCTGCCAGTCTGTCCAGTAGATCCGAGCTCCATAAAGAGTGAGCCCAAATGGGTGAGGCAAATTGCTCCCGATCAATATCTGTCAATCCCAAAAGCAAATCAACCGACTGCCAGAAAAAGAGCAGGTTTTTTTAAAAAAAAAAAAAAAAAAACAGCAATGCACAGTTGTCCAGAAGTGTAGAATCCAATCTGGGTTGATCACCAGGATTGGCGGCTTAGTCTTCTGAGCTTTCAGAGTCGTGTTGAGGCCCATCCTCAGAAAACTTCTCTCTAACACATTCCAGTGAGAGAGACGTTCCCTGAAGATGGGCTCCAGACGGGTCCGAAAGCTTAGAAGACTAAACTCCAGTCCTGGTGACTGACCCAGATTGGATTCTGCAACATTATCCTGGGGCATGTATATTTGCCTTCATTTTTGACAAACTGTAGAGTAAGTTTTCCCAGCCTGATCCCTTTCAAATGCGCTGGACTTTCAGGGACCTGGCTGAGAATTATTATGAGCACCAGGGGAAGTCTAAGGCTGTTTCAACAATGCAGCAACAAGTTTCCATACATTTCACTATCTATCATCTTCGCTCAAAAGTTATTCATTTGTCCCTTTAGAGGAGCAACTGAACTCCTCTGAAGATCAAAACAAGGCATGTTGGCTCAAAGAAAATACATGTATGTTTTCTGTAAACAAACATTGCATATATCCTATTTATCCTTTCCCAGAAATCAGTTCAACTTGGCTATTCAACTTGGTTGCTGGAATTGAGTATGTCTAATCTAATGAAGAGAAGGATGAGGGGTGACATGATAGCAGTGTTTCAATATCTCAGGGGCTGCCACAAAGAAGAGGGAGTCAAGCTATTCTCCAAAGCACCTGAAGGCAGGACAAAAAGCAACAGATGGAAGCTAACCAAAGAGAGAAGCAACCTTGAACTAAGGAGAAATTTTCTGATAGTTAGAACAATTAAACAGTGGATAACCTGCCTCCAGAAGTTCTGACTGCTCCAACATTGGAAGTTTTTAAGAAGAGACTGGACAGCCATTTGTCTGAAATGGTATAGGGTTTTCTGCCTGAGCAGGGGGTTGGACTAGAAGACCTCCAGGGTCCCTTCCAACATGATCACCATCATCATCATCATCATCATCATCATCATCATTATTATGGATCATTGCACAGTCAGCCAGATCATTGCACAGTTCATACTGGATTTAGCGTTTTGTCTACCTATCGAGTCCTTACCCAGGACCTGGGATAGGCAGATGTGGATGTTTGATGGTATTACAGATATCGTCGCAGGATGGAAGCAGTTCCTAGTAAGGTCGCCTTTTGCAATTGACTAATAGCGAATTTGTCAATGCCAATGGTGTTCAAGTGGTGCTCCAGTTGTTTTGGGATTGCACCCAAGGAGCCTATTACTATTGGTACTACCCTTGCTTGCTTTTACCACAGTCTTTCTATTTTTATTTGTAGGTCTTTGTATTTTGTTATCTTCTCCAGTTCTTTCTCGTCTATTCTGCTGTCTCCAGGCACTGCCACGTCCACTATCCAGACTTTTTTGTCTTTCTTATCGACAATTGTTAAGTCTGGGGTGTTATGTTGCAGGTGCTTGTCTGTTTGAATTCTGAAGTCCCAGAGCAGTTTAATTTTATCATTTTCTATGACTTTCTCTATTTTATGATCCCACCAGTTTTTGCTTACAGGCAAATGATATTTTTTGCAGATCTTCCAATGCACCATTGTTGCTACTTTGTCATGCCGCTGCTTATAGTCAGTCTGTGCAATCTTCTTGCAACAGCTTACCAGGTGGTCCACTGTTTCTTCAGCTTCTTTGCATAGGCGGCACTTACTGTCTGTTGCTGTCTTCTCAATTTTGACTTTATATGCATTTGTCCTTAAGGCTTGGTCTTGTGCAGCCAGAATTAGTCCCTCGGTCTCTTTCTTCAATTTTCCTGCTCTTAGCCATTGCCAGGTCTTGTTATTATCTGCTTTCCCAGCTATTTTTTTAATGTATTGGCCATGTAGTGCTTTGTCTTCCCATGCCTCTATTCTGTTCTTCATTTGGTCTTTCTTGTAGGCCAGTTTGGTCTCTCCAGTAGTCAGTAAGCCTTCCTGATATACTAATTTCAGTGCATCTTCATCATTGTTTTTCAGATATTCTTCCAAAGCCATTTTTTCTTCTTCAACCATCTAATGTACTTGTAGCATTCCACATCATCATCATCATCATCATCATTATTATTATTATTTTACCTTCCTATCACTGCCATCCAGGCCAGCATATTCAATTGTCTTCATGCCAGCATCTGCCCAGTATAAGCGCTGAGACTCATAGTCAATAGCCAGTCCATTGGGCCATGTCAGGTTGGAAGAGATGATCACCAGGCGATTAGAGGCATCCATTCCTGCACGCTCAATCTTTGGATTAGCTCCCCAGTCAGTCCAGTACATGAACCTGCATATAAATGCCCAAAATGATATATAACTGCTATTTTTATTAATCTTACAATTTTTGCTTAACTGTATTAGGAAAGAAAGAGAACAGAAAAGAAAACTCTAAACAGGTGAAGGTTTTTCCAGTTTTGCAGTGGCTAATTTAGGTATTTGTTTACATTTGCCAAATATGCCAGCATCTTTTCATATGGTGTTGAGTTATAAATTACAGTAGCTCCAGCCAACTTAGCCAGAAGTAAGGAATGCAGGGAGATGTAATTTTCAACATCTAACACATTAGTCAAAATGGCTATATATTACTCATCTCTTTTCTGTAGATAACTTTAATATGGTCATCCTCCTTATTCTTTGTGACATATTAATGTTTGTTTGTAAGAATTAACTCCATGCCCTTCAAAAGATTTTCACTCGGCCTCATTAGCAATAGCATTTAGACTTATATACTGCTTTATAGCGCTTTACATCACTCTCTAAGCCAGTGGTTCTCAACCTGTGGGTCGGGACCCCATTTGGGGTCGAACGACCATTTCATGAGGGTCGCCAAACAAGGCTGTCCGCCATTTTTCCCCCTTTTCTTTGGCCATGCCCTGGCACCCGGTGATGTATAAGTAGTTGGGGGTCACCACAACATGGGGAACTGTATTATGGGGTCGCGGCATTAGAAAGGTTGAGAACCACTGCTCTAAGCAGTTTACAGAGTCAGCATATTGCCCCTAACAATATGTGTCCTCAGAAGAATGGAAGTCTGAGTCAATCCTGAGCCAGTGAGCTTCAAATTGTTGGCAGTCAGCAGAATTAGCCTGCAATACTGCATTCTAACCACTGCACCACCATGGCTATAGCTATCATGACCAATGACCAGGTTTGGTGCCAAACTCAATACTAGATTGTCTATTCTCAACATTACAGAATACCACATTGTCTATCCCTGAACTAAACTTTTAAGGATATTGGGTATATAGGATATTAGAACTGAGTCTTTTTCAGTTTTGTTGTTTTGTAAACACTGTAAGTATTAGCACATAAGAATCAACTCTACAGACTTATATATATATAATTATATATAAAATTATAACAGCAAACTTTCAGGGATATCACTGTCGTGATAAATCAAAATGCAATGGCATACAGGAATGGCAGCAATGCAGTCTTAAAAGAAAAGTTCTCACCCTCCAACAGGGTCCACCACAATATCTCTCGGTCTGTCTAGGTTTTCCCATATTAGAACAGTCCTCATTGTCCCATCTATGTTAGATACCTCTATGCGGTCTGTTCCTGTATTAGATAGAAAAGGGAAAGAAAAAAATAATCAGCCTTCAAGACCAGGAAAAAAAAATCATAAAAGAAAATAATCCATACTGAAATGTCATTCACACACCATGGCAAAGAAAACCAACAAGATATATCAGCAAAATGACTTTTTCAGCAGCCCTACAAAGTATCCTCAATCTATAATAATCACTCTGACCTCTACAAACATTTTTTTCAATGAATTGGATCAGCATATCTAGTCGCCCTTACTCAGAAACTGTTGGTTCTATTAAAACTAGTAAAACACAGGATCATTTTACCAAAACCTTTCCTTTACTATTACCTCTCAGATTGCAGGTTTGAATGCTCTTCCATGTTCTTTTTATCCATAAGAAAAACAAATTTACTCAGATAGGCTGAAAATTCTGTCTACTGGAATATTTCAATTTGGAAATTCAAAAATGCCATTTGAATTACTCTGTAATTTCAGTACCACAATATAAAGCAACCTTTCACATTTGCATTTGCCGATAATATTGACAAACCAAGTACATCAGTGTAAGATTAAAATGTGTAATGGAAACATTTCAAATAAAGTGGCAGGCAGGGACATTTCTGCAGGCATAAATTGATATGATAAAAATTTTCCTATTTTGGAACACTGCTTTTTTAAATTACAGAAAGTAAGTTCTTACTGCCAGAATTTCTAAGCAACCTGTCCACTGTTTACAGGAAGGTGAAATGTTATTAAAGTCTTCACGATCATAGAGTTTGAAAGAGTCTTATTCATATATCTCAACAGATGCATTGGGAATAATCCTGTTAAGAATTTGGAAGGCAATTTTTCAGTGAGTGGTTAGCTTTTAGAGTAGCAAATGAACTCTTGCATATAGCAGTGGCCTTCAGTACCTGCATCTGTCCAGTACAACTTGTTTGTGACCCAATCAACAGCAAGACCAGCTGGGCTTTCAAGACTGCTCTCCACCACAATCTGGCAACAAAACAAACACAAGAATGAAACTTAGAGGGCAGTATTGCTCTAACCCAAAGCACCGCCTGACCTTTTTGGACTGATGAATGTTCAGTTGTGTGTATGTGTGTGTGGGGCTGTTTAAATAGAGATCTGGAATTCATCACTTTAAGACATATGCATAGAATATATTCCTCAAACAATTGAAAAAGTAGAATTTAAAGATTACATATTTATAATGAGCCAAAACAAAACAAAACTCAAGAAGACAAGCAACTTATGTATTTCCACTGAGCTTCTATGGGATATTACCTCCTGGCCTGTTCCATTCCATTTTGCCCGACTAATGGAATCAGTGCTAACATCTGTCCAGTAGACATAGTCACCCTGCGCATCCCAGTCCAGAGCCACAGCACTGCGCACATCTGCCAAGGGGATGACAACATCAGACAAATCTTCTGTGTCGAAGCTGATACGACGGATGTCCATCCTTCGGGCAAAAAGCAGGAACTTGTCAAGACCTGATCAAAGGTCGAAAGGTCTTCTTTTAATATCTCTAACAGAAAATTATGGTAACAAGCACAAAAAAGTGATCTTGGCACAATGAAGTTCTATTATATCCATGCCTATTACATGGATATAAAAGTCCAATCTATAATGCAGGCCAGACCTGAACTAACACTAGTACTTGAGTCTTATATACCACTTCACAGTGCTTTATAGCACTCTCTAAGCAGTTTACAGAGGCAGCATATTGCCCCCAACAATCTGGGTCCTCATTTTATGACTTCAGAAGGATGGAAGGCTGAGTCAACTTTGAGCCAGTTAGGATCGAAAGAATTGAACTCTTGGCAATGAGAGCAGAGTTAGCCTGCAATACTGTGCTCTAACCACTGCGCCACCATGGCGCTTAACTAACAAATCAGTACAAAGCAAAAGGAAGTGAGCATACAATGTTGGAAGAAGTATTTTAGGAGTAGAAGAAAAAAGGACATGTTTTTAGATAAAACGTCTCTGTATGTAAGGACATGACAAGGTACATTAATTGGCAATTCCATCATTTAAAATCTTGTTCACTCAGACCCAGGACCTATCATAGCCACTGCTAACATTAGCTAGTCAGGCGCCTTTAGAAAGTCCAGAAAGAAAAAATGAATCAAAAACTGTCCTTCCTTAATGCTTCTAGCAATTGACTTTCTTCTGCCTCTGATCCTATAGGTTCAACGTAATTTTTATAGCATTAAGGGTTGACAAACCAATTTTCCATTAATAAACTAACTTTAAAATTGGTCGAGCCACAGTATCGCTGCATCTAGAGGCAAACTATTCTACAAACTATGTATTGTGTGGAAAAGCAATTGGTTGTGAACTGACAAATAATTTCATTGAGTGCTTGCAGTTCTAATATTATCTCTATCCAACTTCTCTCTACCATTACATTCTCAGCATTTTATAAACTTCCACAATCTTCCTAACCCAGCCATTTTTTTAGTTGTTTGAGATACTTATACCATATTTTCCAATTAAGTAAGAAACCATATCAAACTAAAAAATACAAATATTCTTTCCCCAAGGCAAGAACTCCCTCTTTCCTTGCAGAAAAGATACCCCAAATCCTTTATCATGCCACCGGTGCTTTTCTACAGCTGAACTTGTTTGTTTTTTGTTTATAAAATTGGAAAAAAATATTCTATATTTTATATGGGAATTTGGAAAAACAGCAACAACAACAAAAATCCAAATGTCATCCTCCCATCAATTTCATAAACATGTTGTAATGTTGGCAATCTATTGTGAATGCTTTCCCCACAACCCCTTCACGTGAAATTTACTGTTTCATTTAAATGTAATTTTGCTAAAAATTCTTTACTCTCTCTCATGTGTCTGGACACAGACATGTTATGAAGGTACATAAACTCTTTAATTACACTTACTCTGGGCACAAGAATGGCTGCTAGTCCTCCGAAAACCTGTGGGGCATGCACAGGTATAGCCCTTGTTATTTGGTAAACAGAGATGGGTACAGCCACCATTGTTGGTTCCACAGCGATTTCTCCCTGCTCGAATAGCCAAACAGATATTTTATATATATATATGTCTTTGGTTATTCAGGTTTTCTCCTGCGTCAAATTGGAAGTGTCTTGGCGACGTTTCGACGAAGTCTCATTCGTCATCTTCAGGCTGGTACTTTCGGCTTCGTGCTTCTAGAAACACGAAGCCGAAAGCACCAGCCTGAAGATGACGAATGAGACTTCGTCGAAACGTCGCCAAGACACTTCCAATTTGACGCGGGAGAAAACCCGAATAACCAAAGACCGTGAAAACCTCAGAATATATATATATATTCTGACGATGATGGCAGCAATATAGCCATCGAAAGCTAGGTTATTTATTTATTAAACATTTAATTGTTTTACCTCCTGGTGCTCATTTTTATCTTTTATATATATATATATATATATATATATATATATATATATATATATATATATATATATACACACACACACATACACACACACACACACATATATATATATATACATATATATACACACACATACACATATGTATAGATACAACCATATAAACACAAATACCACGACCTATACAGGGAAAAGAACCAGAGATACAACGAAGCCTATTCTATTTTGGAACTGCCTGGTTTATTGTGCATTTGTATCTGACTGGTGTATTTCTAAAACAGAAATATTCACCACGGACATATATAAAGGATATATAGCCATTTACTTTTCATACTTTGAAATTATTTTTGTGGTACAATCAAACAGATTGATAAGCCACTGGTAGCAGTATTAGACCAATGGTAATTTTTATTATATTGTGGACTTTAATACTACCTGGATAATAAAGTATGAATAAAATTAATGAAGATGTTCATTGCAATTCAACATTTTTGACAATAGTAGAGTTGGATTAACTGGGAAATCTTTTTCCAGGTACACAGAAATATGCCAGTAACAATAGTAATATAACAACCACAGTAATGAAAGATTATCACATTATACCATCATTTATGAATTTATGTGGGGAGCTGCTTGGCCATTGCTGCTAAGAAAATATATACAGTAGCTACTCACTTATACCTGGGAATATGTCTTTGGAAACACTGCATGTTTTCTGAATGTAGAGCACTAATCAAACAATTTGATTTGAAGCACTAAGACAATTTTTATATTCTATAAAGTGTTAAGATTCAGGAAGTATTTGCTTGTCAATATCTTTGTGATAGAAAACTTGTCTTTTAGCAATAATATCTTGTTTTTTCTCTCTGTAGTTACCTGCTGGTTGGCGTTGGGGATGCAAAGTATGGATATCCATGGGGAAATGAAGCTTGTTACGGATGATCTCCTGATTTTTTCCAGTAAATTTGTTGGCACTGTTAATACTCTTGGTATGCCAATCTGTCCAGTACAGGCTATCTTCAAATACAGTGATAGCAAATGGATGTGGAAGGCCTGCAGCAAGAATCCAGTAAAAGCAGATGAAAAGGTTATGGCCACTCTTTACTGTTTCTAAAAGTTGCTTCTATCACTGAGCCAAAAAAAAAAAAAAAGGTTTCTTTCTTTCAATAACATCTTCAAAACTAAGCAAACTTGCTGCTGATTTCCTCTGCCTTATTACTCTACATTGCCAGTTCTCCTGGAAATAAAGGCTGACATCACAGTGCAATTTGCTACTCACATTGTATATCCCAGCCATTGAGATTTTATCACTTGTTTATGAATTGGTAGATATCAACCACAAGATATTGTTTTGAGAGTACTGCTGGCATTAGCGTGATGGGAAAATAGATGTGGGACCAAAGTAGACTCCTGGCATCAAATGATTTCAACTCCTGGCATCAATGATCTGATTTGCTACACAGTATTATGTGAGTTACTCAGAGCATCCCTTAGCACTGTTGCTTATCTAGTAAACAACAGTCCCAATTTCGTTATCTCACCTTGACTAATAACAGCCTTCCTGTTCTTTCCATCCAAATCAGCCCTCTCAATAACATGATGCTTGGCATCTACCCAGTACATCCGATGTCCTGCATAGTCAATAGTTAGCCCATTTGGCCAAAAAAGATGAGTGTCAGCAATAATGCGCCGATTGGAACCATCCATGTTAGAGTATTCAATACAAGGAGTGTTTCCCCAATCTGTCCAGTAGATGGTACTATTGGAAAAGAGAAAAAAATGTGAACTGTGGAAGTTCCTTGAAAGGACTACAGATATTGCTCACCAAAACAGCCACTTGTTTAGCAATCTAAAGCTAAAGTCATAATTCAACTGGAGCTGATGAAAGCCAACAAGGATAACAGATTCAGGCTATGATTATACAAGACCACAATCTTTGTCAATCAACTATTAACCAGAATCCTTTGGCTTCAGAAATGAGCACCTATAATGGCTTTCTTCATACTGAGTATCCTCCAGATCAGGGGTTCTCAACCCCCGGCCCATGGACCAGTACCGGGCTGCAGCATGTCAGCAACTGGGCCGCACAAACAAGCAAAGCCCCATCCACGAGATGCAGGTAGCACATAAAACCACGCACCCTCCGGTCCGTGGAAAAATCCCTCTCCATGGAACCGGTCCCTGGTGCCCAAAAGGTTGGGGACCTCTGCTCCAGATGGACAAAGTTAATTTTCCAGAATTTTAGCTGGCATGGTAGTTGCTCAGAATTCTGGGAGTTACTTCACACAACAGGAAGGTAATACTTTTGAAAAAGACTGCTCTATGCTAATATAGCTTACATTACAGAACATAGGAGAATCCTAAGGCTATGAAAATAGTACATTAAGTTCCAGTATATAAAAATATTTACAGGATATTCCAAGTTGAGTGAAGAGAAGATGATTTTTATATTCCTTCTATCTGCATTTCCTCTAAAATGGGGAATGAGATGTCATCAGGCGCAACAAGCAAAAAAAATAATAGTAATAACACGTTTGTAAAAATCACCAACACATTCTTTCCCCTCTAGGGGAAGTTGTCATTAGTTTTCATGGCGTTTTTACATATGGAAGATGTTAATTCATTTGTAGAATGGCAACTCTAGATTTGGCTCCAGGTAGCCAAACTGGAGTCTTCATTCAGCAAATTTCATCTGATAAATTAAGATAACAAGCAGTGAGTATATCTCATACTCACCCTTCCATAGGGTGAAGAGCAATTGCACGAGGTTTTTCTAGATTCTTCCAAAGAAGCACCTTCCGATGCATTCCATCCAGATTTGCCACCTCAATGCGAGATGTCCCAGAGTCTGTCCAGTATAACTTGTCATGGATCCAGTCAATAGCTAGCCCACCTAGGACCCAGAGGAAAGAAGAATGTGACAAGTAATGACTGCTCAAGAATAGTCCTATTGAGCTATGAGTAAGGCTATCCTGTTCTATAAATGGAAAATGGAAACAAGGGTTTTTCCCCCTCTTGTCATATAAATCACTAAAATATTTAGATAACTATTTGAACTATCCATCATGCCCATTATGACCAAGATGTAGACGTAGATATATAGATACACACGTGTGCGTGCACGTACACACACACACACACACACACACGGCTATAAGCCACACTCGATTTTTGAATGGCATGGTGCACTCTGAAATCCAAATGGAGATAGGAAAAATATAGGCCTGATTTACATTTACATTTAATTGAAGATCAAGTTAAATACAATTCATTTTATTTTATCCTAATGTTCCTCTTATTCCCCAGTAAAACGTATGATTGGTGGTTACTATGGGGGAATTCTGAGGGCTGCAACAAGGTCTTAGGGGTTATAATCTACTATGAATACTCAGGTTATGCAGTGTTAGAGTTGCTTCCGTGAAGATAGGCAACATACAAGTTTGACAGATAAATAGAAACAAATAAGTACATTTTGCTACATACAGAGCTGCCAGTTTTATTTCTGAAACTACTGAAGACATTTACCTGGACTTTCTAATCCGGTAGACACCACTTCCTCCACATTGCTACCATTTAGATTGGCCCTCATAATGCGGTCCAGTGTGACATCGGACCAGAATACTAATTCCTTGCTATGGTGGAAATCCAGTGCAATAGCATTTTCGAGGTTATTCAGAAGCAAAGTATATTCGGAGCGGTGGGGTAAGACCTGCCGGATATCAATCCGATTGGCAAAAAGCAGCACAGGTTCTGGCCCTGGAGGATACGTGCAAAGAGATGTGAGAAGACTATTGTATGGACGTCAGTGAGATTACAATGGCAGCACAGAATCAGTTCACAGGTAGAAAACAAACATAGAAATATTGTATGTAGGCACATTCACACTGTTTAGAACAGCGGTTCTCAACCTATGGGTCGCGACCCCATTTGGGGTCGATCGACCATTTTACGGGGGTCGCCAAACAATGCGATCCGCCATTTTCCCCCCTCGGGGCGGTGCCATGCATGCATGTTGCGCATGGGGCTGCCGCCGCGCATGCGCACCGCGCCACACATGCGTGGCACGTTCGTGTGATGGGGGTTGCCGTCACACAAACGTTGAGAAATGCTGGTTTAGAATATAAACTTATATACTGTAGTTCCCTCCACTGTATTTTATTTGATTATTCGGCAGTTCGTTAGACATGTGGGAACCAGCATTCATGAAAAGTGATTGTTCAGTAAGTGGATTCTGTGCAATGGATCGTATCATCCCCAGACTTTTTGTTTTTGCTGTTATCTGAATCTGTAGTTCTTGACCTGGGATTTAGTCTTTTCCTGGGATCTGTACAGTTACATTTTTATCTGTTTCTTTGTGAAATTTATATACTACTGTATATGCCAGCGTACAAGGCGACCCGGCGTATAAGACGACCCCTGTCTTTGTCGCCGAGCTGCATTCCTAGAACGTCATCTTATACGCCGGAAACCACCAGTATTTCCGGCGTATAAGACGACTCGGCGTATAAGACGACTCGGCGTATAAGACGACCCCCGTCTTTGGCGCCGATTTTAGCGCTCGCGGAAGTCGCCTTATACGCCGACATATACGGTACCTTAGTCCAGTTGACCCTAGGAGGTTTACAGTAAAATATAGTCATAATAGTAATAATAACAGAAAACAGTATATCAATAAAATATAATTTATTGCCTCCAGAATCAATCCTGAAAGGCTGCCCATAAAAACAGACTTTTCTAACATTCTGAAAAGCCACATGAATGCCATCCTCACATAACCTGGCTTCTCAAAAATCAGGTAATTCCATATCAGAGATATATAAAAAACTTTGTCATAGAATATTTCTGTTCATGGTCAGATCTCTTTTAGAACAGGGGGCCCCAATCCCTGGTCCGTGGACCAGTACCAGTCCGTGGCATGCCAGCAACCAGTCCGTGCAAACAAACAAAGCCCCATCCGCAGGATGCAGGCAGCACACAAAACCATGCCCCCTCTGGTCCGCAGAAAAATCTCTCTCCACAGAACCGCTCCCCGGTGCCAAAAGGTTGGGGACCTCTGTTCTAGAATATCCAGAAAAAATCCACTGCATGCAGGGGTTAAGAATAGAACGGAACTCAAGGTGGACTGGATTTAGATGTCTTATGGGTGTGAAGCAGACATGTCAAACTCAAGACTTGCGGGCCAGATCCAGGCCATGATGAGAGCACTGCATGAAAAGGCCAGCTGGGCAGTGAGTGAATGTATGGGGGAGGAGAGGGGAGAATATAAGAGGAGGGGGTTTGGAGGGAAGGAGTGAGGGGGGAGAGAAGGCGATAGGGAGGATAAGAGAGGCTTCTGTGGGGCAAGCCTGAGGGAGAGAGTGGGACAGCAACTGGACATTTCAAGGCAACCATAATGCTGATGTGGCCCTCAATGAAATTGAATGACACCCCTGGCCTAAAGGGACTCATGACTGATGATGTGTTTGACCCCTCCCTTGGGCTCAGCCTTGTTATCTCCTACAGAACCAATATTATCACATTTTCTATTTTCAAAAGAGGCGTGCAGCTGAAGAGAGAGGGGGAAAAAAACTCACAAAATACTAGTCTAGCTTTTTCCAGCCTAATCTTGTCCAAAAGTGTTGGACTGTAACTCCCATCAAATCTAGTAAACACATCCCAAAATATATTGTCAATGGAATAATGGAAGCTATATTCCAGTGCAACTAGAGTCATCAGGCTGTGGAAAAATAGACTAGCCTGTTACGCAAGCAGCAGTTGAAAATTAAATACCATGGGGAAACGGAAGCCGTGAACTAAGCCAGCAGTCATCCATCAGGCACATGGAAGGATCCTAAGCCCTGAATGATCCCCAGTGCCTGGAGCTGAAGACTCTTTCTTACCCAGGGCTTTGCAGCTACGCTTGTCTGGGCGAAGTTCATAGCCTTGTTCACACCAGCATTGGAAACCACCCTCACTATTGGTGCATCCCTGACTGCAATAACCTTCCTCTGCACATTCGTTCACATCTGGAATAAGAAAAGAAGAACAAAGAGTGTGAAACTAAAGAGAAAAGGGTAAATAGGTTGGTTTTGGATTCCATACTTCGATGCCTATTTGTTTATTTTAAAGATTTATATATTTATCTGTCTTGTAAACACAACTCTAGGCAACTCACGAAGATAATAAAACCAAAACAGTAAAAGATAATCCAAAATATCAAGCACTTAACTCATCATCTCCAATCTATCAATCTACACAATTTGTAAGCTATATATACTATGAATATAATAAAAAACCTCCCTTTTTATGACCCTGGAATTCTTTTTTTTCTTTGCCCTGTTACCTTCATACTATGAATGTAATAGTAAAACAAGAAAAAAAAAGTCAAACTAGATGATTTTCTACTGTAGGTGCTTTGAAACAAGGCCATTATATGCAGCTACTGGTTTAAATCATAATTTTTTCTGAAATTCAGAAAATTCTCTTTCCATTGGAATCTTCCTCATTTTTCTATTGATTCTACCTTGCTTTTTTTTAAAAAAAATGACTAGGATTGATAAAGGGCCTTTGATTGATAGTGTTAGGATCAGTGGTTAGGAAGCATCAATACAAATCAAAAAGTCCCACATAATTATACAGTTGAACTTGGTTAATGCCACTGCCTGTCAGTGCTTTGGCAAGGACAATTTCATTCCTAGTCATACAGATGTTCTTAAGTGTTCAGGCTGTTTACCATGACATGATCTACCATCCTCCAGAAGCCTGTAACCTGTATGACAGGTACACTGAACCATTCCACGAATCATCTGGCATTTCTGGGCACAGTCCCCATTATTGACATTACAATTTTCCTCTCCAGTTCGAGGACCTGTGAAAAGATCAGAGATAAAAAATGGTTATAACACAGCCATTCTTTTAGAATTTTCCTCTTATCTAGAACAAATTATGAAAACTGTCTAAAGTAGTTGTCAGGAGGGAAAAGAAGACTTTTGTGTTCTTAAGTAAGGGGTAGGCAACCCAAAACACTCAAAGAGTGACTTGGACCCGTTTCCCACTGAAAACAAAAAGGATATATGCAATGTTATCTTCATTTTAGATGTCAAAAAGGTTTCTCTGTCTCTCTCTCCCTCCCTCCCTCTCTTTCTGCCCTTGGTCTGCCAGTCCTCTTCCTCCACTCTCTTTCTTTCTCTCTCTCTCTCTTTTTCTCTTTCCTCTCCCTCTCTCTTTCTCTCTCCCTCTCTCTCTTTCCTCTCCTTTTCTCTCCTCTCCCCCCCTCTCCCTCTCTCTGATCTTCTGCTCACCTGGCAAGCTGGCTTCAAGCTGTTCTCCAACAAGCTCAGGGGTAGGCAACCTCGGCTCTTTTATAACTCATGGACTTCAACTCCCAGAATTCCTGAGTAAGCATAGCTGGGCTAGCTAGCTCTCTCCTGCCCTTCCTGCTTCCTGCAGAGACGTAGCCAAGGCAGGAGCCCCGCCCAGTAAGCTTGTCGGCTGGTGGAACAGGGTGAGGCCACTCTCTTTTTGAGAGAGAGAGAGAGAGAGAGAGAGAGAGAGAAGGGAAGCACAAGTGCCTCTCTCTGTCTCTGTCTCTCTCTCTGCGAATGGCAGAGGAGGCTGGAAGCCAAAGGGGAAGCCTCAAAGAGCCGCATGCGGCTCTGGAGCCGCAGGTTGCCGACCTGTGTCTTAAGTGGAAAAAGAGACCCCATATTTCACACAAACAATTGCTCCTAATTTGTCAAGAAATGAATAATTCCTATATGTTGGCTGAACTTAGCTTGGCTCTCCAATATATACCTGGAATGCCATATTGTTCCACAAATAGTCTACTCTCTTGCATCCACAAAAACAACCCAGAAAAGACAGAATAGGGTTTGATAAGATAATAAGTGAAAATGCCAGAATAGATCATCACCTCAACATTCAGAATATTCTTACAACCTGTCTTCAATTTACAACTTTCACTTAAAGATCCTTTAAATTAATGATGGCCTTAGAAAGGGTGTTTTACAGCATATAAAACACATCCTGGTCATTGTAAAACGTCAACATACACATGCACACACCGCACCAGTCAGGCAATCATTAGCTAGGTGCTGGGCAACCTTTCTGCAAGCTGTTATAACTGATTGCCAAGTGCCCGTGATTACATGACTGCCATTTGCAAACCTCTCTGCCAGTTTCCCCAAAACATCAATGGGGAAATGAGCAAGGAAGGTTGCAAGTTGATGCTACCTGCTGAGAGGACTTCCTCTCATCTCTGGGACTGCCTGAAAGAGCTTCCTGCTGAAGGACTTCAGCGTCAAGCAAACAGGCATGAAGAATTTCAGCTCCATGCTAACAGGCATGGAGCGAAAATCTTTTGACAAAGAGTTCTTTCAGCCAGCCCCCAGAGATGAAGCCAAAATCCAAGCAAGATTTTCAGCCACTGAACAGGCAGCATGGGAAGGTAAGGAGTGCAGAGCACCTCATGGGGGTGGGGGAGGCACTGGGAGACCTCAGGGGCTGAAAATCCTTCTTGGATTTTGGTAGGAAGGATATTCAGCTCCTGAGCAGAGAGACACTCACATGCTGACCGCTCTGCGTCTCCCTGAGTCTTCCTCATCCCCTTGAGACACCTGCATTCCTTATCTGGCATTTCGTACCTAGACCTCCGTCTGCTTAACAACCCACAAGATCACTTAACAACCGCAAATATTGGGAGTGCTGAGATTGAAGATGTTGAGTGACCGAGTTCAATGAATGAGATTCTAGTGGCAATTATGGTTGTAAGTCAAGGACTACCTATACCTTTTTATTCTTGAGGTTGGTACCCAAAGAAGCACAACTAGCTAATTCAGAATGCACTATTCAAGGGGGGGGGAGTGTTCTGTTTGGTGTTGTATATCTCACTCAGATCAGCTAATCTGAGTAGATGTACAACACTGAAAAGAAAACTCCTATTTTTTTTCCTTGAACACTGCACTCTGAATCTTCAGAGAAACTGAGGTCAAGACCCTCTTTTTTTCTATCTTTTATATGATGATGAGAGACATCCCTACAGATACATCTGTTGTTTTTTTTAAAATTAACTTGAAAATCCATTGTGCGCACCCATACTGAAGTTGGTATGAGGTAACTTACGGCAGTTTTGGGCAGGGCTCTCATCGCTGCCATCTCCACAATCATTGGCACCATTACACAGCTTCCGTTGGCCAATGCAGCGCCCATTTCCACATAGAAATTGGTCAGGAGAACATTGTGGGATTCCTGAATGAAGATTTTTTTCAAAATTATAAAACCGATAGCTGAACTTAGCACAGATTCTAGCGCAAAAACAAAAAGGCATTCAATTGTACAATTTTTACCCGAGTCCTCACAGTCTTCTTCATCACTGTAATCAGAGCAGTCACCTTCCCCATCACAGCGCCAAGACAGCCGGACGCAGCGGCCAGATTTACATCGGAACTGGTCAGCTGTGCACATAGAGGTAGCTGAAGAAATAAATATGAACAAGAATTTCAAAATAGTTTCATGACACATTTTTCTATTACCTTACTGCCCCTAAGCTGGACCTGATTTACAAGTCCCAGGTTACTCACTGCAGTTTTTCTCATCTGATTGGTCATCGCAGTCAAAATCACCATCACACCTCCAGCCAGCATTAATGCACAAGCCACTGTTGCACATGAACTCTCCAGAGCGGCAAGGCTGGTGAGAGGCTACGGATATAAACAGTATATGGTAATTTACACTCTAACTCAGCCCAAATTAAGCCCAAGAGATTCAATTTGCTATCTGGAAGGAAAGCTGAAAAGCTTCTGTTTTGAATATTGGAATGACAGAGGCCCATTACAAATTTTCTCTGTTACTCCTAACATGAAGCACATCTGACCTAAAAACAACACAGCAGTGCCATTTGATCTGAGTCGGCAGGCCCTTGCTTCAAGTAACTTACAGCAATCAGATTCATCAGACCAGTCCCCACAGTCATCATCCCCATCACAGTGGTAAATATCCAGGATACAACGCCCATAGGCACACTGGAATTCCTCCAGGCTACATGTTGCTGCGGGAACATCTGATGCTAAAAGGGGAATGAAAAAAATAAAGGTTAACAGGAGATTCCCTAAACTGTTCTGTGATTCTGGTGATGCACAAAATAGAAATCAATAGCAATTAGACTTACATACTGCTTTATAGTGCTTTACAGCCATCTCTAAGCATTTTACAGAGTCGGCATATTGCCCCCAACAATCTGGGTCCTCCTTTGACTGACCTCGGAAGGATGGAAGGCTGAATCAACCTTGAGCTGGTGAGAATCGAATTCCTGGCAGTGGGCAGAGTCAGCCTGCAATACTGCATTCTAACCACTGTGCCACCATGGCTCCTAGCCAAGCAAATAGAGTGGCAAGCATCATGCAAAAACTTTCACTACACTGCAAGTTATCAAACACTAGCAGTAATTAGCCCTCTGCCCCCCAAAAAGCCTATTTTGAACAGAATATTTGTTGCTTCATAAAAATCCACAAAAAGATCCACAGTAAGATCTTCCACCATTCTTTAAGATTATTCCATGTCACAGCCTAGGAAATATAAATTAGGAAACTGTCACATATTCAAGCTACTTATATTGAATAGCATAGATCTTATATCATAAGCTTACCTATCAAGATGATATCATGCATAGAATTAGGACACTGAAAGCTGATGGAGACATAGACAAGGTTCTCTCTGTACACTGAAGTGCAAGAGGGATTATGCAATTGAAAAGCAGCATTTATGAATATGAAACACACTTTATGAATGTGGACAATAACAAAATCCATGGAGCAAATCAACATAGACACTTCCATAATAAACACAGAAATACCACATCAGTAGAGTTACTACATATTCAATTCCACCACTGATTTTATCATATGTCAATTACAGTTACCGGTATTATGTATGCATTCTAATGCGAAGACTCATATGTTACTGACCACAAGCATTCCGATGGCTTTCCTTGTGTTCAAGAGAATGAGGGCATGGTGTTCTCCAAAAGCCTAAAGAGCAGGTTAACCTCTAAGATAGCTTCCAGGCAATACAAAGCTATAATTTTCTGTATCTCTGGAGATGACTATGCAAAGGTTTGCAATTAGCCAAGTTGTACGATTGAACAGAGGAACTGTTCATTTGAGGATTTTTCTTCTACCAATGCTCTTAAGCATAAGTCACTGTGAATTGCTGTGGCAAGCCTTTGAAGAGTACCATTTATCTCAAAATGATGCCAGGACAAACATCTCCCTTTCTCTCCATTCTGTAGAAGAATTCTTCCTAGGCACATATAACATTAGTGCAGAACTCAGTTTAATTTAAGACAAAAGATGTACGATGCTGCCTTTTCGCGAAGGCAATGAATTCCAGGGAACAGAATTCTTGGTGTTATAAAGTCAAACATCAGCAGCTTGTAGAATGCAAGGATTTAAAAAATCACTACTGCAACAGAAAGGAGGTTTTGGAAGGACGTTCAAGCAGAATGACCCCAGCAAAAACATTCAGGTCCAAACGACTCCAATAGCATCTGGGTCAAACCTTCTGGCACTGCGCCTGTTTTCAATTACAAATAGTAAGAAGCAGGGGACAGAAAAGTGCACAAGATGTGGTCAAGTATATTTGAAATCGGAGACCCAGGACTTCTTAGCTATCTTGAGTGCCCCCTGGTTACAAATATAGAAATATACATCAAGTTGACAATAATAATGGTTCAGCATAGGTTAGAGGGTACCATGTTGGGGAAGGCTGGTTTAAATTGAGGGAAAATTTCTAGTTTGCTTCTGTGGGGTTTTTTTTTTTTTTTTAAATAAAGCATTAGACCAGTGTTTCTCAACCTTGACAATTTTAAGGCACGTGGACTTCAACTCCCAGAATTCCACAGCCAGCATTGCTGGCTGTGGAATTCTGGGAGTTGAAGTCCACGTGCCTTAAAATTGTCAAGGTTGAGAAACACTGCATTAGACTTTTAGAAATATACAGGAGAGCTTGTTAATCTCACTAAACCCATGCCTCTAACACAGCTAAGTTTCTGAAAAAAGTACATATTTTAATAACCAGCAGGAAAAGCACAGCCAATGACAAGAGGAGAGTGAAATTGGCGTCCTCTCCAAGACTTTTCTGGCTCTGAAATCTTTACAGCTCTGGCTTTTTGCCAGCTCTCATTATCTCTGAAGATAAAAGACAAATCCCACCCCACCCCAGGATTCCCCACCCTTGCCCTTCAGGAGCTGGACGCTTTTATTGTCTTCTCCCTCCAAACCTTTTGAAGTCTCCTCCTATCTAGAACATATGATGAAAAATGCCCTTGAGGCAGAAGAGGGGGAAGAGACTTTGCCTGTCTGCTGAGAATCCAGTTACTTTCCTGATATGGGAGGAAGGGCAGAAATAGAAAACTCAATGAAAACGTGAGCTACTCTGGAAAGGGAGCAATTCCCAAAGGTTGGAGCTGGTTTCCCTAATATTAATAAAAAGTAGGTAAAGGGGTCTTTGAAATGGATGACTCAAGTGCAACCAGACTGGGAGAAGAAAGGCAACAAAGAGTGCTGGAAATCATTCATCCAAATAACTTCCTCCAGTGTTGGGGTGGGGGTTGCCTATATAATGAAGGACATCCTCTCTGATCATTTACTTTAATGTAGCCACTTTGTTGAGCAGACTTAAGTCTGGTTCAAAGTCCTAATAATCAGAAAATAAGCGGAACTCTCTCGGTCTATTTGAAGATACCACAAGGTTACAAAACCAAATGTGTAATATGCTTCACAAGGAGCTCCAATGGTGTAAGCACTCACAGAATTCTTTGTTCCTATTTCAAATGTATCATTTATGAGCAGGAAGACTCAAATCCAGGATGCCCCGACTGGCACTTGCACAATATCTGCCCAACAGCTTAAACATCAATTCCCAATGGAAAGCCCAGATATTGGAAGACATATAAATGACCCCACAAAAAAGTGCCAGGCTTTGAACGACCACATCAGCAATGGACAATCTTGAATAGGATTTGCACCTCACATGACCTCTGCCAGGACTCTCTGAGTAAATGGGGCACAGTATCCTGCCCTTAGTGTGACTGCGGGGTCCCACATTAAACTGTAGATCACATTGTAATTGGCTGTAAGCTGAGGGTGTGTACCAGTCCAGTATCTTGATTTTTTTTAATGTAAATAATGCTGGCTTCAGTGGTTAGATCAAAGGTCCCCAACCTTATGGGTACCAGGGACCGATTCCATGGAGAGGAGTTTTTCCATGGATCGGAAGGGGAGTGGTTTTGTGTGCTGCCTGCATCCCACGGATGGGGCTTTGCTTGTTTGTGTGGACCAGTTGCTGGCATGCCCCGGCCCGGTATCAGTCCATGGGTTAGATCAGTGGTTCTCAACCTGTGGGTCGGGACCCCATTTGGGGTCGAACAACCATTTCACGGGGGTCGCCAAACAACGCAGTCCGCCATTTTCCCCCCCCTTTTCTTTAGCTGTGCTACTCCCTTTTATTCTATTGGCTTTTGAAAGCCAATAGAATAGACTCTCTTGAATAGAGTGTAATTCTATTGGCTTTCAAAAGCCAATAGGAATTGTCCAGGCTGTCTCTGCCCTGCTGAGCCCGCCAAAAGTTCCATTCTGCAAACGGTGCTGCACCAGTTGAGTAGTCCTTGACTTACGACCGGTTGAGTAGTCCTCGACTTACGACCGGTTGGGGGTCGCGACATTAGAAAGGTTGAGAACCACTGGGTTAGATGGCCTGGATACTGATATTTGAACATATATCTTCATGACATTTGTATTTTATTGGGTTCTACTAATCTAGTTGAAATGTTAATTTATATTGCTAGTCCATGTATGATATGCCATATGCTAAATAAATCCTATTTTGAGCAAAACATTATTTCCAACATAACTCTGTCTCTGCATGGTTTTGATTAACATTATGAATGGAAGTTGTGATATGGTCAATTTGCTTTCCTGCCCTATTTAAGACACCCATTATTACATGTAAAACCTTTTGTGTTTTACACCCAAATTACCTGCAGGGTTATCATTTGAAACCTTTGTTCTTTTCTCTTTCATCCTAGGAAGTCCCACCCCAATTGAGAGAGGATGTTTACCAAATTAGACACCCCCTAATAATAAATTTAAAGTGTGACTAGGTAGACTGGAGCAATCAATGAGCAAACTAGCAACAGAAAAATAATGGAAGCATATTAAAAATACCTTTAAAGGAAAAATATGAATAATGATAAAATTATGGATCAAACAAAGCAATTGCAGTGCAACTAGATAAACTCATAATAAGCATTATATAAAAAATAAAAATAATCAATACTTTAATGAATATTAGTATGAATCAGGAATATATATATATATATATATATATATATATATATATATATATATATGTATGTCTCCAATCCTTGCTAATTCAGCTTCTAGTGTAAGCATATTTTAGCATTCCAAATATTTAAGCAGAAAGAAAAACTCTTATTCTACTATCCCAAAGGTCTCAAAGGCACTTTTGAACTAGTGTTCAGATTTAAATAAAAGTGCCGAATATTGAGTTCCATAAGTTAGAAAAGTTCAGATCTAAAGAGAAATTTTTCCCCCTGTCATCTTAGCAACATCGGATTATAATAGCCTGTTTTGCCATCTTGGGAAGGGGGCTAAAAGGTTAAAGTTAGAAGGAATTCAGGAACTGTTCCTAATCATCCAAGAAGAATGTTGTCTTTTATCTGTGTCATGACTTTCATTCACTCTTTTATCACTTAGCGGCAAAGGCATGCCATCTCATGATCTGATTGGTTACTGTGCACCTGTTCACCTCCTCCCTTCATTGGTTGTTCATTACATCCTAAGGCCTACCAATTAAAAGTGACACTTTGTTGATGGATTGTTAGGTCAAAACATTGCAAACTTCTTTCATCCTTGCCTTCTGGATTACTTTTCACACATCTGGACTCTCCTATCAGTAACAAAGTTTTAAAATCCTCCAACTCCTAATTTTCTGTTTTTGGATTCCACTCCATTCCTCCACTTGCTCGATTATCTACAGATAGTTAAGCTTAATTCTCACCTTAGTATCAAAAGTCTTATGTATACAGAGAGTGCTTGACTTTGAACCATTCATTTAGTGACTGGTCAAAGTTATAGTGGTGTTGAAAAAAGCAACTTGCAATTGATCCTATGGCCGTTGGAGCATCCCCACAGCCACATGACAAAAATTAGGGCACCTGGCAACCAGCATGTATTTAAGACAATTGCAGTGTCCTGTGGCCACATGATCATCATTTGCCGTCTTCCTAGACAGCTTCTGACAAGCAAAGTCAGTGGGAGAAGATGGATTCTCTTAATGACCATACAATTCACTTAATAACTACAGCAAAAAAAGAGCCAAAGAAGCTTCTTGGATGAGAAGCAAAATGGTCTTCCAAGAAAAACAAGAAAGTCCAGTTGCCTCGTGAAAAAGGCACCTTTGGTACAGCAAAAAAGGTTGTAAAATCTGACATGAGTCACTTAACAACTGCCTTATTTAGTGATGGGAGTTCTGCTCCTAGTTGTGGCTGTAAGCCAAGGACTACCAGTAGACAAAATTTAGAAAAAAATAATCTGTGATATACCAACAAAGCAAAATAAAATGCTCTCTCTCTCTCTCTCTCTCTCTCTCTCTCTCATACACACACATACACACACACACATATACACACACATACATACACACATATATATACATACATATATATATTGATTCTCATTGATATACAGTAAAATTAATCAAAACTGATGCTAAAGTTCAAAATTACTGGAGTAGGACAAAAACAGTCTTGTGTTAAAATACCATTTGCTTGCCATTTCAAAATACTGCATCATAATCGGTTTTCATGATTGATTTTACAACAATTATACAACATTAAATGTTGTATAATATAAATTGGAGTACATGATATATAACTTGTTTAAATAAATAGGCAAGAAAAATCACAACTGAAAATGAAGTCAGTTTCTTTTAAAAACGGAATTTAAAATTCTTGAATTTTTTTAGGTGGGATTCTTCGATGAAAGATCTGATATGACTTTTTCCATTTATCAGAATCAATTTAAAAAAGCATTACTGTGGGAGAAGATGTTATTCTGTTAAGACAGAGATAAAAGAGCAGCACTAACAGCTGTAGTAATTGATACCCATGATCATTTCAAAGCTTAGAAGCAGATGCTTTTATCAAATGAAGGAAGGGTGATGTCATCTCAAGTAGCACTTTTGACGGCAAAATGCCTGGAGAGATTTGCACTACTCTTCTATATTTTTTTAATCCTACACAGCAAAGCTAAGGCCAGTATCATGAAAGAAAAAACTGGCACATATTCCCAGAAGCAGAACTTGGGGCTTAAATGCTAGAAGCAACAACAAAGAGAGGGCACTTACGGCAGTTCTCTTCATCGGACCCATCTTTGCAGTCAGTATCACCATCACAGAACCAGTGCTCAGCTATGCAGCTGCCATCACTGCAGCGAAACTCTTTGTCGGAACACTTCCTCATATCTGCAGCAGAAAGGATAGCTTAGGGGGAAATAGCAATAGCACATAGTGCTTTACAGCCCTCTCTAAGTGGTTTATAGAGTCAGAGTCACCATATTGCCCCCAACAATCTAGGTCCTCATTTTACCAACCTCCAAAGGATGGAAGGCTGAGTCAACTTTGAGCCTGTCAGAATTAAACTTCTGGCAGTGGGCAGAGTTAACCTGCAATACTGCATTTTAATCACTGCGTCACCACCAGGGCTCTTCTTCTTCCCCTTCCCCTTCCCCTTCCCCTCCCTCACTGCAAGTGAAAGTTCTTTAAAATCGATAATATCCCCAAACCTTCCAATATTACAATTGTACAGAAAAATGACTACTTGCTTAGTGTGGATTTTTACAGAGATAAACTGAGATTGTACTACATTATAGTTTGATATGGCCTGGAAGACTCCCCAATTTCCTAGCCCAGCAAGCAAAATATCTCATTTTTTTCCCCATGAAGCCTGAAGCCTAGATATATCCTAATCTCATTCCCCCCCGCCCCAGTCCTCAAAGCCCCAGAAACTGTAATGTCAAACTACAGTTGCAAATGATCAAGAAACAGGGGGAAAGGAATGGGCTTTCTTTAGGCATATTAGAACAAATCTCGCCCCCACAAATCTTGGCTACTACAGTGACTTTATCATCTTGTTGCTTCAGCTGCAAATTGGGTTTTCACTTGTTGAGAATGGGCATTTGTCTCTTGCACTGATAACATCATATCTTCATAAAGAACAAAATATATGACCTTCAGCCCACCATGTTAGGACTGAAACCTAGGCAAAAACTCTGTTCCAATCATCTGTGCTAGAACTATATTTTTTCTCGTGTCATTTGGCACTCCAAAATGCTGGATTTTGGTCCTATCACAACCAGGTTTACTAACCACATTGCTCGTCACTGTTGTCTCCACAGTCATTGTCACCATCACAGTGCCACAGACTGCGTATGCAGTATCCATTCTGACACGAGAACTCATCTTCCTCACATTCCCGGGGAGCTGCAGGAACACAACGCACAAAAAGATACATCAAATGCTGCATTGTGGTTTACTCAGCCAACAGAAGCCTATATGTACCAGACAATTTAGGAGTATCTATTAATGCAATTCTTCATTATATATTTATTCTGTTCATTTAAGTTAACTGAACATATGATAAGACTATTTTAAAATAAAATGAAACAAGAAAATACACGTCATTGAGAATACAACTGTTGGTAAGCATACTAAATAAATAGCCCAGGAAATATGTAATATTTATAAAAGCTTGATCTCAGTGTAATACAATTTGAAAGCATAATTTGATAAGCGATACATATCTCTGGTTGGAATTCACCAACTAGAATTCAGGTAGCACAAGTAGACAACTTTCAAATGTTTGCACAAATGTATCCACCTACCCAAAGCCAATTCTGTAGTATATCAAGGAACAACCACAAACCAAATTACTGAGGCTAGAGCAAACCCATGTAACCGGGTATTTTTATTTTTAGCATACACCATCTATTCTAACAGCTACTCTACTGCTTAATCATCTCTAAAAGCCGACTGCAGTTCCAACAGTGACATTCTGTTTGCTCTCGCAAAATGATTATGTGTTTAACGTACGGCAGTCCTGCTCATCAGAATCATCCTCACAATCATTGTCTCCATCACAGACCCATGAGCGACGGATACATTTGCCATTGTCACAGTGAAAATCCAGGGATGAACAAGTAGGCAGCACTGAAATGTAAGAAGGAGAAAAAGAAACAACTAAGAACATTTAATAAATTGCCCTAGATTTACTTCCTAAATCATACACCCATATGCCAAGGATGTAACAGTACTACTACTGTTAATTATATTTTAATTTTAATATTTTAATTATAATAATTAAAATATAAAATGTTCTAATAATTATAACTGTAATGAGAACCAGTTTGGTGTAATGGATAAGGCACCAGGCTAGAGACCAGGAGACCCTGAGTTCTATTCCTGCCTTAGGCACAAAGCCAGCTGAGCTTGGACAGCCATTTTCTCTCAGCCCTAAAAAAGAGGCAATGGCAAACCATTTCCAAGTATGTTGTCAATAAAACTGCAGGGACTTGTCCAGGCAGTCCCTGAGAACTGAACACAATTGAATGGAAGAAAATAATTATAATGTATAATTTAGTAATAATTATAATTACAATTATAATTACAATTAATACCAGTAGTATTACTAATCATAAGTATGAGGGGATGGGAAATACTGCCAAATTAATAACTCCCCAAACTTAATTCTTTTTAAGATCAGTTTCTACACTAAATAACAAGTAACAACTTGGTGATATCACTAAAAGTGAGCTAAAATTGTGCTAAAAGAACAGCCAATTTCCCTTTACTGTGTTAGATAATACTGTTGTAGAGGTTACTGAAAGTGATGCCAACTTTCAGCTGTATTATAGTCAAATCAATTTTAGCCTATAAAATGGGAAGAAACAGTCAGTGCTCTCAATATGGTATTTATTTGAAACTGTGGTGAATTAAAAGAGACATGAATTTTCAAAGTAGGAACATAAGCCCTGGCCAACATCCTACACTTACATTTTATTTTGAACACTCACCCAATTTCTCAGTATCTGTTAATTACTTCAGTCTTGAAAATCTCTCCCTCTCTCCTTTTGCCTCGAACCCTAGTCCACTTCTTCCAAAAACTGAAAACGCACTCATTTCTCCCTATCATGTTAGATTAAAACAACTTTTAAGTTCTTCACTGCCCGCCAAAGAGCACAAAGCAGAGTTGTCAGATTTTCCACTGCACACTTCCAAACAATAGTCCCGCAAAGTATTTGGGAACAGATAAATCCAGTTTCCAGCGATCTGCACTCCAGTGCATAGGAGGAAAAAAGCCTTTTATCTGAATTCTTAAGAGTCTCCCCCCCCACTCAAAGAGGATGAAAAATGTCTGCATCAAAATGCTGTCCCCTTCCATGATATTCCTTCAATTACTTCTTCCATCAGTTAATCAGTTATAAGCCCTAGTCTTACAAGAGTTTATTTACTGACCGTTCAAAGTTACAACGGCACTGAAAAAAATGACTTAGGACCATTTTTTTCAGTTACAACCTTTCTAGCATCCGCACGATCATGTGATCAAAATTGGCAGTTGGTTCATATTTGTGAACGTTGCTGTGTCCCAGGGGTCATGTGATCCCCTTTTGTGACCTTCTGACAAGCAAAGTCGATGGGAGAAGCCAGATTCACTTAACCGGGTCCCTAGCTTATCAACTGCATTTAACAACTGAGGCAAAAAGGTCGTAAAATGGGACAAAATTCACTTAACAAATATCTCACTTAACAACAGAAATGTTGGGCTCAACTGTGGTCATACGTAGAGGACTACCTGTAGCATTTCATGGTCACTGGATGTCTACAGGCCACATTGAGCTGCTTTGGAGGTTCCTCCCCCTTTCCTTTTTTAAAAATGGAAATATATTTTATCCTGACAGATCCTTTGAAACTTCCCACTTTGCAGGCACAGTAGCACTCCCTTTTTCTCTGAAGACAACATGCAAAAGGAAAAACATATGTAACCTTGACACAGGGAAGTGAGAAACTATTTAGCAGGTGACATTCCCAAGCCCCTTGATATTTTTAAATACCTTGGACAATATTCTAAAAAACCCTTTTGCTATCTTTCTATTTATCCTAAATTTTGCTTGATACCCAGTATCTTCTCCACCATTGCAAGTCCCAAACATCCACACCATGGGTTTTTATTCCCCAGTATTTCCCAACTCTTACAGCCTATGCTAGGCTGAGGAAGCTGGCTGAGGAATTCTGGCAGCTGAAGTCCACAAGTCTTAAAGTTGTCAAGGTGCAGACCCCTGGCCTATGCCAAACGAGGAGGCATTGCTTCCAAATGTTCATACAATGCACCAAAGTTAGTATTTAACTTCATATTTTACTCTTACGTCTTCTTCACAGCTGTTATCATCGCCATTCAATCAAATACAGGTAGTCCTTAACTTACAACCTGTTGCTTAGCAACTGGTCAAAGTTACAACAGAACCCCCAAAGGTACTTATGATTCAGTTCCAAAGTTCTGATGGCCACACCCCCTAATCACGTGATAGTATTTTGAGCCCTTGGCAACCAGCCTGCATTTATAGCCATTTGAAGCATCCCATAGCGGTGCTTTGGCTCAAAACTGGCCTTTATTTTCGCTTTTTGGCACAAACACCCCATAGCAAACAATGGGCTTGTTTTACGCACCCAGACATCTTGACCTACTTTACAGTCATCATGACTGATGACCATAATGGACAGTCTATGTTATAGTAGTAAGTCAAAGACTACCTTATTAAGCAAATCAAGATAATCATTTCCTTACAGAAGACAGGCTAGAATTATTTTTACATGACATCTCTCTCTCCCCCTCACTCAGTTACTCTCAAAACTAGAAATGAATATCTTTCGGGTTGCTTCTGAACCTTCCTTTTCAGCATTTGGGGAGAATATTCTGGAAGAAAAAGAAAAATGCTGAATATACGGGTTAGCCACTTGAACTTACAGTTCCTAACCTAGAAGTCTCGTCAGCGGAACTGGAGGATCTTATCTCATTTAATTTCTTCCTCTTCCTTAGCAGCTTTGCTTAGGCTCCCAGTGGAGCGGAGAAGTTAAAATGGGTATAAGGAAAATCTATGTGGTATGTTTTATATAAATAATAGATAATCCTTTTAATCCTTTTGATTAAGCAAGAAAAGATGTTTGGATTTTGCACAAGTATCGAGCAACATGTGCACATTTGTTGCTCTATAAACTATTCATCTGAAAAGGCCTCCAATGTAGCACAATGAGTATGCCCATATATTGAATTAGACTAGCCTGCCTCCCCCTCCCTCCCTCTGTTTCTCTTACAATGTCATTCATAAAGGCTTCCTCTTTGGGTTGCAATAAATTCTTAACCTATGAGGACTGTGTTTTCAAGGGCTGCCAACTATTCCTAGAAGAAGAAGAAGAAAGGATTTTATACCAGGTAGCTGTGTTTTTCAAAGGAACAGGGTTTATTCAACCAAACAAGCAACAAAAAGAAACTCTTTCATCTCTGCCCAGCCTGCTGATATTATCTTACAGCTGTCATCATCTGCAGTAGTAGCCCAATAAACAGGAAGAAAGGTGGTTTCTTTGCAAATAAATGGCCATTTGGATAGTTAATGTTTCCAGTTTTCCAGTATCCTTATCCTGAAATTGCAGCCAGGAACTATCTGTGCAAAACTACTTTGGGATTTTTTTTAATTATGAAAAGCAGGTTTTAAAAGTGATAAATAAACACATTAGACATGTTAACCTCACAGCTGCATTTTAATCATACTGGTTGAAATTGTACAATACCTTGAGGCAAAAACTAGTTAAGTACTGATCAACCAAATACTTAGCATTTGTGGCAACTTATCTAGGATCTGTCAACAGCAGTTTTCTCCAATACAGTGCCATCCAGGCTTATCTATGCTGTAGTCTCTACCATCCTCAATCAACATGGCCATTAGTGAGAATGGTTTAACCTACAATTAGCTATACAGATGCCCTCTTTTCCTGTTCATTAATAACCTGGTTCATTCACAGTGCTTCAATTAAAGCAAAATTTTATCCAAACTTCAACACCTAATCAGGCTTGTACCAATCTGGTTTCCTTCAAATATGGTGGGATTAAACTCAGAATTTCTAGCTGGTATGACAATCAAAAGCTTCATTATTCCAAAGAACAATCAACATTATGTCTGCCAGCTAGAATCAGGTTGTGTTTCAATTACATCAAGCAGCTATAGATAATACAGGAAATGCTCTTTGTGAACTGTTTATTACCTCATGAGGGAACTTCTAATGTCAAATCCATGTCAGGTACTACGAGAATATCTAGAGATGGTTAAAGGACAAACATTATTATGTACATACACCATGGACAATCTTCATAAGTCACAATACAGTGTCATCCTTTTTAATATCAATGACACTTCAATAAGTAGCAGTGTCTCTAGCTAAAATCATCTGGCCAAAGAAGCTGACTGATTGGTATTTGAATGGGAAACTACCCAACAGGGATACCCATACTAGAATGGAATGTTGAAAAAAAAATCTTATAAGACAATATCCAACCACTTCCATTATGTTGTCAAGAAAATTTGACTCAATCTTGAAGGAGGCTTTGCTTTTCTCCTGAGCATGGTTAAGTGGAGGATTAGTGCAATGTAGACCCCATTAAGTCAGGAATTATTGCGGAAGGAATACCAACTTCTCTGGAGTACAACAAATTGGAGAAGATTGAGCTAGTGTTGGACACAGACTAGAGAGTACAGGTTCTCTGGTGTGAATGGCAGTCTAATGATAAAGCTAAATTGATTATTTCTAGCAATCAAATAACTAAGGAATCAAAAGGAATTTCCTATGCAGCAAATTTTCTTGTCAATTTCAATTTAGGGGAAAAATAAGGAAGGCACATAGAGGCGTACATAACTATGTATGATATGGTAAAGGCATCTAGAAATAAGTTTTTCTTAGAGCCCAAGTCATCCAGTGAATCTGAATGACAGAAAGATTAGAATGTGTGAGACATCACAATTGGCCTTGACAGTAATCACAGATCTCCAGATAGTTAATCCTTAATTCACCAATTGGTTAAACTTGGCAGAAGACTCTCAGTTTGGTTAGTTTTGAATTTTTGTTGCAGATAGTAAGGAAGTCTTGAAGACAACTGCAGAGCA